CATCTTAAGTTTGCATTTAATTCGTAGTTGTACAGTCAGCCAAGAACACAAACAGAACACGAATGCTGTGTGCGATTTTTAAAAAACCAACTATTTTTAAAAATAAATTATGTGTCACATTGAAAAATTAACTAATTTGTTATCTATAGCCTACTTCAGTGCTACGAGTAGTCAAGCAGTAGTGTACGTAGACTAACACCTTTCTTTGGCTCTTACCGCTATCTCAAAACACACACCAATTATTAAGATAAGGATAAAAGAGAGGTTTACACACTATGCTTCTGACCACTCTCCATTTGGCAGTTTGGGATTAAACTATGCTTATCTTGTCCCCATTGTTAAACTGCATTCCCACAAATGCTCATTCTCTTAGCAGCTGAAAATGGCTTGGACAGGATGCTTATTACATTTTAAAACCCCCCCCCCCCGAAAAAAAGCTCATGGTCCTCTCCTTCCTTTAGTATCACAACCACTCTTGACCATGGATTAATGGCAATTTGGATCGGTCCTTCTGATCATAGTCTAACACACTAATGGCTACACCACATCAGTTCTTATAAATGTCTTGCAATAAGAATTTTAAGGTCATATATATATATATATATATATATATATATATATATATATATATATATATATATCAATGTTCATAAATGTACCAAGCAAACATGTACATAAATATATAAATCACATGTCTGAAGCATCACAGGAAGACAGTCCTGAAACCATTTTAACTCTTCCATACTGACCAAATGTTTCTCTACAAGGAAAGAGGAAATGAAAAAAACCTTCCCATTGTCTCAGGAATTAAGTAATTACCATCTCAAAGGAATGGCCAGACGACCAGAAAAGGCAATCAGATAAGGCATTATCAGATAACCTGGCAGATAGGAAAAACAACAACATTCAAATTTCTGTTGTAGACCACCTTTTCTGTGATGTAGGTATGATGTTTGTGGGGGGTGGTCTTGGGCAACGCCCCTTCTGTGATGTATGTATGAAGGGGTGGTCTTGAGCTCCAGAGCAGGGGATTTCAAAATGGATATATAAGGCCTTGCGCTCCATTGTTCGAGGTCCTCCTCCTCCTCCTCCTCCTCTCTCCTGCGTGTGAGGGGAGCACCATGTTGCAACAGCGTTAATAAAGATCAGGCTTACTAGCTGCTTTGCTTCTCAATATTCTCTGGTTGGCCTCTTATTTTCTCCTACCGATGGAGAACCTACAAAGGACTCTATAAGGGCTCTTGTGTACCCCATAAGGGAATAAGGGCAGATTTTGTTTACAACAGTCTACAGAATGTTACCCCAGAGAAAAACCCGTAAAAGTTCTCTTGTACCTACAAACATAAACATGCAATTCAGGTCATCACAGCCATTTCAAAATCACAGGAGACCAGTATTAGCTAGGATAGCAGAAGGCCCATTTATTTAATTTCAAACTGTAATTTCAGTCAGTGCAATAATGAAGTTCAGCATTGTTTAAAGATGCATTTGGAGCAACTAAATTCCAGAAGCTAAAAAGTCACAGGCCTTCCAGTACAGATAACAGTATTTCAGAGGTAACAGTGTTTGCTGAGATAGCTATTTTAGGTGCATTCTGCAGTGAGCATTTGCAGATCTGGCTGGAAGAAAAGGTGCTGCAGCATGCTAATTGTTTTATCTTAAAATTTAACCTCGTTGCTGCTCTGTAAGTCAACTTTGCATCAGAGATAAATATTAACATTTGAACAAAGCATCACATGACACATGTCTGATCAAAGAATAGGGTAGAATTGCATTTCACACACTTGCAATTTTAAATTTGAAACAATGACAGAAAGTACAAAGCAGAGGCCCAATTAAGCCTACAGAAACACCCACCCACCCCACAAAAAAGACCACTTCCATTCTGCACCTCATCTCTCCTCAGCCAGGAGAGGAGGGGATGAGAGGGAGAGAAGGTGGGAGACGGACCAGCCCAGGTTTTAAAACAGATCGAGATGTTATGCTCAACATTTTGCTGCTACCAAACACACTTGAGTTATCTCAATCCTTCATCCCACATTAATAAATGTTTTACCTTAATGCACATAAATTTTGCGTTATCTCAACCATGAGTGAGGATGTGGAAATTCCCGAAGCAGCATCATGACACAAGGAGAAGGTTGAGAACTCTGAGGCTATTATTTTCAGCAGCAGCCCCAAATTGAGGAGGACATCCTTCAGATCTTGGTATTTAGAAGTTTCTTGAAACAAGTAATTCTAAACTGTTTTGGTTTTAAAAGGTTTCACATGTGTATATATGCATACAATTTTAACAGTGATTTTGATTATCACGGAGAAAAGCAGGTTTTCATAGTGCTGTGATCAGGGAAATCCCTGGCACCCCTGCACGGGTGGCCCGGCTTCCCAATGACTCATGTGATGAGTTGGCAGAGAACAGATCTCCTCCTCCCCATCAGCTGTGTTTCAACCCTTCTTGACACTAGGGGTGAATCTGGGGAGCCAGGAGAGAGCAGGAATAGCAGAGCAAGAGCAGAAAGAGGAGACAGGAAAAACAAACAAAAGAAGAGCCAAGGAAAATCCCTCCCAAAATGGCATTCTTGCCTTTTCTCTTTAGCCGTGCCTGAAGCTGCTGGCAAGAGCAACCTGCAGTGGAGCTGGCAGGAAGATGAACCAGTCAGGGGGCTTCCCTATCCACCAGATGTGCCCTCTCAAAAGTCTGACTTCCTGCCAGTGGGTGGTGACAACCCACACTCCTTCCTCCACTAAAGGAGAAACAAGCCCCTCCCTTCACCACCACCACCACCCACAATATTTATAAACAGCATCACTGTAATAGAGAAAAACTCAGCAGTGGTACTTCAGACCCCCACTGCCAGGGGCGTTTTAAGGAAAATAGGTTTTTGCTTTCTTCTTCTTTCAAGCTTCCCCATTTGGGAAATATCAACCATAAGCAGCTTGCTGGTAGGTAAACACTGAAATAGCAGAAAAATTAAGAATCATCCATAAAAATGTTTGCTAAACTCACACAAAAAGCCACCCACACCCCAATAAGCTAAGGTGGTCAACCTATGTTGCCAAAACAAATTGTTAATGGGCACAGATGAATAAAAAAGTTACAGCGGTTACAGGGCCAGTTAAACTGTATGCCCTCAGGGGATATCTTGGTCAAAGGGGGCTTAGAAGAGACCAGGAAGGGATTCTAGCAGACAACATGCCTGAGGGAGGTCAATGTCAGGTGCATCACCCAACCAGTACCATAAAGCTGCATTTGGAATTCTAAAGCAATAGGGCATTCACTATATATGCCAGTTTCAATATGCCAAAGAAAACGTATGTCTGGGAATAATCCTGTAGCGATCCCAAAAGAATGGAGTAAATAGATGACAAGATGTATCTTACAGGCTTTAAAGTGCAAGATGCCTCATTAGAAGACTCACCAACACGAACCCTTAGAAGGAACGAAGGGTGCCAGAAGAGTTGATTATTAGTTTCATATTCAGGACTATTTGAGTAGGCCTATCTTCAGGGTTCACAGAGCTATTTGCATTTAAACTACAGAGATGGGGAATCTGCAGCTTAACAGATGATGTTGGATGCCAACACCTATCAGTCCCAGCCAGAATGGTCAAGGACCAGGGATGATAGGAGTTTAAGTCCACAAACATATAGAGTTCCCAGAGGTCCTATTGTTATAAGGTCTGTTTCTGCCCAGCCCTGAATCTTCCAGAAAAGGTATCCCATACCCTTACATCGAAAGTGGGACAAGAAAAGAGTTAAGGAGCAATAATGAGGAAGAAGCAAGAGCAATGCCATGCTACAGAAGTTCAGAAGCAACTGCTGGGGAACAGGCAGATATAAGGGGGAGGCAGAAGACCCTTCAAAGAACCCGATTCTCTCTCTCTTGTGCACCATTACTCCAGATATCTGCAATGGCAAGATCTTTGGCAAAATGACTGGTAGGGTTATGCTACATTGGATATACATTGGACATTGGATATCTACATTGAATATAGACAGGGCATTTATCTTTTCATCTAGTAATGTACGGGTTCGAAAAGAATGTCCATCATGGCTAAAGAAAAACTTTTTTAAATTATATTTTATGATGGGCAACTATATTTGCCCTTATTAAATCTTTTTCAGCTTCTCAAAGGCTCTAGCCGGTCACTCTTGAAAAACTGACTGTCCAAAAATCAATTCTTTCAGATACTACATAAATTGTGGACTATTCTTAAAGCTACAAATAACTTAGAAAACTGAAAGAGGGTGTAAGCCAGCCTTCAAGCTGGTGCCTTCCAGATGTTTTCAATTGCAACAGTCATCAACCCAAGATCTGAAAGGCACTGGGTTCGTGAAGGCTGATTTAGGTGTTAGCTACATTATCATATTGTGAAGAGCCTACACCCAGAGAGGAACATGGAGTACCACCGCATTAACATTTCACAAAAGAGGGGCCATCATTAAGAATAGCCCCATGCACATAAACTCAAATTGAAGGTGCTTTATTCCCTAATTCTGAGGGGTGAGAATTGCACAGCTATATTTTCTAACAAGCATTCACACTAACCTTTGTGAATATTTCCAATACCACAACAAAAGTTATGCAAAGAGCAGCTATCTCTGCTCATGGGTTAAATTGCACAGTAAGAGAAAAACACAGCTCGATACATAGGCACACAATAAGATTTCTGCACTTCAGAACTAGCACCATTCTGCACAAAGAATTGCTCATTTTACGGCTTTTACATAGGCAGCTGACATAGTTATAACAAAGAACCCTTAGCCAGTCAGTCTGATGACTGCATGCTAATTTCCAGGTTGTATAGTCAAGAAATTTGGCTCACGGGTTTTCCACGTTTTGCTGCTAGCAGGGTTTGACGTATTTCTTTTTGGAGTTCACATTCCCCTCTCTGGTAAAAAAATATATATAAATATACTTCTAAATATAAATCTTTATCCTTTAGTTATAGTCCACTGAATGATGTTCCTTGCTCCGCAGCACATGACAAGCAACGTTGCTATGCTATAAAGGTCCTGATCACCATCTGAATCTGTCTCTTACACACTGGGCAAGGTGATTGGCCTTTTTTTAACATTTTTGCACAAGTGAAACAGGCCACCAGGTGAGCTGTCCTTCCATGGACAATATTCCCGTTCCGTGGCCTCTTCTGACACATAATGCAAGGTTTCAGCAATTCTTTGCTACTCTCAAGGGACCATTTTTCTTTGTGCTTACCAAACTGCAACAAAGGCTCTTTGCCTGCAAGATCCAGAGAATCCACAGAGCTTCCAGGACGTAGGTTGGGTTTGATTTCTGATCTGCACGGTTCTCTGGACTGCATAAGTGGAGCAGATACTGTCCTTCGGCAGTCTGGGACATCTATCCCTTCTGTGTCCTCTTTGCTTTGCATTGTGGCAATGTTGGATGAGGAGAGAGAATGTGCTAACATGGGGCAGTCAGAGAACCAGTCTTTCCGCAAGGCCCAGCAGCGGAAACAGTACCGTTTAATGGGAGAGTTAAACTTCTTGCATTTTGTGCACTGCCAATAGTCCTGATGAAAGAAAGACAATCAAACCAATCACAGGTTTGTGCATTCACATAAAGGCTTTCTTACAGTAGAAGCAGTAACCAGCTCCATCAATTCTGTTCTGAAGTCATGGATTAAGAGCATGGTTACTACCTACTCAAGAGTGTCCATAGGCACTCAGCACCGTCAGATACCCACCCTTAGTTCCCACCAAAAAAACTCTTCCAATTCTAACTTTTTTTAAAAAGGTGTTTCTTGGGGGGGGGCTGTCTATGTTTAGCTCTCTCTGTGTTTGAGCAACACAAGTTTTGTTTTGGTGAAATTGGTATTTTTTGTGTAACTATTTCTTAGATTTTCCAAAACAGTTGGGGATCATTGTAGTTGAACCCTGTAAATGAGATGTCCTTTTTGCTGAACCTCATCTTTATTGTGCCCCCTCCCATAATACCTTTGGAAGAACAAAGTCTCTACCATGTTCTCTATATTAAATTTTCAATGTCTTATTCTAAATTCAAAAGTAGATAGCTCCTTGAGTCAGTGAGAAGGATATTTCTCAGACTCTATAAATATATAAAATCTATTGAACCTACACAATTGATGGTGGCTTACTTGATTACCTCATATACCAAGGGCAATGGCTTTTTGAGTTTAGAGCTATAGTTCAGTTGTCTGGTGCCAGGGACAGTCCAATTTGTCAAACTGGCACAGACTCTAAACTATACTCAAGCAGCAGCAAAACTTGGTTCTGCATGCTATGAGGAACAGGATGACTACTACTTCCATTGCAATGCAAACCCAGAAAATGAAAAAATTGAGCAGAGAATAATGAAATAAATTTTGTTGTCCACTGATAAGTACTGAGAAAGTGTCTTTGTGCTGGGATTAAAAGGGCAATTTCAGAAACTAAACAGAACACTGCCACAATGATAGAGATCATATCTCTTCCCTCCCTATAGACTTGATTCATTTGGAAGACTAGAAACCATGAAACCTCTGTGCTGATCCACAGAGTATCAAAATGCTCCCACAATGACACAGAACAGTGTAGTCATGTAGTGAGACTATATTCAACCGGCTCTGTAAAAATATCCCAATGAATATATTCCAGGCAGCAAAAGTTTATTTTTTTTGTCCCTTCTCCAAATGTGGAAAGATCATGACCAAATGAGATAAGATGGGATGCAGACACACACTTCTTTTCACGTCTGCATCATTCATATGGAACATTGTAACATATGTAACATTGCTTTAACTGTCAAGGAGTATAGGTGAAAAGGGCTGAAACCTCCTCCATTGTTCTAGCCAACTTTTCACTATTTCAGACTCACTCCCTGAATCACAGCAAGGAAGGGAAAGAATACCTGGAACAACATTCTCTGGGGAGGCAAGAGTGCCTTCACCAGCACACTATTTTTACTGCTTAAGCAAGACACCCGTCTTTCCAAACCATACTAAAAGCATAGGCCCATGAATGATGGTCTACTTTGACCTTTAGTTATCAGTTTAGATATTTACTATGCTATAAAGGCCTCTAAAAACTCTATAGATGCTCTAAATCCCTCACTTCTCAGAAGATATGAATTGGTCACATATCAGTTTGTGTCACATATCAGTTTTCCTCAGCCACTTGCTAAAAACACCTGAGCTGTAAGCTATGAGGTTAAAGCAGCTTTCCATACAGGAAATAAAGTAGTTTTTTATACTGGTCATAAACATACCCATAACCAGCTATCGGAAGAATGGGAAAATTGTAAGACGGCTGAAAGCCTGCAACTAAGCAGACTGCAACTGTTGAACCATGGAAACTATTGTCTTCAGTTTCCTTAGCTCAATCTTTGGATGATGACAAGCTGAATTACCACCGGTTCTACATGGTCCAATAAAACCTACAAATTGATTTGACACATCTGCCCTTTTAAACACAATAAAGGGACAAAAGGATGCACTGTATTTTGTTGTTATGGATGCAATAAGGAACTTCAACTACCTGAATAAAAAAATGCTTCTAACTTCTGATACTCAACTTTGTAGCCAAATTAGGGCTATTAAGCCTCAAGTACATTTACCTTGGAGGGAGGATCTATGTCTGTGTCATCGTGTAAGGACTGTGAATCTTCAAAGTCATCAGATGATTCAGCTTCACTCACCTGCAAAAAGTACATAACAAAAAGGAACATGTATGGCCATAAATAAATGCACCCCCCCCAAATAAGAAAGCACTTCTTTACTGTCATTATTTGCATGCTGCACAACAACAAAAATCTTGCAATATATAAAACAATTTGGATAAAAAGATGTAAAACTGTAAAATCAAAGCAGGTGTCAACACTGATGGCATTCCCCTATGACTGCCAGCAATTATGGTCAACTGATGCCTGTTTTGGCCTAACATTGCCTGCTACTTAATTCCTTCTGCTTCCAGAATTCCTTGCAGCCAGGGCCTACATTTAAATTTAAAATGCAGCAATATGGAAATATTCTTTAGTTTGGCAAGCAATAGGTTAAAAGCCCACTTGTGTGCTATTGGCACAAGCGCTCCTGCTAACACGTATGTTGAAAATGGATGTGGCCAGTAGCGTGTGTGGTGGCCCAGAATGGAACCCCCATGTAAGTTTGGACTCCCCTGTATCCCACAGGGGAGCTGAAGAATGAATGTGGTTTGTCAAAAAGATTGAAAGCCACTGCACCAGATCATTGCAACACTTAGTGACTGTATTCTCCCCTCACAACCCCCATGTCATCACTGCTATCTAAAGAATGGGAATAAATTGCTTCTCGCAAAAGATCACAAAGTAAGACCAGTGCCCCATGGCCAAAATGGTATGCATCAGCTGCTAGTCTATGATGGCTCCCAGATTCTACCCATCTGTAAAACTGATTAAGTAACGAGTATGTCAGTTGACTCACGTAATCATGCATTACTCTTGTGGGGGAAATCTGCAGGTTATTTTTTATGCAAGTTGTTCTTGTCTTAAAAACTTGCTGAAAATCTAGAATGAATTCCTGCGAACTACTGAAATATGGAGAGCTTCTCGCCCATCTATTACCATGAAATGAATCACAGAGGGAACTGTCATCCAATGTGACAAGCCCATGAAATTGCATGGAAACCTTTGCTAAAAAGAAAAATAAACCACTGAAAGTGCAAGCCATCAGATTACTAAAGATAATGGCAGAACTGGTGTGACAAAAGGTGTGCGAATCTGAATTTATGATATGGTTTATCTCTGTAGATCATGGCCTAAGTATAAGATTGGCTTAACTATAATATGACACAAAAATCACCATGAACCAGAAAACAAGCCTGATCCCAATCACCTGCTGAAAGGCATTCAGGAATATCCTGAGTTCACGCACATCTGATCTAAAGATGAGCACATGCAAATATATGGTTGCACAATGGTGAGGTGATTTAAAGGCAGATGCCTAGGTTCACATAAATCCTCACGATCACAAATCTTTCATCTTTTTGTTAAGCAAACAGGAACAGGATGGGCAAGGTGAGAAATAGGCAGGAAATCTGGAAGGGGTTATGGAAATTGTAAGAACCACTCATTTCACAGCTCCCTCCCCTCTCCACTGGCATGCATTGGCAAAAATGTATGAAAAAACCATTAGAGTCCAAGGCTAGTGAGCTCTCATAGCTCCAACAGGACAGAACTTATCCAGTACTCCCTAGGCCTCTGCATACTTCTGCTTTGCATTAATGACAGGTATACTTCCCCCCCCCCCTTTCTAGTGTTGGTTTATTGCAAAATTGTCATGTCCGTGCTTCTGTGGGCCTTTTAGAATAGTTAGGTATCTTTTACTCCTTAATTAGGGTGTTTATGTATTGTAATTTGCTACCCGCGTAGACTAACTTTGCTGTCTAAAGCAGCATATTTATATTTCCCGTGTGACTCCTATTTTCTATAATAAACTATGCTTTCTTTATTTCTTTGTAGGCATAAAATTAAGGGTTAACAACACATCCATAACAAACGCATGTCATAACTCCAGCAAAACATCCTAAATCTCTCAGCAGGATGTATTTGATCATACATGAGTGCTGGTGGCACACATGTGAGTCTAGGAACACACTTGTAGAAAAAGTAGTAGTAGTAGTAGTAGTAGTAGTAGTAGTAGTTTAGATTTGATATCCCGCTTTATCATTACCTAAGGAGTCTCAAAGCGGCTAACATTCTCCTTTCCCTTCCTCCCCCACAACAAACACTCTGTGAGGTGAGTGGGGCTGAGAGACTTCAGAGAAGTGTGACTAGCCCAAGGTCACCCAGCAGCTGCACGTGGAGGAGCGGGGACACAAACCCGGTTCACCAGATTACGAGTTTACCACCCTTAACCACTACACCACTGGTTCTCATAACACTGGTTCTCTTTAGTGCTCTGATGGCTTACACTTCCAGCTTAACATCCATGGTCATTTGGTGGAACAAGCACCATTCAGTTCCTTTGCTCTCGGGACTTACGGTTTTGCTGCCATCTTTTCCTTCTTCACTGGGATGGTCACAGTCAATTGTTTTAGCTGGGATTCTAACACCAAACTGATCTGAAGCAGCTTCATTGAGGAACCACAAGTCATCAGTGGTATCTGAAACAATGGTGGTGTCTACATCCTAGAGCAAAAAGAGAAGACAGACATGGCATTTACTGATCTACAAAGACTTGTTCTCATTATATTCAATGATGCCTGAATAAAGCTACAATATATGATATTGCAAAATTCCTTCACCACTGAATCAGACATGGTGCCAGAACAACTTGGTAGGGCATCGTAAAAACATGCTCTCATGTTGCCACCCTTAGGAGGCATACACTCATCCAATACAACAGGACTCGACAGTGCTCTGGACACCTCTTGAGATTCAACTGCTGTAACAGTGGAGTGAAGGTCCTGGCAGATGCAAGCAATTTTATCCCTAAAATGATTTGTAACCCAGTCACAGCAAACTACCATTGATTGTCACCTCCTTCTGGCCAGACCGTAAAAGGCCCTGCACTAACTGGAAAAGCTCTGCTGGATGGCACAATGAGAATGTAATGGAAGCAGCAACGTATGCTTTCTTTGCTGTCTTCACTGTCACTACATAGGCTCGATGATGAGCCCTCAGCAGTGTTTGACAGCATTCAAATGAATGATTCAAAGTCTTTGCAGGTGCCATTTACCCTGCACTACTTTCACAAGTCATATTTTGCAGGCCATTCTTTCCTGAAGTCTATCTATCATCAGCAAAGTCAAACTATGGAGAGTCTCAACAGTAAAGAATGCTTGAGCTGGAAAGAGCCTATAAATATCTCAGGAATTAATATTGACCAACATTTACCTGATTCGTATGTATATCAGTTGAGCCATTACTTCTAGACTTGTAGTTGTTTCTCAGATTCCCTAAAAACCACCATGGAAGACCAGCTACATCCCACTCTTCAAGCACCAAATCCAGTGTGGGTTGTTCTTTTGAAAGGTTATCTATAGGAAACAACCAAAGTTCAGATTAAAATGTATTTATTATGAACTGACTGATAATCCTACGCATTGAGACACAGCTCACTCTCAAATTAATATCCTTCTGCCTGAAGTACTTTGGCAGGAGTAGCCAACATGGTCGTAGACACCAACTCCCATCAACCCCAGGGAGAATGAGCAAAAGCTGATGTGAGTGATAATCCCCAACATCAGGAGGGCACCATATCGGCTACACTTGCATGAAGAAATAAGGCAGAGCAAAGCATGTGGATACTCTCAAAACATAGAAAACTGCTCTATACCAAGTCATACCATTCCATCAAGTTTAATGTTGTTCATAATTACTGGCAGCTGATATCCAGGGCTTCAGACCATGAGTCTTTCCCTGCAGACCCACCTGGATATGCCAAGGCTTGAACCTGGGACATTCTACATGCAAAACAGATACTCTACTACTGAGCCACCCACCTTCCCCATGGAATAACTAAATGACTCCCCAGCAAGACTCTCTGCCATTCCTTAAAGATTATACAGATTGTAGGACCTTCAAGTTCACTTTTGTTCACATGCAGTATGAATTTTGATAAGGGGCTGTTGTTTCTGTAACCGTTTCCCACCTTAAATTCAACTAAAATCAAAGGACTCACAGACAAGAAGATCAGAGTGGGATGTTTTTAAACCATGTGACTCCAGCTACAAAAGCTGAGGCTGCTGTACATATTCTCGAGCTCGAGTATTGTTTAGGACAGAGGTTTTCAACCTTTTTGAGTCCATAGCTCCCTTGACCAACTACATTCTTTCTGCAGCACTCCTGTGGACCTCAGGAGCCCAGTTATGTCACCCCTTGCCTGCAAAGCTGGCAGCCTCTTACCCTTTTTCCAATACCCTCCCTTGTGGAGTGTTCCCTCAGCATCTCTCCCTTCTCCTTGGGAGTCCTCTGGGCAGCAGCTGCTGCTGCTGCTCTGGTCTTTGAGCTGTCCCCCCTGCCCCAAAGAGAGGTGCCTCCTCACACTGCTCCACATTGGCCTGGGCCTTGTCTGTCTGTTCCCAACATCAAGGACTGGTGGACTGGCTGACTGGGCTCCCATGTCCGCTTGCTTACTCTGAGGTCATCTCAGCTCCTCGCAACCAGCACCCCAGGACCAGCCCCAGAGGCACCATTCGCCTGCGGAGCTTGTAGCCAGAGCTACTGCAATAAACAGATGTGCAAGCCTTTGGGAGGCAGAGACACAAGAGGACATCAGAAAAGCGAGGGAAGGAAAGAGGGACAGAGGCCAGTGTTGCCCGCACGGCACCCCACTGGTTGAAAACCACTGGTTTAGGAGGTTTCTTTGGGAGTTTTTGTTGGTGTTATATTTTTGTATCTTTTTTGTTAGATCTTATTATGACTTATGTGGAATGGTTCAAATTTGTCACATACCTTTTGATTTGTTTATTGTGTATGACTCCTTAATACTTATGTAAATCTTTTCATGTTGTAAGTCACCTTGGACATGGTTTTAACTATGGAAAGGCAGCATTCAAATAAAATGATGATGATGCATCATATCTGCCCCAACCCTTGTCACAAGATTAAGCTCCTGCCATCCAAAGAAACTTTTAAATAAAAAAGGCACATTGCCTACAGTGAGATGCCATCCCTATCTACCACTAGTCAATACTACTGACAGGACACACATTTCTACAAAATGCACAGAAGGACTCTAGTGAGGATAATGAACCCACCTATTACAACAGAGATGAACAGAGAACTGTGACTTACTCTTAGTGCTTGTTGACCAATGTGTGAAGTCTGAACCTGTGCGTATGATCACATATAATGGAAGCAATACTGAGAATAGAGCCCAGATCCGAATATAATAAAGAACAGCAAAATCTTGGCCAAATGTAGAACAAAGGAACTCATCTTGCGGCAGTCATGGCTTTCATCAGCTTCAAAGACTTGTACTCACCTTCATCCTCCTTGAACGTATTCGAGACAGACAAGGCAGGTGTGTCAACTTCATTCTCTTTTCGCCCATAAGTGCAATTTCTGTCTGTGCTACTCTGCTTAAAGGAAGGAGGGGAGAGAGAATCATTAGCCCAACAGGTCTTAAAGAGACACAGGGATGTAACACTTCCTTTCTGAGTCACCAGTTGCAGAGCAACACCGAGGAGTTAAGCGTGTCAAGGTTTGAGCATACAAAGCAAAATTAACAAAGCATATTAACCAATCACGAATCTGGTAATATCAAGCAGCATTTCTACGTTATAAACCAGCAAAATAAATAAATAAAGCTGCTATCTACTAGTGACATCTAACTCCTTACCTCCATCACAAATCATATAACTCTTTCTCAAGCTGGCCTAAATGTATCCAACAATAGTACCAGAAACAAAGACCTGCCTGGTATTAGAAGCGTTTAAAGGAGGACACTACTAAGTAACTCTAAATCACCCTCTGTTCAAAAAATCCCATCCAGGAATACTGACAACAACACAAGCTGGTGTGACTGAGGACAGGAAGTGTTACACCCCAGTAAACATGTTCAGAGAATGGAACTCTGTTAGGTAGAGAACAGAGAATGGTCACTCTGTCCCTGGTCTGTGGACTCCCCAAAACTTCTGAGGAAGGCAGAAGCCCACCTGTCAAGAAATTCAAAAGTTCTAGCAGTCCACCGTGCACAGGTACAGAGAAGGGGCAACTCTGTACGACAAAAGAAACCACCCATCAGGGTTTACCTTCAGTTGTTCTTGACTTGGATTATTCGTGCTTTGATCCTTTGCGAGAGCAAGTCTCTGTGCAGCATCTAGACAGCAGGTAAAGAAAGAAAAAACCTTCCCTGGTAATAACCATTCTCACAACACAGAGGGGTCCCTTGACAAGCAACCAACAAATAGGTTTGGCAGCTGTAGGGTTTGAAGTGTTAAAGATGAGGGCATATAGTCCTATCCATCAAAAACCCTGCTCAAATTCCTACGCTATTCACACTTGAGGAATGGAATATGCGCCTTCAAGCTCCTGACCCTTTAGCTGCTCATGTTCTGGCCTCCTACATGGCACTTTGTGCCACATCTTCCTAGCACTTTCAAGTGACAAACAGCTGTAAGCGCCTCAACATTAGAACAGCAAGTTTAATGGGAAATAGAAAAGGGGCTCTAGATCCCAGGCTCCAATTCTGTTTTCAAGCAACACAGAAGTGGCATGAAAACACCTTGCTCAAGATACATAAACCAGCTTATTAACCAACACATAGAAATGTACCAATGCCCATCCATTCATTACTTCTGCTAATGCTCAGCAAGGGAGACACTTTAGTCCTTTCACTGCTACAAAGGAAGATCTGTTCCAGCAAGGCCTTCATCCTTGTGAGCAGGGTAGATAAAAATCAATTTTTAAAAAATTAATGAAAAAATCAGATTTTTTATTTAAGTTGGATTTTTAAAAATAAAATGCTTTTGGAGGAAAAAGCTTTCCAAAGATAATCTTCTATTTAAGTTATATTATAGTCCAAATGCTATTATCCATCAGGAAATAAGGGCTTGTTTTTAATTATGTAGCATGAAGCTTTATATGCGATGTTTAACTTTTTTGGTAAATGAATTCCATTAATTCATTTCACAATGTCATGCTCTTCCAGAGGTTTCTGTAAGATTATTTGGGGCAGTTTTTCTAACGAGAAGGTATTATCACAGATGCTTGTTTTTGCAGTTCTCAAAAGTGTAAATTTGTGTCTGCAGAGATAACATGCCTTTTCTTCACAGGAAAAATGTTATAAAGTATACAGAGTTGAGGAAAAAACCTTAATCCCATTGTTCCTTTGCAAATTTATATACACAGAATCAACCCCTTACCTCTTAAATGCTAAGTTCCAAGAGGTTCAATGAATACTGTTTGGAGTGGAATACATATGCACAAGTGGCTAAGTGTGAAGCAGTAAAAATGAAAGTGCAACCTTGTGAGCAGAATACTCAAGTCTTGGGATCTTTGCGTAATAATTGTGCAAGTCAGTTGCATGTCTGTGCAATTCAGACTTAAGGCAAGTGCTGAAGGCACTTCAGAGCTGGCAACCTCTTCTCAATCCCACTGGGTTCCAACAACTGCACGAACACTTAACTGTACAGAATAGGCACCTGAATACAGAAGCAAATCCAAAGGGGGGTGGGGGTGGAAATAGTAACTGGGATCTTTAAGTCCTTGGCGAGACCTTGAAGTGCTTGCCAGTCAACTTATAAGAGTTCACTGGTTCCAGGCCCTTCTTCCCAGGACTCGCCTGACATTGTCCAAACAATAAAGTCTCTACTTGGAATGTCAGTCCTGCAGCAGGAATCCCTGAAGTTCTCTGCTCCAGTCCTTGGTTCCCCCTTTCCAGCTTTCCACCACCCTGCTTCTCCTCGGTCTGTTCTTTCTGCAAGCCTGTTCCAGCCTAGGCCTACCAACTGTCTCTCTCCTCCCCTCTAGAAAAAGGAAGGCCAGCCTATCCAAAGCCAGGGTTGCTGGGAGATATAGCCCCTATAAACAGTTAACTTATTAAACCTTACAATAATTTCATAATTATCTATGTATTTCAAATAGTATAACCAAATCAGTAATTTTTGATATAACTGTAAAAACTACTCTGAACATTTATTATTCCAAAAATGAAACCTTCATCTAGTTGTAAATATTAAGATTATACCAGCAAAAATGAGTCTGTTAAAAAATGATTTAAATCAAGTCTGACTAGTGATTTAAATCATGATTTAAATCAAATCCACCCTGCTTGTGAGCATTTACAGCAGTTTTCCAAAAATGGTCCAATAAACCAGAAACAGATAGGTTAGCAACAAATGAGGCTAAATGAAAAACTGCTCTCTAGCCAGAGAATGATGATTCAGGGCCACTTCACAGGAATTCCATCTTTCAATACTGATATTTGCACAGACTTGAAATGTGCAAATCCACTCAAATCAATTAGCTGTAATTAGCCAATAACAAAATTGGAGGGATAAAACTACGGTTAGGAATACTCATGCACTGAAATTCTATTGTGTATTTATTTGTGGCCGAAGTTGGAGTCAGAATGCCCAAAGTGCACAAATTGATCAAGCCTTTAAATGCTTGTTAATTTGTTAATAGTTTTCTTAATTTTTCAGGCCATCTCTTCTCTTTTGATTTTATTTGGTAACGTCAATAAATTTCTGAAAGTTCGCTTTTTCTATATTTTCCACAATACCACCTTGTTGGGCTTCAAGAGTCACCCACTGAGTTCTTCTGAGCCACCCATTCGTTTCTACAAACATCTCAAATGCAAGTGAACAAGATGCCCACTGAACTCAGGATGGCTTCAGAAGTCTCAGAGTGGTTTGCATATAATCCTGACTTTATTAAACTATGGTTTATTAAACCACAGTTTAGCATTATGTGTGAACTGTTCCCAGCAGCCTAACTGGCTTGCTTACTGCCAAGAAACCATACTTGGTTGTTGGCTTATGGTCTTTGGATTTTTTAAAACTATAGCTCAGTGATATACATGAACCCAGCACCCTTCCTTAATCATGATTTGGCCTCCCAGCCCAAGACACTCACCAAACTATAAAGGTGCAAGACAAGAGAACCTAGAAAACAAATCAAATTTTAGAGAAACAAACTATAGCTTAGCATTATCTGCAAACCAGGCCAAGCTATACTTTCTACTGTGGTAGAAGCCCACTTGTCTGCTCCTCAAAGGATTCTGTGGATCACTCAAGAATGTGCAAATGACTTCCAATAGTGCACAAATAAAGAACTATGCCACAATTTCTCTTCATTAAAATTCCAAGAGAACCTCACCAAAACACACCTTATGAATAAAAACCAAGCTGGATGTAAAATGTTATGAATGCAAACAAAAATGTGTATGTTATATAAACAGTAGGGAAGCCATAGCAGCCTCAGGACTGTGAGAAGTGGGGAAACAAAGTTTAGTTTTCTCATTCTATCAAGGTTCTGAAGCTACTATTTTCATTTCAAATGAAACTCCCATTTTCACCTGACTGGCAAATATGGCCAACTGGCACCACAAAAGTGATGAAGAAAAGTTCTGAAGCCTTAAATCACTGGGTGTTGGAAATAGCTACTATCATGCACAATACAAGGGCCAGCTCTGCAGAGTCAGTTTTGTTTTTGGATCTTGCACCAGCACAACTCAAGGTGCATTCAGGCAATACTCAAATTCAACCTGAGGATATCCCTATGGTTGTCACCTAGGTGCGAATTACTATTACAAGAATGAACCACCAATAATTGTTTATCACAGGATTTGCTCAGGCTGAATTTAAATGACTAATGAAAACTGTGCACAACTATCAAGAGTGGAGAGGATCACTACAAGAAATAAGATTTCCTTCACATTTTATTTGTGTTTCTCATGATTTCTACGCTTGCCATTTCATACGAGGTGAATACAGTCACTACTTGCAGGATATCGTTTGCCAACTAACTGGAACAAATATTGTTAAGCAGCTACAGTGATACCTTGGGTTCTCGAATTTAATGCATTCAGCTCCTGAAACGGTTTGAAAACCAAGGCACGACTTCCGATTGGCTGCAGGAGCTTCCTGCACGCAACCAGAAGCCACGGAAGCTGCATTGGACGTTCGGCTTCTGAAAAACGTTCGCAAACTGGAACACTCACTTCCGGGTTTGCAGCATTTGGGAGCCAATTTGTTCGGGAGCAAAGGCGTTCAACTACCAAGGTACGACTGTATTGTGTTCTATCATGTTATTATTTCTTGCTTGTAAGCCACTTTTGGATTCATTTGAATGAAACGCAGCATAGAAATAAAATAAATCAAAACATTTCCCCCCAAATGGCAGAGAGTGAGCAAATTGAGGACCTTGCCAAAAACGAGGGGGCATGGGAAGAGTTCCACAAGTAAATTTTTGTTAAGTTGCCAGACAAATAAAGATGAAAAATTGTTTTTGTTACCCCACGTGTTCTGTTCAAAATATAAGAACTGGAAATAAACCAATGGTAGAGTATGCATCAGGTATGGGGAAACCTGTGGTCCTCAGTGGACCACAACTTCCATTTCACCAATCAATCGTCATGCTAAATGGAGAAGACTAAACAAGAATCCAACAATAACCGGAGGGCCACAGGCTCATTTTTAAATCTCAATGATAGATAACCATTGGGATTCTGCTCCCTGCTGACAAATTAAGCTAGTTCATCCATTTAGCAGAATCCGGAGAAAGATAAATGAACTTTAGCCAGAGGAATGGAAGGTATTTAAGTACCATGAATAAAGGGTTAATGATAATGATTTCACTTGGACTGAAGGTTCTCTCAACTGTATTCACAGGGTTGTGTTTGACTATTACTCAGAACAGACCCACTGAAATAAATCAACTTAAGTTCATGGGGGGGGGGGGAATCAGACAACCACCAACTGTATTTAACAATCTCATCATCCTAAGTCTTGAAACTATTGCCCAAAATGTGTCGGGGGTGTGAGAAGGCTGTAGTGTCTCAATACTTTCATCAGCAGACTTCACATGCTTTTACTTACCAAAATTAAATTTTATAAAGCAATGCATAAACTTGGCTAATATAAAATGAAACCTACCTGTAACAGTAACAGTAACAGAAGTCACATTCCGTTTCAGCATCTCATAAACTGGTCTGTGGAAAAGTATTTATTTTTAAAGTTAAGTTCATTCATAGGACAGATTGTGGTATTATCACACTTATCAAACCTTCTCACCCTTCCACTTCATCTTTAAAGAAAGTCGAAACAGCCAACACAGCCTGCAAATTTTCATAAGCCTGCAAACTCATACAGTTGCCACCCTATCTAGAGTGCAAGGACAATTAAGTATCTCAAAAGATTTTTAGGTTAACAATGCATTTTTTTCCTTTAAAAGGAATCTAGCTGTGGTGAGTTGACTAGCAATTTCTAAAAGGGATCATCAGGAGAGTAGATTTTACTTGTCTTTAATTACTTATTGAGAAGTATGGCCTTTCTTTGGACTCCAAGTTTGTTACGACTGTGAGATGACATTTTGCCACATGAAATCTCATATTTTAAAGCAGGATTTTTGTGATGACACTTGAGCATGTCTGTCCAAATGTGACCCCTAGTATGACAAACTACCCTATCAGACTCCTCACCCTCAGTTTAACAGCATCACAAATATAAAATGGAGAAAAGCCTTTACAGCTCTGCGGCTCGTCTAGGTGCTCTGCCATAGTTTAAGGACACCATCACCAGCTACCCTACGAAGAGAGCATTTGCCCATGTGGAGGAAATGTGCCTGAAGACTTACCCCACTACACACAGGTTTGCCCCAGCTAGGAGGATGTAAGAGGAGCTTTCTTCAAAGTTTTAAATACCCCAGTTGAGTGATCAATTGGGCATTTGATTAACTTTTTATTAGGGGACATGTGTCCCCATACCTCTGAGAAAGTGCCCTGTTTTGCCTTTAGAGTGGCCATTTTAAGGAGAAAAGTTTGTGGGGGTGATAAAGTTCTTCAGGCAGCAAACTCTTATCTGAGAGAACATCTGGTTCTAATATTTATTTTAGTGGTATAGTGTATTTTGTTCTGCTTTTATTCTGTTTTACGTATTTTATCTTTTGTAATGGCCTCGGGACAAAATAAATAACAAAAAATGCAATATTGTTGGGAGGCTTGGTTAAGCCTGCATGCAAGGCTAGCATTTTGTCCCATTCCAGGCCTCAAGGTCTGACCTACATGTGCAACAGAGCCAGGTGGTGTTAAGTGGCAGCACGGAGCAGGTCACTAGGCAGAAGTCATTTTTTGAATGACCACCTCTCCCCATTCTAAAAACTCCCTGCAAATAAAAATCAGCACGTAAGTTACAGAGCAAGGCTACAACTTCTCTCCCTGGCATGCTGGTTTTCTATTTGCTGTGAGGTTTTGTTTTAATATGGAGAAGAATTCGAAAGCAGCCCTGCTGTATGTGACCAAAAGCAGAATAAGTCTATTTAATGAAGTGTCTTATGGCACCTTAAATACCAACACATTTATTGTGCCTTAAGCTTTCAGATACTAAAGTCTACTTCATCATATCCATGGTGTAACCCTCATCCGCAGCTACATATACAAATGTGATACGGGTGGGAAAATGAGGTACAAAAAGTATACAAATAAGTGGCAATTCATTTATGGTGGAAAGTTTGTGAGACAAATATGATAACCATTTATAAGAGCAGTGGTAGGCGATAATCAACTAGGCACTGCTGAGTTAATCAACATCTGAAGTGTGAAAAATCCAATGACTCCATTCAATCCCAAATGAAGAGGCTTGAACTTCTGGATGAATTTTTATTTAGCTATTTCACACTGGAGTTCCCCTTTGAAAATCTTTTGTTCATGTATGGCCAAATACAGTAGATTTCAATTAGATGCTTGCACCCCTAAAATACATTATGCTCAAAGGAGAAGGAGCGATCACTTGTGTCACGAGTTATCTATACCACCCAAGCTGAAGAGGAACCATAGATTAGAAAGTTGCTTTACACACAGGAAACTTATTCTATGTATGTTTTAAAGATTTCCTACCTTGGGTCATTCACAGAGAAGCTTTCACAACCTAGAAGATCCCCCAGCTGGTCTCCTCCACAATACACCATGTGCTGCTGTTTTTTGTCATATAGCTGCTTCTTTGAGATATACTCCCCAAGGTAATGTACAAGCTAGGCAAATAAATAAAATAAAAAAACTTAAGACATGCAGAAAGAATTAAACCAGTAAGGATTGTTCTCTATTACAATTTGTTGAACATTTTCCTCTGTAAATAACATCACACAACGATAGTGCTCCTAGTCAGTAAAAACACTGTTGTAATTTTATATGGCTCCCAACCATCTCATGAATTAAAGCTCTCTTATTTTATGAATTAAAGCTTATCACATTCTTTGAACCAACGTAGATACTGAGGGTTGGATTCAACTAACACAGGGAGCTAGCAGAATGGAGCACAAGAGCTTCCACAAGTGCAACAGGGCTCTCCCATCCTCTCCTGCCCCAATTCCACTCTAGAGGGTCAGGAGAATCCCCATAATACTGGTGGGGAGGAGAGGGGGAATCACTCCATCTGGCAAGCAGGAATGCTTGTGCTGATGGGGCAATTGAGACAACAGACTTTTAATTCCCCCAATTTCAGTCCTTTATCTTTCAGCTACCCACGTGACAAAAGAGGGTCATATATACATAAGTGCTCCCCAACCTGCAGGTCGTGGCACACAAGTGGGCTGAGAAGCCTGTGCAAGTGGGTCATAGGGTTGATAAGTAAAATCAGAATAATGACCACCTTGAACTGGGCCTGGAATCATAATGGCAACCAACGTAACTGTTTAAAATAGGGGTTCACAGAATTGGAGTTAAATGAGCTCTAAACGGAACTCCACAATCCAGCTAAAATGGAACTCCCACATCCAAACCGCTTTCCATGGCGAGAAAAAAATGTGCAATTTTTTAAAACGGGAACATTTCTCTCTCTCCTTAGAAAGCAGTTTGCATTCAAAGCGCCGGCTGGAGAAAGCACTTCAGGGATAACTCTGCAAACCACTTAAGGCATCAGCAACTGTGGGGGGGAAATAGTAAACACAGAATAAACAGACATGGGTAGTTTTTTATAGTCCATACTCCTTCCCAAATTAGAACCCCACTGGCTGGAGTTTGGATATATAGGGATCTCAAAGATGACACAACTGTAGATCTGAACATTGATATCTGTGGACCTTAAATTGTCTGGAAATATAACCAGTCTAGAGCAGGACTGAAAAACCACTGATCCTTCTAGCATTGCTGGACTATAACGCCCATCATCCCTAACCACTGGCCATGCTGGCTGGGGCTGGTGAGAATTAGAGTCCAACAACATCTTGAGGCTCAAAGGTTCACCATCCCTGGTCTACAGCTTAACAGTGGTAAACAGAAAGTGGCATTAGTTATAATGCAGGAGACGCTAATATGTAAATAATATATATGCTCAATGTTTAGTTTATTGTATTAGGTAGATTTTTAAAAGCTGAGAATTCTATATTAAGCATATGTAAAGTAGTTGTCATTATAACCATCAGAGAAGATTTTATATATATTCACCGTGTAATAAAAGTTTGTTACAAATACCCTAACCTCCTTCTGAGAAGCTTAGGGCCACTTTCCCATGGGTGTCCCAAACACTGCTCAGATACACTGCATCCCTTCAGAAGCCAAACCATACTATGGGCATTCAAGCACAGTGGCAGATTCAGCATCTAGGTCAAGTATTCCCAATCAGCTAAATTTTTTATTATTTTATTTATTATTTTATTTATTATTTTTATTATTTTTATTATTTTTATTTTTATTATTATTATTATTCCCCACTCAACTAGCTGGGTTGCCCCTGCCAAACTGGGTGGCTTTCAACACATATAAAAACATAATAAAATATCAAAAATTAAAAACTTCCCGATACAGGGCTGCCTTCAGAAATAAGGCCAATAGACACAGAGCCCCACTGCTTGTGTGAGAGTTGCAAGTTTAAAATTAAGGCAATGACATTGCAATCAAATAATTCTTGAACTGCAAACCAGATCCAACTGAAGTGGTGCAGCCACATACTAGTATATAACACACAAGTGGAGCCTATCCCTCATGTAATATATTAAGCATAAAAGCCTAGTCACCCCTCTGTGTCTCCAGCAAAAGGGAGAGGGGGAGTCTCACCTAGAGAAGATAAATGCAAAATGAACAACTACTAGCAGCTTCCACCCACTGCTGGGGGACAAGCCCTTACTGCGCTAAATGTAGTCTGGTGTGGCAAATTAACATTTTAACACTAAAACCCCTTCCATTCAAAGTATTCAATTTGTTTTTTGCAAAAATATTAGAAGCTAAATAAGTTATTTAAATGCATAAGTGTTTAAAATAAGTCACAGAGCACTACAGGAATATCTGACACATTCCTAATGAAAAGCCACTGCATTTAATTCCTAGCTGACAGGATACCCCTGTAAATCACAGCTAGTGTCATTTTTCTAATCTTGTACACACTTTGCATTTTCATCTTAAAATAAATGATTTCACAGGGTGTCTTGGGTTTAGCTGACAAGACATTTCCAATGAAATGAGAGAAAATAAAAAAGTATAATTCAAAAACTTTCAAGCTTCAATTGGCAACAAGAAACATTTCTAACAGTCTCTCAGGATTACAACTAATGCAGTTTCCCTCCCCCTCATAATACTGACCGATAGCCCTGAATCGTTTTATAATAGCTATTCAACAATAAAAAAGCTGCTGCTCTTTTAGCATCTGCAACAGGCAGCTCAAAAAACCTTTTGATGAATAAAACACACACCCATGGCAATAAGGATGTGCCTATTTCACATGAAAGGTTCAGAAGTGCTGAGACCAAAATCTGCCCCTCCATATTTCAGCCTCTATGCTCAAAATCAAACTAGGGGATGCATTATTAAGAATAGTTATGGATAGTCTTTTGGGACACCCTCCCCCTCCCCCAAAAAACCACTTTCACCAACACTGCTCACTCAGGTTATTGGGAAGAAGCAGAAACATTTCATTCTAGCAACTAAATTATCCAGAATAAACTTGCAAAATTACACACAGCAGCATATCAATCACCAGAAGGAAATCAAAAGGTAGCAAACTGGAAATGTTAAAAGAACAGATGAAACAGCATCTGAAAGTGGCAAATGCTTGTGTCAAATACACATTGACCACCAAAAAGAAGTAAATATTAGGGAGCATAAGACAGCATATATAATTCAAAGACCATATGCACAGTCCTCATTTTGTGGAAGTTACCATTACACTTTCCTGCTTCAACAGCCTAAATATGGGAAGTGAGAGGGGTTTTCCAATAGGACTGAGCCAAAATGTGTTCGCAACTTCATTTGTTTGGGCTATGAAGTCAAAGGGGGGCATTTCAGCAATATTAGATGTGGTTATGTATAGAAATACATAAAATAAGGCAACCATCAAAACTGTTTCCAATACAGAAGAGTGTACGTATCAACTCACCTCCTTTAGTGTGAAAGTTTCACCTTGAGCACCTGCAGCTCGCAGAATCTTCAGGAGTGGCGGTTTTGGTCGTAGCTAAGATATGTGATAAAGAGAGTTTTCTAAAAGCCATGTTCTGTAACTTGTGTGAGGACAGATTAAATGCTGCCCATACCTTTCCCAGAACAGGAAACTAAATGCTTCATGCAAGCCTGAAACACACAACTGCAATGTCCCATCCCCACCAATGCACCTTTGAAACAAATAATTCTAAGGAGATGAAGTCACTAACAAACGATGCATAACCTCAATGTAAATCATACATTTCACTTTACCAGAGAGAGAGAAAGCAAGATTTAAAGAGAACGAGCATGAGAGGCAACAGCAACATACAAATCCCAAGTATCATAACACACATGTTGCTTCCCCACTCTCTCTCACTGCAGCAGTCATAATACCCAATTAGGGCCACAATTATGTTATATCAACTCCAAGTGAAACTTTATATGAGAGCTACCCAGGCAGCTTCATAAGGCTGAAACAATGAAATGCCTGAAGCAAGAAGGCCCATTGGTCTGTATTAAACACCTCATTACCCTCTATATTCCCAACGCTAAAATGAGAGACAAAGGTGAAGTGTTGATATGTTCAGGCTAAGCGGGCAGAACAAGGGAGTTAGCAACCTAGAGTCATTCTAGACCAGTTTCAAAATTACACTGGTCGTACTGATTCCCATTTCCCCACATGTCTGTGGAGTTATGCAGTTCTGTGTCACCAACAGCTTTTAATCACACAGCTTCCAAACAATACCTGGGCAGCAAAAACACTGCAAATTCCAAAATCTTTAACTCAGGATTTTGTTGGAAACTGTTTCCCAGCACTCTCACTACCAATTGAAAAGACCAACCATTTGGGGACTCCTGTGTTTTCCGAAATCAAGCCCAAGGGAAGCATCAAAACTGCATGCCTACTTTTGAAACCGTTTGCGGGCAGCAGGACATAAATTAAGCTCACTTAAAGTTCAGTGCTACAGTAATCTAACACAAGGCTCATACACACCCAAATAATTAAATCAGAGAATAGTTCCAGATTCCAACTTAAGGGGCCTCTGTCATATGGGTTGATTTCTTCATTTTAAGACACCCTGCTCTCTGCAGAGGAACACCTGAACCACCTCAACGTATTTCACTTGGGACCCTAAGAACTCCAGCATAGCCAAATTGGATATAAAGATTAGATTATTCTCAGCTCCCCAGGATACTAAATTTGACAGCTAATATATGGCCATTAACTCAAATGTCTTTATTTAGTCAATATTTTCTCCCAGCAGAGAATAAACAAACATGCTTAATCATATTACCTGGGAACTATGATAGATAGTACCACTTCTAAATTAATATACTAGGGAACTAAATCCCAATGGAAAAGCCAGTTGTCATTAATGGCAAATAAACTTAGAAGTTGAACTCCTTCCTGCTTGATTAGCACCCACTGTTGACTGCACTTGTCTTTCCCGCTTCCGTCTATATTGCTGCGTGTTACACCCCCTTTTCCAGCCACTTCTGGGTCGCCGTGATGCATGTGTGGTTGCGCATCAATTGGACATGTGTAAATCAGTCGTTGCCTGTATTTATACATATATACAACCTGAGCCTACGATGGAGGGGTTCACAGCATTAACAGCCAAAAATGGTACTGCTTCTTACATACCTGCAGTTTTGGATTCAAGCCAAATGAAACATGGCTCAAGCCAAATGAAACATGGCTCTCTCTCTCTCTCTCTGCCTTTCCAGTCTGACCTTCTAGTTCAAATATTACAAATCTGACCTTTTGTCTTTCTAACAGACAGCTGAGGGAGGGTAGCCCACCCATTTGCCCTATGACTGGAGCCACTCCCTTTGTTCCACTCAGGACCCATATTTAGCAGGCCTTTAGCAGGCTGGCCTGGCTATTCCAGCAATAGAATCCATGCTGGATCCAGGAATTAAAATGGGGCCCAGGCTTCAGTCAAACCCCTCCTCCAAAAAAACTCATAATAATAGGTTACCTGTTTGACTTGTTGAGGTGATGTTCTGCAGGCACTCTCTGGTGATATATACTGTGTAGAGGTGGAAGATGACATTTTGGCAGTGAAGTAGCTGTCTATCTTCAATACAAGCCTAAATCCAAAATAAGATTTATCAATTAGTCTGAAAGAAAGCACACACAAAACTATGCCAGAACAGATACTATTCAGAAGTCTTAGAAAACCATTTGGCATAAAATTAAATAATAGGATCCTAGGAGTACTTACATGTCTAATATTAAGACCACCCTATTACCATTTTTTTAAATTTGGTTAACAACTTTAAAAAATCCAACACCTACTAGTCTAACATAAATTAGGCAATTATGAAGGAAAAGCCTGCAACTCCTCATTTATTGCACCTTAACTAGATATCTTTCCTCTTCTTCTAGAGACTAGTGTCTGAAACAACTTCTTCGAAGTGCAGTCCCAAGCAGTCTTTACTCTTCTGACCCTTTGAGCCCTAATATAACCAAGTCCCCTCTGGCATGTTGAGGCAAATCCCTAAAACAGTGACTGTGTTAGGATGAGTCACTTGAACACTAACAGCTGAGTCATTAAACTAGTACCCAATCATGGTTAACTTGGTCAGCAAGCAGGGCTGGGGCAAGCAACTGAATGTACTAGTGCTTAAAGCTAATGATATAAATACAGTTTATCCTATAAACTGAAAAGTTCCACAAGTGTTTATGAAAAATACAGTATGCTTTATGCAGAGCTTTCAAATCAGCAAGCTTTATTTTCACTCAGTTCCAGCAAAGAAAGCATGAGATAGCAAAAATCCCTAAATCAGAATCCAGAATTATTTATTGTGGCACCATTTACAATAAACAGCCAGTTAAAATGGCAGTATCAGAGCTCTCTCCTATGGTATTTATTCTGAAGTAAATCATACTGAAGCATGCATGGACATGAGCTTTATTGCAAATGTTGGGTTTGGTATGGATATTGCAACTTGTGGAGAGACTGTGATATCTAGAGGCTAAATGAGATGGCTACTAAATGATAAGCATGAGATCTCAGTAGATCTATGGCTTGTGTATTATCAGATTTAAACAAATCAGACTGAAAAGTCGAACTGATTAAAAACCTATGCAACCTATGTATAGACACAAACTTAGTATGTATACATTAATTCATTAAATAGAAAAAGGATTACATCCAAATTCCAATATTTCAGAATGAAATTAAGGGAAGACGTTTTTCATGCACTGAATTGACAGCCTTGTTCTCTAATGTGGCAGTTTTCAAAATAACCATAAAACATGTACAGACCTGCATGTCCTAGTGGTGGGGTTTAAAATAACAGGCTAGGAGTAATGGCAGTTCATGTCATGATGGACTAAGTAAATCCCTCCAGCTGGATTTTCCATGGTGCTCAGTAAAGAATATTAATAGTAGGCTAAACCAGGTTTGGATCTTTGGATAACCTTGTAAATGATGGCTGGCAAAAAGTATGACATCTATGTATAACTATGACTTTCTCTTAGAGCTCACAACAGCACTTGAAGTTTAAGAATTCAGAAAATAGTTTTAAAACAGCTAAAAAATATATTTAGCTTAACAGAACATGATGGCCACAATTTATTTAAAACCATAAAACACTAGACACATGGATGTACTTCCCAATAAAATAGATGTTCACAAATGTTCCAAGCAAACACATACAAATATGTAAACCACATGTCTGAAACCCACAGAAAACCATTTTCTCTCTCCCAAAATGACCTCAAATATTTCTCTGCAAGGTCAAAGGAAATGGGGGAAATCTCCCAAGTGTCTCTGTGCTCACAAATCCTGCCTTAAGGGCACATTTAATGTGAGAAAAGGGTGAGCATTTGTCCTGGGTTCAGGAATTAAGTAGTTATAACAACAGAAGAGTGGCCAAAACCCAGATAATGCAATCAGGTAAATGGCAGACAGGAGATAAACAACACACTCAGGATTCTGTTTTAGACCGCCCCCTGTGATGTATGTATGATGTATTGGGAGAGGTGGTCCTGGGCTACACACCTTCTGTGATGTATGTATGATGTTTCTGGGGGTGGTCTGGAGTTTGAGCGTGGGCAATTTCAAAGTCCATACAGTGGACGCTCGGGTTGCGAATGTGATCCGTGCGGGAGGTATGTTCGCAACCCGCAGCACCACGTCTGCGCATGCACGGGTTGTTATTTGGCACTTCTGCGCATGCGCAAAGTGCAAGCGCCGAAACCCGGAAGTAACCTATTCCGGTACTTCCGGGTTCGGCACAGTGCAGTGCGCAACCTGAAAACACGCAACCTGAAGCATCTGTAACCTGAGGTATGACTGTATAAGGGCGGACGCACCTTTGTTCTGGGTCCCTCCCCCCCTCCTGTGTGTGGGGAGGGGAGCACACTGTTGCAACAGCTTTAATAAAGATCAGGCTTACTAGCTGCTTTGCTTCTCAATATTCTCTGGTTGGTCTCTGGTATTTTCTCCTACCGATAGAGAACCTACAAAAGGACTCTACATGGGCTCTTGGGTACCCCATAAGGGAAAAGGAGCAGTTTTTTTCTCATAACAGGTAGAATTTCCAGTACGTACTAGTTGAATGACTCCGCTGTTCAAGTGACTCATCTGAACACATTCACTGTTTTAGGACTTGCCTGAGCATGTCCTAGGGGACTTGGTTTTCTTTGGGTTCAAAGGGTCAGAAGAGTAAAGATTGCTTGGGACTTCACTTTGAAGAAGCTATTTCAGAGGGAAGATAAATACCCCATTAAGGTCTTATAAATGAGTTGCAGGCTTTTCATTCATAATAGCTTTATTTATACTTGACTGGTAAGTGTACCTGTAGGTTTTTTAAGTTGTCACCAACTGAAAAAAGAGTAATAAGGTGGTCTTAGTTTTGGTCATGTAAGTATCCCCTAGGATCTTTTCACTTATTTTTGTGCCCAATGGTTGTAAATTGCCATATGAGATTAGCAGCTATAACAATATTAGGGAGAGGGGGCAAAAACACATTGTTGCACACTGGTACTATCAAGCATTGCAGGGGGTTAGGGTTGGACGAGATGACCCTTGGGATATCTTCTAATTCTACAATTCTGCTTCTACAAGCATTCATTTATGCCCTTTAAGATGACACAGAAAAACATGAAGAAATACCATCCCACACCCTCTAACAGTCATCCAGAATTCTGAGATCACAGAAAATGATCAGTCCCCCGTGAATTGTTTGGGGACTTAAAATAATCAAACAAGTGATGCAGTGAGAATGTTCCTGTTCAGGATACTACTTTCTATTCGCCTTCCACCCATCCCCAAGAGTCAGTTAGTATTCTGTTGCAATGGAGGATGGCAAGAACTCACTGGGCTATTGAGTTTCCCAAACCTTAGGGTCCTTGTTTTCCTAAATGTTTTTTTTTATTTCTGGGAACCTTGGGCATTCCCTCAAGCCTGGTAATATCTCCAGCTTGTGTATGGAAGGTGCCGTTTCGGTTATATAAAGATGGACACTCCTAGAATTGAGACTGCAGTACGATAATGAGCATACACTGCTGTCTAATTGTTCACTTTCCAATGCATTACTAATCTCTTAAAAATCACTTCCTTGTTTCCAAGCTTTACTTAAAATGGCTAGGCAGGACAACTAAGCAGCAAATGCCGGCTGTCATTCAGCAACTTTGATTTCAGCGTCTTACGTAAAAATGATGGGCGCACTGAATGATGTAAGGACCTGCGCACTCCCTTATTTTTAAACTTTCCCTCTAAAATATTTAACACGTTCTCCAACCATTTTTCCACGATGTCAGAGCCAGCTCCTGATTAGTTATAAACAAACTCAAAAAAGTAATTTCAAAAGTTGCCTTGGAGGGGAGCAAAGAAAGCTACTTTAGACAAAGCCCTTAGTGATGGGGTGCTTACACAAAGCACAAGCGCATGCAAGTCAGAGGAAAGATACGCTTCCTTAAAAAAAAAAAAGTGCAATGTGCCTGAACTTGGCGAGTTTAATTATGAGAAACGTCAAAACGAGAGCTAAGGATGCGTGCAAATGCCAGTCCTTTAAAAAATATATACCTGCTTTAATTTTGCTTTTCAGACTAGTGAATGCTGTAATAATGATAACCCTCCGCTGTGTTCTCCCCTCCTTACACTAAGAAAAAGGCAGTTAAAAGTCCCAAAATACCCAGGTGCTATTGACACAGCAGGGACCTCCCCACTCCAAAGCCTAGCAAGCGGTGCCTTCTCCCACAGCCTGGAACTGGAGACTATGGAAGACAATCTTACTCGGCTAGGAGTGATCGCCAAAAAATAAGACTTTTCCACGCCAAGGAAAACAGAGCGTCTCATAAATGCTTGGGGCAGCTTCTTCACGGCCCCCCTCGCAACACGCCACCTCCAACCTCCCAAGACTAACATTTGGGCCCGCAAAGACTCCAGGAGCCACAGTTGCCAACTGAGCAGGGAAGAAGAGCGAGAGGAGCAGCCTGCCTGCCCTTGCTTCCCTCCCCCCACCTCCGTTAGCAACCGTTCCCTACATTAGCGTATAAAAACACCCCATCGTGGGCGCAAGTCGACGGACAGCGCTTTTTACCGCAAGGGCTTTTCTGTACATCCCAGGTCAAGGGGGCTCTCGAAGCGGCCGGTCCAAAAAGTCGGCAACCCCCGTCCCCTCCCCGCGGTTTTCCCCCTCCTGCGCTTCCCCGCCTCAGCCCCGCCACCTAAAAGTTTTTTCCCTAAAAGTTCCTTTCGCTGAGGGGGAACTTGGAGGGGCCCCCCCCCCGAGCTGTTCGGCATCCGGCCAACGTTCGCCCTCCTACGGAGAAGCCGCGAAGATCTCGGGCCCCTCACCGCCTCCTCCGGGACTCACCCTAAGGCCGCTCCACGACGCCCAGCAACTCCCGGCTAGTTACGGGGGATGGGGCGGGGTGGGGAGGACGGGGCGCTTAAAACCCCCGGCGGCTCGTCGCCTCCATCTTAGCGAGGGCGGGAAGGCAGCAGGCCTCGGTTTCCGCCCAGCCTCTCAACATGGATACCCGCGCGCTTCCGCCCAGGCCGCAGGGATAGGCCAGCGCCCACGTGCCTATGGCGGGACCAGCGACACGCGGGATCAGCTAACAGAGAGTCTCCCGCCAAGTCACGCACTACACCATAGAGGTTAATGGGAAACAAAGGCTAGAGCGGAATGGCGGGCGGGTAGAGTGGAAGCCACAGAGATAAGGAGGAGAGAGATGCTCACCCGCAAGAGGAGGTTTCTACGGAGCTTGCTTCGCCGCACGAGGCGGGCTGCCCACACGCGGGGTGTAATTGCTGCAGGTGATTGGCAGCAGCTGCCTCTCGTTCACACGCGGCCGAAACAGGTGTCCCCTGGTTGGGGTGTTTCCCCCGCGCCCAATTCGGATCTTACTCCCAAGTGGGAAAATTGGGTTCAGCCTCTGAATCTTTAAAAGCGCGATATTGGCTGTATGTAAACCAGTGGAGCACGAGGCTTCCGCACGGAAATATGCTCCGCGCTTAGTCTGGGAGGAGGCGATTTCAATTAGAGTTGCTTCTTCTGCACGGGAGACTTTGGACTGGCAATCCGGTGTAGTCTCAGCCCCACCCGACTTTGTTTTAAAAATTCACCCGGGAAAAGCTGGCTGGGAAGTCCAACCAGCGTCCAGAGTTCCCGGGAGGCTCCTCTGTCGGTTGGGAAGAAGCGGTAGATGCTGAGTAATTTTGAGCAAGGCGGCTGCTAAGCCAGGTATTTATTAGAAATACTGCTGCAACAGGGTCCCCACTCACAACTCGCAGGAAAGAGAGAACCTGAACAACAACAACAAAAAGCCTCCATTTATACCCGTTGATTTGGGTGGTCTATAGGTGTGCACCTAGAAAATGTCAGGCCAGAGTCACTGAAGGGGAGGCACCACGTGTAAGGTTTTTACAGGTCATGAGTTTATCAGTACATCCCAGGTGTTCCTTCGCAAAAAGATAACAGGAACAATAGTCTTACATTGTTCTACCATTGTTTCTCTTTACAGTGAAGAGATTTGCATGAGATAGCCAACCAGTTCGTAAATTTACATGACATCTGACAGATCACCACTTCTTGTAACCTTCCCTTCCCACCTTTTCCCACACTGTGACATGAGTGAAATAAACTTTGTGTGTAGACTTTATCATTGTTGCATTATTATTATTATTTTTCAGGTTATTTCAAAAAGGAATTGAATGTTTCCCTTTTGAATTGGAGTATTGCTGGTTTTGCATAGCTGAACCTGTTTCCTAGACACGGTGGCGCTGTTGAATTCCTTTAACAGTTAGTCTAGATAAGCAACACCTAGCTTTTGGGGTTCATTTGAACGGGGAGCGTTTATGTACATGGGCCCTCTATAATTGTGTGAGATGAAGTTAACAGTTTGCAATGTTAACAGCGGATTACATTGAAGGGGAAATTATCTAAGTAAATTATCTTTTAGCATCGCCCCCTAACCTGCAATTAGGGCCAGCCAGAGTGGGGTGTCAGGAGGCTCACTTCACCTGCAGCCTCAATCTCAAAGGGAGCCTCAAAATTAGGCACTTGTTAATTTTTATTTTTATTTGAAAAGTTTTGTAACTTCGAATTGGTGTAAGTAAAAAAAACTGCTCCTTTTCCCTTATGGGGTACCCAAGAGCCCATATAGAGTCCTTTTGTAGGTGCTCTATTGGTAGGAGAAAATAACAGAGACCAACCAGAGAATATTGAGAAGCAATGCAGCTAGTAAACCTGATCTTTATTAACTGTTGCAACAGGGTGCTCCCCTGCATGCAGGAGAGAGGAGGAGAACCCTGAACCATGTGTGCAAGCTCTTATATAGACATTTTAAATTTCCCACCCTGGAGTCCAAGAACAACCCCAGAAACATCATACATACATCACAGAAGGGGTGTAGCCCAAGAACACCCCCAGATACAACGGTTAAGGGCCCAGGGATCGAGGCCACAGAACCAGTGTCAGCAGAAGAAGGACTGGGGGCTGTTTTTGTTCCTGTTGGGGTCTCTTGAACTGGCAGCGTGAGGCAAGCCTCTTCAGAGACAGAAGGGAGGAGACAAACAGTGAGTAAAACCTGTGCCTAAAAGCTAAAGTAGGCAGGCTGGGCTGTTTGTGCAGCTGCCAAAGCAGCTCGCACAGAGAAGCTTTGATTTATGACTGCTTCTGAGTGTTCCTGACTCCGTTTAATCTCTGGGACAGAGAATGAACAGGAACGAATCTCAAGTCCCTGAGTTACATAGAGGGAATGCCTGACGCGGCAGGTCTTTGCTGAGAAAGTAGCCTTGATTTATGTGCTACAGAAGGGAGGACATACCCCGATGCTTATGAAGCTGGATTCACACAGCAGCAAGCTTTGCCAGGACAATAGCTGTATATGGAACATCAGCTATGGGGGAGGGAGCAGTTTCCTCCAATGCCGCGTTGAAGTAGCAGACATGAACTTCTCCTGGTATGCCCCACAGAGAAACTTACGGTCTTCAAATAAAAACATCTTGAAGGTCCCAGGCCACAGGCTGGCCTCAACTAGAGCCAGGGCTTTTTCGGCCGTGGCTCCGATCTGGTGGAACACTCTGTCACAAGAGACCAGGGCCCTGCGGGACTTGACATCTTTCCGCAGGGCCTGCAAGACAGAGCTGTTCCACCAGGCCTTTGGCCAGGGCACAGCCTGACTCCCTCCTTCGGCAATCTTTGCGGAGCTCTGGCCCAATGGTTGCCAGTGGCTTGAATTAATTAATTTTATAATGAATGATTTTAGAATGTTGTTTGTGCTGTACTTTTGTACTGTTTTATTGTTGTTAGCCGCCCTGAGCCCGGCTTCGGCTGGGGAGGGCGGGATATAAATAAAATTTATTATTATTATTATTATTATTATTATTATTATTATTATTATTCTCATGCATTCCCTGTCAGTTTGGGAATGTGGGGGAGCAGTGATTTTGTTCCCGAAGCTACAAAAGCAATTTGATGCTTTGTCTGATGCCAACAGCCAGAGTGTGAGTGAGTGTGTGTGTGTGTGTGTGTGTGTATGTGTATATATATATATACATATATATATATATATATATATATATATATATATATATGTAAAGTGGTGCACCCCAGATCCAGCTAAGCCCCAGACCCAAGCTGCTATTATAAGAATTTTAAGGACTTAGATATATAATAAATGTTCATAAATGTACCAAGCAAACACGTACATAAATATATAAACCACATGTCTGGAGCAGCACAGGATACAGTCCTGAAACCATTTTGACTGACCAAATGTTTCTCTGCAAGGAGGGAAAATGTGAGGGAACCTTCCCCTTGTCTCAGGAATTAAGTGATTACCATCTCAAAGGAATGGCCAGACTACCATGAAAGGCAATCAGATAAGGCATTATCAGATAATCTGGCAGACAGGAGATAAACAAAGCACTCAGATTTCTGTTGTAAACCGCCTTTTCTGTGATGTAGGTATGATGTATCTAGGGGTGGTCTTGAGCTCCAGGGTAGGGAATTTCAAAATGTCTATATAAAGGGAGGCACACATTTGTTCTGGGTCCTCCTCCTCTCTCCTGCGTGTGAGGGGAGCAACCTGTTGCAACAGCGTTAATAAAGATCAGGCTTACTAGCTGCTTTGCTTCTCAATATTCTCTGGTTGGCCTCTGTTATTTTCTCCTACGGATGGAGAACCTACAAAGGACTTGTGTAACCCATAAGGGAACAAGACCAGATTTTGTTTGCAACACTGCAAAGGCGCATCAAGGGGGTAAAATATGTCGCTGGCTTTTGAAATGGGCTCTAGCCCACAGCAGCTCATTAATGGCATAAGAAAATGTGTTCATGTTGTATGAGATGCCACAAGGCTGCCCCGTCCGCATTGCAAGCTTGCCACCAACAAACAATGAGACAGTTCCATGCGGTGAGCAAAATAACCTTTGGGGCCCGAGCCGCTGGTTACTGCAAACGACTCAGGCGAAAGGAAGGTCTCTAACCCTGCCCAGTTTGACGGAGCGGGACTGGGGAGCAAGGGAGATTCGTTCACTTTTGCCCCGCACATGGCGGCTTCCCTCCAGATCCGGAAGTGGAGGCTCGCGTGGAACGTTGGCCTTCTGCGCGTCTCTTTGCCAACTGGGGAACCTTTTTTTCTTTATGGGCTCCAAAGGAAGGGAAGGGGAAGCTTCGCCCGCTAGGAAAGCAAAACTAGGGGAGCTGCTGCAGCAGCAGTTCTTGCATGCATGCTGCAAACCGAGGTCCCTAGGCTGCGCCTGCGCAAATACTGACTTATTTATTTGTTTTGCTCCCTGCCAAGCAGTGTGCATAGAATAACCCTGAGCCGCTGTGCAAATTAATATACCGTGTGCAGCTGTTTGTGGGTGTCTTTGTCAATGCAAAACTGATACGTTGTTTCCTGAAACGGGGGTTGGCAGGCGGAAATGGGGGCAGGATTTATTTTACGGGGGAAATAACCAACCTCCGTTGCTCTGATTGGTTATCGCAGAGCAATGGGAGTAATTAGCACATTGCGCGCTCTCCAGTAGCTTCGCTTTGTCTAGCGCCGTAGTGGAGAAACTCAGCACGGAGCCCGGATAGCTCAGTCGGTAGAGCATCAGACTTTTAATCTGAGGGTCCAGGGTTCAAGTCCCTGTTCGGGCGGATTCCGCTTTTTTTATTTAAAAAAAAGCTTCATTAAATTTTCTGTTTTAGTGTTCTTACTACTTTCTGCAGTCCGATTTCCCTTGAATAGTCTTTTTTCGCTGTGTTGTGCTAGAGACTAGATGATGGCGAGAAGCTACTCTTCTAACGTGCATTAAAAAGAAAACCCCGAGACATATTGCAAAGGAACCCTGTAACTTAATTTTTGCTATTAAAACCACCTTTTTGCAGTTTGATAGAATTTTTATTTGCCATTTTCTATTAAAAATCGTACTCGCCCGAACAGGGACTTGAACCCTGGACCCTCAGATTAAAAGTCTGATGCTCTACCGACTGAGCTATCCGGGCGCTCTACAAACTTTTGTTTCCACACTGTAGATGGTCTTTCTCGTTTATCCTGGCAACCTGTCTCTTTGTGGCTTGAGTATTGTATGTGCATCCTTTCTTCGTGTGTATAGTAGTACAGATTACTTGCTCGCCCCTTTTGTTAATTTCTTGCTGCAGTGATATTTCCTTCCTGCCTCGTTTTTTAAAAATCTCTGATTCTGCATGAGTAATGAAGGAAAGAGGAAAAAGCATTGGAATAACCGGGCTTCAATTTATATACAGTACTTTAAAAAAGCGAGCATGCGGGGGTGAACCTTCTGCAAATAACAAGATACTAGCAAAGTCTTCCCCCAACTTCAGTCCCCCATGCGACTGTTTAAACAAGCAAAGCACGTATCAAATCTCTGATATTCTTTAACACTGCAATTCTATACCTGACTACTTAGAAATAAATAAAACAATAAAATGAATGCAACGTGGCACTTCAATATTTCCAAAAGTGCAGCAGCCAACTGAAATATCTCGGCTCAGAAGGCAGAGGGACTGAGCTCTTAGCTTTTGTTTTCCAACGCCTATCCTTGTTTTCAAAAGCTCTGTACATATTGTTAATCAGATCTTCTGAGTGCCATGCTTCTTATGCACCACAGTCAAAGCTGCACCTTCCAAGCACAAGACAGAGATTTCATAGAATAAGAAGGGAGCCTGAGGGTGATCGAGCCCAACTCCCTGCAATGCAAGAATCCTAACTAGATCATCCATCCACCCTCTATGTATGGTGTTAACTAGTCCCTGATGGCAGGCTTGTCCACACAGAAGTTTAATGTGTGTTTCTTCTCCCATTCAATTTGCTTGGTCCGCATGACATTGCCCTCAAAAAACAACCATCTCTATGCTTTCTCCCTGTAAATCTGGGTTTACCTGGATTTTGCATGGATAAATTGAGGGAAATCACGCTCTAGTCCCTCCACTTCAGGTTACAGATCAATTGTTTTTAGTGTGGATGCATAAGTCATCACTTTCTGGCCATGATTGTAACTATGTCTGGGGAGTTCTTGAACAGAAGTTCCTACACATTCGGACAAAAGCAGAAAACTGCAAAGGTAAACAACATTAAAATAAAATTCTTCACCAGATAACATTGGACGTCAACCTAAAAAGTGTGTGCTGAGAATTTACCATTGCTTTCATTTCTTTTCCATTCCAGCATGCTAGTAAGGGTGCACTGGAAATTTAGCTATAGGTATACTGGTATATAGAGCCCACAGATTTGCACAAAACCAGAAAAAATGTGCTAGCAAATTTACAATTGCCTGTGTTTTTGCATACTTCATGGCCAAGGATATATATATTTTTAAGCATGGTGTGTGTGCGGTTTTCTGTGCTCATGCCCTGTTGGTACTTAATTGGCATGATAGAATCAACAGACTAGAAGACACAAGGCAGTGACAAATGCAAAAAAGAACATCCACTGGTTTGAAGGGGACAGACCAATGCTGCTACTTACATACAGATTCAAATACATGTGGGTGTGAACGACTCTTATTTGAATGGGGGAAATGAAGGTTAACAAACAATGCTCAAAAGTAGACAAGCTGTTGCTGCATTTCTCCTGAAGGAACAGGTTCATAGCTTGGGGATTCTCCTGGATACATTACTGTCCCTCCAAGAGATGTTGAGTGGGCAAGAATGAGGAAGAGGGCCTTTTCAGTGGTGGCCTCCTGTCTATGCAATGTTCTCCCCAGTGAGGCCAGCTTGCCATTGAACCTATCATTGGAGGTCATATTAAGACCTTTCTCTACTCCCAGACATTTAATGGTATCTGCAGTGTTTCATAAACTACTTTTTTCTGTTGTGCATTATTGGCCAGCTGGTGGGTGGATATATTACAGTATAGTGGGGTGCTTTTAAAATATATTGTACTGTTCCTGTGTTGACTTTGTTGCAGGAATTTATGTTGCCCTTCCAGGGGGTTGCCCTTCCAGCAGATATCATGCACATGCACCCCACTACCAAAATCAGCACAATTACTTTTGTGACTTTTGTGATTTGTCCCCACAAAACACTTCATCACAGTTTCTTCCAATCTATTCAAAGGGCCTTTGCTGCACAATACCAAATGTAACAATTCGCTGCGAAATGTACTGTATCTATGTACTGGCTCACTGGGAAAACTTCAGAAATTTATATAGACATGTGAGCTCAGCTACTCAGCAGCCTCTCTTGCCTGAGTGATAATCCCTGGCATCTTGATACCTGAGTGCCAGACAGGAAGCCATTCCAGAAATAAGAAACCCAGATGAAGACAAAAGGGTGTGATTAACTTGACTGGGAAACAGGGAAATGTAAATATCTCTTTTGTTTCACTTGACTGGTGTTTGGCAAGGGGAGGAATGGGGCAGGGTCCAGGATGCTCAGATTACTGCCACCAGACCTCCCCTTTCATTGTGTAACCATGATGTATTAGTGATGTCGTTTTGGGGGTGTAACATGGGGGTTACTAAAAAGCTAAAGGTACCCCTGACCATTAGGTCCAGTCGCGGACGAACTCTGGGGTTGCGGCGCTCATCTCGCTCTATAGGCCAAGGGAGCCGGCATTTGTCCACAGACAGCTTCCAGGTCATGTGGCCAGCATGACTAAGCCGCTTCTGGTGAACCAGAGCAGCGCACGGAAATGCTGTTTACCTTCCCGCTGGAGCAGGTACCTATTTATCTACTTGCACTTGATGTGCTTTCAAACTGCTAGGTTAGCAGCTAATAAAAGTTTGGGTTCTCTTTTGTATGGGGCTTCCATCTTGTTTCACCTGGTGGCAGGTGGGAGTCCTGTCGCAACAGTCTTCAATAAAGACCAAGCCTACTGGCTGCTGTTTTGCTCTGGTATTCCTGGCTGGTGTCCTTGTTTTTTGTCCAAGGGAGCCCTCAGATTTCTCCGTTAACAACTTGAGTTTAAAATTCTGTATTTATTTTTTTTATAAGCCTCCTTTAGACTTTCTAGGTATAAGGCATCTGAGAAACACAATGGGACAAATTCCAAATTGCGCTCTTCCAATTGTTCCATCTGTGCGAGAAACTTGCCAGATGGAAATATCCCCCATACCCCCATACACCACATGCTGCTCTTGGGGTTCTCAGTCACAAACCTCAAGGTTGATTTTAGGGCATGGGGAGGGAAGGGGGCGGGAATCCTGTTGCATGAACAGAAGTCCTTGTGCAAAGATTCTGCTGACAGAGCTGGTTAGGTGAATCCCACCTAATTATTACAGCATATTTTTTGGCTTTCTGTTCTCAGATGACAGGAGTGCTTATCAGAAGCCTTGGATGGCACGGGATAACAGCAGTGATCGCTGTACAAATACAATGAAGGGACTAGCGCAGCTACCCCTCTGGAAAGAATACTGTTGTAGACTCTGCATTTCAGAGTTCAGGCTTAATCGTCACTTACTCTTAAGTATTTGTTCGCTCTTCAGTGCATTGTTTGGTTCTTTCCACTAGGGAGCAGGTTTTACCAGCAGATTGTGTGGCTCTTAAAGGCAAGAGATTCAGGCAATCTGCTTGAAAGTAGAATTAGCACTGTCCGAAGAGGCACTACAGACAAGCAGACTTTCAGCATATGCTACTTACATTGCAGCAAATGTATAATATCGATCGCCTTACCCCATTTTGTTTTCTTCTGCAGTGTCTGCATCACACCTCAGCGTCACTCCGTTTTGGACATGCATAATATACTGCCTTTACATTAGCAGTTTAAAATTCATTGCCGATTTAGCAAAGCGTTTTTAGGCTTCCATGAGACGTAGCTGTGGGTGGGTTAGAAGATCTGCAAGCATCAGGGACAAAAGAAGAGTGCAGATGATTCCAGGCTTCACAAGTCTTAAGATGGGCTATAGTTCACCGTTCCTCTTTCCATAAGACTTGTGAGTTGCACAAGTGTGAAGCTCTAGGTCATGGGTAGGCAAACTAAGGCCCGGGGGCTGGATCTGGCCCAATCGCCTTCTCAATCCGGCCCACAGATGGTCTGGGAATTAGTGTGTTTTTACATGAGTACAATGTGTGCTTTTATTTAAAATGCATCTCTGGGTTATTTGTGGGGCATAGGAATTCATTCTTTTTTTTCTTTTCAAAATATAGTCCGGGCCCCCACATGGTCTGAGGGACAGTGGACCGGCCCCCTGCTTTAGGCAAAGGAACTGGGGAGTGACATTTCCTTAGCTGCAAAGGTGCATGATTTCAGTGGAGGAAACATCATGCAAAAACCTACCTACTGTACAAAAGCAAAATTTACATTCACTGCTGTGCCCACTTTTGCCCAGTAGGGAATGTGACCCCTTGACTGAACCCTGGAAATGGGATAGCCCTATGCTTCTAAGGCATGGGGCTGTGGAAGCAAAAAGGAATAGCCACGACTTAGGCTGTGTACATACTACCAGTTTCAAATGCAGCTAGCTCCTTGGGCATGGGCAGATCTATCCTGTACCTTTAAAGCACATCACTTACCCCCAAAGAATCCTGGGAAATCTTCTTTTCCCCCCTTCACAGAGCTACAGCTCCCAGCATCCTTAATACACAGGATTCTTTGGGGAAAGTCATGCGATGGTGATGGGAATGATGGTGTGGGTGTGCCCCTTTTTCTCAATTAGAATTGAAGCAGTCTTTGGGGGGGGGGGACCCAATTTAAAGCATGGTATTTCATAAAAGGACATCCAGAAATGCAGTAGGTGCTATCCCAGCCCTTAACACATGTACTGGAAGCAAAGATCATTCAGAGAATTTTTCCTCACCAAGTTGAGACAATGTGCACTCAGAATTACATGAACATGTATGTGTTCAGGATGTAGAGGGTGTGTGTGTGTGTTTGTGTGTATAAAAGCTGTGTTCCTCTCAGCTCTACATCAAAGAAAGAAAGAAAGAGGCTGGGACAATTATTATGGATGTGCATTACCATGCACTCATCACAGCCAGCCCATTTATTAGTTGTATCAGTGACAGCAACCTCAGCTGGCATGGCGTGAGATCAGCACAATAAATGGCCACTTAGTTACAAGCACACAGGGGCTCATTTTCTCTGTGTGCTTTGACATTTTCATTTTAATTAATCCATTTCTGGGACATAATCTCAACCTGACAAGCCAGAGGTAAAGACTGTCTCTTGGCAGAAGTATTTTTTTTGTTTATTACATTTCTATTCTTTGCCTAACCCAAGGAGCCCAGGGTAAATTCACACTTCTCCCTCTCCCCAAACACCATTTTATCATCATAACAATCCTGAGGAGTAGTTTGGACTGAAAGAGGGTGACTGACCCACTGAGCTTTAGGGATGAATGGAGAACTGAAACCCAGCTTCCCTAAGTACGATGCTTGAAACACAATATATTTGTTTTGTATTTTGTTTTGTTATTATTTTGTATTTCATTATTATATTGTAGAGTTTTGATTTTTCCTTGCTGTAAACTGACACTAGGGATGTTAACTGCAGACAACCAGGTATAAATAAATTGGTTTTGTTGCTGTTAGGATTGTAGGAGGCTGCCCTATGTCGAATCACGCCATTGGTCCATCTAGCTCAGTATTACCTACACTGATTGGCTGTAGCTCTCCAGGGTTTGGGGCAAGGGTCTCTTCCAGCCCTACTTGGCCAGGAATTGAACAGAGGATGATGATAGTTGTTACACTGATAAAAAAATCTAAGATGACTTCTTCATTATTCATTTTCCAGTGCCCTTAACATTCTTAGAGCAACTCCAGTCATTCATTACAAATTGTTGAAATGTGATATTTAAGCCATTAGTCAGAATAACCTTCACAATGTCCATATGCCATTTACACTCTTCCATACTGGATTGGATCAAGAACGGCAACCAACCCCCATCATTTAGCCCAGACACCGAGGTCCAGGACCTTATGATGGTTCCCTCACTGTGAGAAGTGAGGTTGCAGGGAACCAGACAGAGGGCCTTCTCGGTAGCTGCGCCCGCCCTGTAGAATGCCCCCCATCAGATGTCAAGGAAATTAAAAACTATCTGACTTTTAGAAGACATCTGAAGGCAGCCCTGTTTAGGGAAGTTTTTAATATTTGAAGTTTTATTCTGTTTTTAGTCCTCTGTTGGGAGCCGGCCAATGGGCTCCCAGATTGGCGGGGAATAATAATAATAATAATAATAATAATAACAACAATAACAATAATATCAGTGATCCTCAAAGACCATCCCTACCCTACCACCCCAGAATGTATCTTGACTGTGACCCAGATCAAAGTACAAATTCCTCTCATGATGATCAAGGGTTAGATATTGATGGAACTATTTCTTTGCCCCATACGCCCCATACACACTCCGATCTTTTGCTCTGAGATTGATTAATATTGTGGGGCTCAAAAATCCTGCTCTTTCATTTTCCTGACGATCTGCTTGCCCTTAAGCTTTGGATGAGGATACAAGTGAAGACTGCAAATGTAATCCTCTCAGTCAGGCTTGTTGAGAAATACGTCTTACAGAGTTCAGCAGAGGTGACCTCCCTAGGAAATATCCATAGGATTGCGATCTAGGTAATTTTCCACACTAACCCTTTTTTCTGGTATCGACAGCATCATTTGCTCACACATGAACCAGAAACATCTATCCCAATCCAATGCACTCCCGTGTTTCGCCCATTCTTCTCCTGTTCTGGTGGTGGTGGTGTTTGGTTGTCGGTTTCCTCCCTTCCAAGTGCTAGACCATCACGGTTTATCAAACAAACAACACAAGAACAGTACAAGGCTTTCAGGTGTGAACTGACTGATGCTGTTGACTCAGCTGGTGCACAGGCCTTACTTGTGATGCAGCTGGCGACAGTGTGGAACCCCCGCCTGCCTCCCTTGTTTGGCAGCTTCACCACCAGAGCCGTCTTTCAGTGGTTTGTTGCGCCAGGGTGCCGGCCTCTCAGGGGCGCCCTAGCGAGTGGGGGGGGCTGCGTGGCTTTGCCGGCAGCCTCCCCTTTCCCTGCACGCCTGCCAGATGCGCCCCGCCAACTACAGTGGTACCTCGGATTAAGTGCTTAATTCGTTCCAGAGGTCCGTTCTTAACTGTTCTTAACCCGAAGCACCACTTTAGCTAATGGGGCCTCCCGCTGCCGCTGCGCCGCTGGAGCACGATTTCTGTTCTCATCCTGAAGCAAAGTTCTTAACCCGAGGTACTATTTCTGGGTTAGTGGAGTCTGTAACCTGAAGGGTATGTAACCTGAAGCGTATGTAACCCGAGATACCAATGTATATGGCTGGCAGGTGTGCAGCTTCCTTCCCAAGCCTCCGCAGGAGGAGAGCGATCCCCACAGAGGCTTAGGATGGAAGCTTCCCTCTCAAGCCTCTGCATCTGCTAAAGACGGGGTCGTTGTCCTCCTCCTGCTTCCTGGTGCGCAGCCTTCCTGGGCTGCCTTCTCAGGCGCCCCTGATGCCAGAGAACATGTCCGCCAGCACGTTTTCCTGCTTGATCGCCGCTGCCACGGCGGGGATCGGGGCAGTGGGCAAGGCAGAGGACATTTTCCACCGCCCTCTCCCTTGTTTTGGAGTTGCCGTGGGGGGCGCCGGAGGGATCTTTGCACCATGGTGCTGGATATGCTTAAGACGGCCCTGCTCACCACTGTCCCTTCCTCTGCTCTTCAGTGAAATTGACAGGATGGGGGTGTGACGTTACCATATGAGAGTGCTGGAGGTGAAATAGTTAAACAGGTTACCCTATCAGAACCCAGGGGGGGTGGAGTCAGAGGGACTATAAAACCAGCTCTGGGAGGGGCAAAGGGGTGTGTTCGTTGGGGAGTTCGTTGGGAGTTGGGTGGTTGGTTGGAGTGGGAGATACAGTTGAGATACAGTTTGTGGATAGGTTGAGTTAGTGTAGCGAAATAGGCTGAGTCAGGAACAGTTAGGGGCTAGGCAGACAAGTAAATATCTGAGAGGTGGTTTAGTGAGTGAGAGGAGGTAGCAAAAGTTATAGGTCTGGATAGGCACCCCATGAATGTAATTGACTGATACTGTTTATGAAACCACACACTTGTTAAACTGTAATAAATAAACAAAAGTTGACGTTTCAATTTAATCCTGACTGGACTCAGTATTGTCCGAGGTAGGGCCTGGGTTGTGGCAGCGAGAAATAAAGTGGTGACACAGGGATCAATAGACGTCCGGGAACCCTGTCTCATTGCCACAGGGCGGGGAGCCTTTCCTGTTCTTTACCTCAAAAAAGAAAGAAAAAACTGACTGAGAACACACATGTACTTTGATGCAAATATAACCTAAAAGACCCCTATCCTTACAGCGATAAGGCAGGGAAAGGATGTGAATTATCAGAAATGATGTGCCATGGGCAGAAGCAGGCAGAGATAGGCAAGTTAGTTCCCACCAAGGTTCTGCAAAGTAACGCCGCTCTCCGCTGCACTGCCTATCTGGGGTTGCAACATTGCCTGCTTCTGTCCCTTTGCCCTTCCTTGACTTGAAAATATTCATTTTTGTTAATGCGTGGGGTTATGTTCTGCTGTTGTGCACAATCGCCAAACAAAGTTAATGCTACTTTAGGGTTAGTTTCACATCAATAACCTTTCGTTAATGCAAAACTAGCACTAACTCTGTTCCGTTCAGCGTGGCAGCTGCTGTCCTCTGGCTGCACCCCCTAAATTTATCTGAAGGCCAGTTGCCAGAGAGCATGAGCTGGAGAGAGTGATGTTGCAGATGTGTCCTGATTGTGGGCTTCCCATGGGTATTTGGTTGGCCACCGCCAGAACAGAATGCCAGTTTAGATAGGCATTTGGACGCATCCAGCAGAGCTCTTCACGTTCTTACCTCTTGTTTTAAGGAGGCTTGGCCATTTCAGGACCAAAGGTCAACTCCTTTTATCCATTTAAAGCCTGTGATCGAAAGAAGAGAAGTCAATGAATCTCAGCAGCAATATTTTTATTTGTTAAATTTGGCTGCTGAAATTAATAGGGTTATGGAACCAGAAGCAGATTTCTGTGTGTAATAGTAGGGCTTTTAAACTCGGGTACCAAAGAACATCATAAACCATTTGATGATGTCTGTTGCAGAGAGTAGGCTTATTATTGCATTATTTACTAGGTTTTGTTTGAAACATGTCAGTGTTGATAGTGCTCTAGTGCAAGTCACTCCCGTATCTGGGAAATGGCCAGCTTCATTCAACTCGGGTCTTGATGCAAACTAAAAAATCATCACCATTCTGATGAAGTGGGCTCAGGCCCACAAAAGCTTATGCCACAGTAAATATGTTTGTCTTCAGAGTACTATAGAGCTACCCCAACTACCTTCCAGAATTGTCATTTGGGGCCTCTCAATGTCTGTAAACATCTACCAGAAGCCTGTTTCGGAATCTTACTCTTCATACTATTATAGGAAAAGCAAAATCTTCCATCCAACTTCTCGTTAACTAGGACCAATCATGTAATTACCATCAGCAAAAGGAAATACAACGGCCCAGTGATGAGAGGACTTGTTTAATGAGAATTGATTTGGATGTGTTGGCGAGGTTAGGCAACGCTGTGTTAAACAAATGTTACCTCTGACTTTCCAATCATTTTCCTTACTGCAAAATGTCCAAAGGTTTTTGGGTGGGTGGAGAAGTGGGTTTGTTGTGCAAGAGCACCAAATCGACTTAAACTGTGCAAACTGAATTGACTAGTATTATATGACTGAATCCCACCCCGAAACAGTGACATTTTGAAGAAATGAGATGAAGTTGCCGTTTCCTTTTTAAATATTTTGAACTGTTGCTGGTTTCTTAATCATTTCAACGGGGCCTTCCACAAAACTCCTTGGATCGTGTTCCCAGCAGGAAACAGAAACATCTTAACCGTAATTTATTTTTGCATGCATGTATGCAAGAACTGCAGATATGGTGAGTCTTTGCGCCGCTGCCTGGGGCCTGGCACCTTCCTTGGACCCGGAGACAAGCAGAGGCGCAAAGAACTTTGTCGTGTGAAATGCAAGGGGGCCTGTCGGTTCCCCCGCGCGCAATGCAGCATCAAACTCCAGCGGATGAGCTTCTGCAGAAAGGCGGACACGATCATATGCCTTCGGCTCCTTCACAAAAGTCCAGAAAGCAGCCAGAGCCCTTTTTAAAGCGCCAGGGTTCACGGCGGCCGTGCGCGAGGTCTCCAGGAGATGGCGCGCGCCTTTGCGGCGCCTCTCGTCTCCATTGTCTCGCTCGCTCGCATCGCCCGCCTCGCTTGGCTGTGCTGGGAATCTGCAGCTCGCCGCTTTCGCTCGCCAGCTCCCCTCCGAAGAAGAGACCCGTTCCCGGAGCTGCTGCTTGGATTTTAATGCCAGATGCACGAGGATTAGCAGATCGCCCCGAGGAGCTATCCTGGAATTACCACAGGAGGAGGCGGAGGAGGAGGAGGAAAGGGGGGAAAGGAAAAGGCATTGTGGAAGAGAGAGAGGAGAGGGAGGGAGGCGCGCAGGGAAAAGACGATCGCTTGGAAACGGCAGCAACAGACCAGGAAATCGCTGGGCAGAGACCAGGTAAGCTGGGAGCAGGAGGAGGCGTTTGCGAAATGGATTTAGGGAGGCACCGGCAGAGAAGATGTGCGAGACCCAGGTTTGGAAACCAACCAGTTCTCCCTTTCGCAACATGGAAATCGGGGAGGGAGCTTGTGCAGGGAAGCCGCTTCCACTGCAGTCCCAGCCTTGGATGCAGTGCAGCAGGCGCAGCAAGCCTTGGATAGCAGGTTGCGCCCATGGAGGCTGAGCCTAGCTTGCAGAGGAATGCTTCGGGAGCGGGATCCTGCTCAGTTCCTCCAATAATCTCTCCCCCAGTTGCAGCGATCTCTCTTTCTTAAAAGCTAAAGCTGGCTTTACTTTAATCTTTCCCTTGGGGTTGGCCTTTCTCTCCCCACCCGTACAGCTTGAACCACATGTGCTCGGATCTCCTTGCAAATGCCTGCTCGCTTTGCGTTCCTCCCTCTTAGAAAGCGACGAGCTTTGGGGGAGAACGGACCGCAAAAGGGGCGCGGTGCCGGAGGCTTGGTGGGGCGGGGGTCGCGTAAGAGGGATAAATCCAGTACCTCGGACATGGGCAGCAGAATCTCTCTTTCTGGGCAAACTTCCCCAAGCTGACGGGGCACGATGGATTTCTGACTTTTCTGAAAGTTGTAATACTACAATTCCTCTTCTTTCTCTTCCCCGCCCCCTAATAACTCTCCGAGGAATGGACAAGAATTGCCCAAGCTTGAGCGAGAATACAAGCTTGGGCCTCTGTTCCGTTTATGTTGGTTGGTTTCTGCAAAATTCCTGGGATCAATAATAATAATAATAATAATAATAATCTATCCCTTGGGATAATCGATTCCAGGAGCCAGCAGCAATGTTAGCACCATTATTCCTTTGTCTAGTATTATAATTATGACTACTATCTGTGTCATGAATATGTATTTTTAAAGCCTGGCTCTTGCATTTAGGAAAACCTAAGGAGCTTACGATTCCCATGTGTAGACTGCTTTATATGTAATTTATAGGGTTCTTACTATAATCCTTGTTAAAGTGATGAGTGGGGGAGCAGAATCCTTAATTAGAGGGTCATCCCTGTTTTTCTTTTCAGGAATGCATGGAGGGGGAAAGAGCCATTGACCTACTAAGAAAAATAGTGTTGTGGGGATTTTTTGTAATCAGGCTTTGGGTTGTTTTTCCTTTGTGCCAACTGTGCTGTCAATGTCCCTCCTCCGCCCAAGCAACATAAATGCGAAACATAAAATAAAAAGCAAATGATAAAACTGGATTTGGAAAAGTGGATGTGTTCAACTGGTTGGTGGGAAAGACCATAACCTTGCACTGAAATGGGCAATAGTAGAAAGCCATTTCCTTTACTTGCAATAAAACGGAATCCACAAGTTATAAAATTGCACACCAGTTGTAACTTTAGAAACCTTGGACAATGAGACATGCTGCCTTCTCAGGTGCCAAACTGGAGCAATGTTTACATATGTGCTTCTTAGACTCTCCCTCCTTGTAGTGGCGTTAGACAGGGATATGATCCCTTCACAGCAAAACAAGTTTACTATGTGTTGATTTGATATTGGCTTAAAATGAATCAATGGCTACACCGCGATTGTGTTATAGTATGCCATATAGTTTCCTGCTTCGTAGGCCTTTTATGTCACAGGTACGCTTTCCTTTAAGCATAGATGTAATCCCACCAAATGCAACAAGTCCGTTCCTGACAGGGCTGTTGGAATAACTGGAAGCTTTGCTATTGATTTTCAGCAACCTTTAGAGAAAGCCAGTAGCACTAGCATCCATGCATATATATATATATATATTCCATTTTAATGCCCACCAGTGGAGATTTATCTGCACTGAAATCTGATTGGCAAGGGAGGATGTCTAGCCCAGCTAGCAAGGCTGTCCTGGTCAGGGCTCATTAGCTGCATTACCATGGATTTGTGTGAAACAAAATACAGAGCGTGGTTGGGATCAGGCTGAACGTTTGCATGCGTTGTTCCCAGGAGGAAAGCTGAAATGGATTCCAAGGCCAGGATAGCAATCATTAAAGCTCCATGCGTTTGCGGATTGAGGTGGAAAGACGTACAAAGTATACATTGCTAGCTCCCTAGAATAAAAACTGCTGCCAGTGTGTACAATAGTGAGCAAAAGGAACCAGTGGCCTGATGGTGATGGAAGTTAGTTTTCTAAGTTCTTAAGAAATAAGCAGATCCAGAGTGCAGGGGGCCCACAGACCAGAGGAACAGACTCTTGCACCGGGGTGTTGTTTCAGGGGTTTTGTTGGGAGAGGGGTTGTTGTTGATATAAAAATAAAGATACAAAAAAAATCAATATCTTTTTAGATTTCTGTGGAAAATGTTCAATTTGGTTGTTTACTTTTTGATGAGTTTTATTTATTGTTTATGACTACTTTCATTATGTTTGTCATTATGCACATTTTTTTCATGTTGTAAGCTGCCTTGAGCATTTTAACTAGGGAAAGGTGGCATACGAATAAAATGATTAATTAATAGAATGTTGATAAACCATTTATATTCTACATGGTGCACTGTAGGTAGCTGCTTTATATCAAGTAAGAATATTGATCCATCTCATGCAGTGTCGTCTGCACTAACTGGTAGCTGTTCTCCAGGGTTTCAGGTAGAAGTCCTTTTTTCCAGCCTGATTGAAAGTCACTGGCAATTGAATCTGGGACCTCCTGCCTTCAAAGCTCTTCCACTGAGTTGTAGTTCTGCTCATAGTGCATTCACGCTTTGGGTACTTTGAGCGAGGGTTGTACCTCGATGGTGGAGCACATGCAAAAGGTTCCAGGTTGAAATCCCATCCTCTCCTGACTGGTCTGGGAAAGCTTGGCTGGAGCCCATGGAGAACCCCTGCCAGTCAGTCGATAATACTGAGTTATACAGACTGGTGGTCTGTCTCTTTATGAGACAGATTCCCATGTGCTTAATCTGATGGCAGTGAAGGAGGTCCACAGCTGCTGCAGCAGCTATAATTTGCCAAATAAGACCTACTTTAGATAATGTACGCAGGCAAATGCCATCCTTTCTTCCCCAGAGGAAAAGTGTCTGCTTGTGGTGTTTCTGGCACAGCTCTAGCAGCCTGTGAATCAAAGTGGGGTGCTCAGCAGGACACAAGGAATGGCAGAAATGGAACATGAGTGAAAGAATGAAGCTAAGGATTTCTTAGTAGGGTGGGGTGGGCTGGAACCTATGACCTAATTTTCCTAATGTAGGGTATTTCCTCAGAAATACAGTCATACCTCGTGTTACGTCTGTTTTATGTTACGTTCTTTCAGGTTACATCCCGTGCCAACCCGGAAGTACCGGAAAGGGTTACTTCTGGGTTTTGCCGCATGCGCAGAAGCGCAAAATGACATCACGCACATGCGCAGAAGCAGCGAATCGCAACCTGCGCATGCACAGACGTGCTGCTGCGGGTTGTGCTCCTTTCATGTTGCGAACGGGCCTCTGGAATGGATCCCGTTCGCAACCAGAGGTACCACTGTATTACCCAGAAATGAATCTGTCATTGGACTCTGGGAGGCACTGCCTGAGGGACGTTGCAAAGATTTACAATTCACTCATTTATAAAAAGTCAGAGGGAAGAGAAGGCATATGAAAGGGTAAAGCCCTGCTTCTCATGTGATGGCTGATATTCCACCTACTCTCTCTCCCACCCCCCGGCCTTGGGTGTCCTTATTTTCACTAGGCCTTATTTCCTGCAGCCTGAAAGTATGTTTATGGCTGAATCAGGACCTGTGTTTGCAAAACACAGGAGTGTGTCACTTTAGAGCAGGACTTGACAACCCAGCCTTCTAGTGATTCAGAAAGTGAGTTGAGAGAGACTATGTGCAAGGTGCATAACCTCCTGTCGTCTTGCTGCATTACCTCTCAAGGAAACTTACTTTGGCTCCATCCTGCTGCCTGTTATGAATGTCATTCGTTTAGGTCACCCTTTTCCCTAACCTGTGGTGTCTCCGGATGTTCCAGGCCACAACTCCCATAATCCCCAACCACTGACCATGCTGGATGTGATTGATGGGAGCTGTAGTCCAAAACATCTAGAGGGCACCTGATTGGGGAAGGCAGGTTTAGGTGATGGTTGGAAGGATACGGCTGCGCTGATGCAGCCAAGGAAGGCTACGCCAAGGAATGATGGGCATTCCAGTTAGGATGTTGCCTTGGATTTGGAGCCAACTCACACAACTGTGACTTTGCACACAGGGACGCGGGTGGCGCTGTGGTCTAAACCACTGAGCCTCTTGGGCTTGCCGATTGGTAGGTCAGCAATTCGAATCTCCACTACGGGGTGAGCTCCCGTTGCTTGGTCCCAGCTCCTGCCAACCTAGCAGTTCGAAAGCACGTCAAAGTGCAAGTAGATAAGTAGGTACCGCTCCGGCGGGAAGGTAAACAGTGTTTCCGTGTGCTGCTCAGGATTCGCCAGAAGCAGCTTAGTCATGCTGACCACATGACCCAGAAAAACTGTCTGCAGACAAACGTTGGCTCCCTTGGCTAGTAAAGTGAGATGAGCGCCACAACCCCAGAGTCGTTTGCGACTGGACTTAACTATCAGGGATCCTTTACCTTTGCCTTTTACTACAGCTCAGCACAATCTTAAACTTCCCATGAGGTCAGGGACAATCTGGTTAGATGCTGGCCATGATCATATACAGAAATCCAGTGACTCAGCATCCAGAGAGAGACTTGGGAATGGGAACCGTAACACTGAAGCACCGAAATCCCTTAATTTCTGCAGGAAGGTAATGTCTTAAATACCTGAAGTGTTTGAACATCTTAACGCAAAAGGCCTCCAGCAGTTATCAGAGAAACTGGGATACAGTGCTGCTGATAGCCATGCCCTGATGCAGTCACACCTCCTCTAGGTTATAACAGGTAATATTTACATGTATTCAAATGCGCCTGTTCTTTTGCCTCCTGATAGTTAAAGAACCAGATTTTCATGATTGCGCAGAAGGTGGAACATATGTACTCAGCTGGGGAAAATGCTTGTTATTTAAGTGTGTATAATTTTGTACAAAACCAGAGTTTGGTGGTCATTACCAAGCAGCTGGGTGCCTAATCTTGGACTCCTCTGCAAACCTGCCCCCTTTTCTGTCTTTGTCCCAGAGGTGCAGCTGCATGCGTCTGCTGCGTGTGCATTGATATGCACAGCTGGTCAGTTCTGCAGAACTGAAACTTCTGCATTGGAAACAAAAGGTTGTGCTGAATTTGACTGTTAGGCGTGGCTTCAGGAAGTGCTGCACCAGGTAGCATAGTTGCAGAGAGATAGCTGTGCAGAGCAGCAAACCTTGCAGGGATATTTGCTTAGCTCAACACTACTGACATAGATGAGTCAACGTCCGTCACACCTCAGAACTTCCAGGCCTGGTGGCGATACTTGCCAGTTGCACAGAGCAAGCAGGTTTCAAAGCAAATGGAAACTGCACAGTATGTGGGAAATTATGCAGTAAATGCTGGCAAGATGTGTACCTTTGTTAGGTATCTGTTCTGCTTTCTGCAGGCATGTAAGACTGAAAGGGTGCAACGTGGGGGTGGGAGCGAGCCGTCTAGAGCCATCCCTGTCATGCTAATGAAACTGAGCATGAGGCTTAGCCAGGCCTCGCTCCTCAAATATAGTATAACTTTACCCTGATAGATGTGCAAAAGCAACCTCGTCAGAATGACAGTTCTATCAATGACCCCTCACTTTCCCTTTTTAACGGTTCGGTGTGCTCACTTTGAAGCCCTTTCAAGGTAGAAATCAGGCATTCCGTGGATGTCACATTATTATTATTATTATTATTATTATTATTATTATTTCTACCCCGCCTATCTGGCTGGGTTTCCCCAGCCACTCTGGGCAGCTTCCAACAAAATATTAAAAAATACATTAAAACATCAGTCATTAAAAACTTCCCTGAACAGAGCTGCCTTAAGATGTCTTCTGAATGTCAGGTAGTTGTTTATCTCTTTGACATCTGATGGGAGGACGTTCCACAGGGCAGGTGCCACTACCAAGAAGGCCCTCTGCCTGGTTCCCTGTAACTTTGCTTCTCGCAGTGAGGGAACCGCCAGAAGGACCTCGGAGCTGGACCTCAGTGTCCAGGCAGAAAGATGGGGGTGAAGACGCTCCTTCAGGTATACTGGGCCAAGGCCGTTTAAGGCTTTAAAGGTCAGCACCAACATTTTGAATTGTGTTTGGAAATGTACTGGGAGCCAATGTAGGTCTTTCAAGACCTGTGTTACGTGGTCTCGGGGGCCGCCTCCCATAACCAGTCTAGCTGCCGCATTCTGGATTAGTTGCAGTTTCCGGTTCACCTTCAAAGTTAGCCCCACGTAGAGCGCGTTGCAGTAGTCCAAGCGGGAGATAACCAGAGCATGCACCACTCTGGCGAGACAGTCCGTGGGCAGGTAGGGTCTCAGCCTGTGTACATGTAAACAGATGGCATAATATTTTGTTGGGAGCTGCCCAGAGTGGCTGGGGCAACTCAGTCAGATGGGCAGCATATAAATAATAATAAATAATAAAATTATGGAGTCAGACTGTAGGGCACCGCACCATAGTAATAAAAGAAAACTATATATTTCACAACTATGACCAGTTCTGTTCAATTAAGGGAAAGATCACTGAAACACAGCACCAAGACAGGGTCGAAATGACATTTCTCCTCCTTTTAGTAAATTGCACCTGTTCACCTGACAGGTATATACTGGGGGATGATGTGTTCAGAGAATTCAGGCAGGACTGTGGGCTGCATAGGATCATCTGGTTATAAAGTGAAGAGGAAAGACCAGTGATATAAACCTCCATTCGTGCTATTAAACATGATCAATCTACTGCCTTAGTTACATGCCAGTTTTGGCCTTCGTGGAGATAAAGGAGCACAATAGTTCAGTTTAAGGACCAGCAAATCGGCGGCCATATATGATGATGCCAATAGTTCATGATATCCTTCCTCCTGGCAATGCTGGTGATCCATTTATTTATTTATTGCATTTACATCCTACCTTTTCCTCCAAGGAGTTCAAAGTGGCAAACATGCTTCTCCCACTTCTCATTTGATCCCTACAGCAACCTTGTCAGGTTGGTTGGGCTGAGAGGCCATGACTGGCCCAAGGTCACACAGTGAGTTTCATCATGGCTGAATGGGAATTTGAACCCTGTTCTCCCAGGTCCTAGTCTGACACTTTAACCTCTACGCCATGCTGGTTCTCTAGGAGGAAAAGAAGAGCATATACTATACAACACACAAGCTCTACTTCTTTGGTTTGCATGTCATATTCACAGGGCCATCTTAAGCATATCCTGCGCTGTGGTGCAAAGATCCCTCCACCTCGCCCCCCCCCCCCCCGTTTCCCAGAGTTGTTGACCTGTTTTAAGGGGGGAACAACCCCAAAGTTATTGATCTTTTTTAACGAAAGTTTCCCCATAGTTGTTGACCTTTTTTTTTAGGGAGCTTACACCACCCTTACACATTATCTCTAACAAGCCCTTAAAGGTAAAGGGTAAAGGGACCCCTGACCATTAGGTCCAGTCGTGGCCGACTCTGGGGTTGCGGCACTCATCTCTCTTTATTGGCCGAGGGAGCCGGCGTACAGCTTCTGGGTCATGTGGCCAGCATGACTAAGCAGCTTCTGGCGACCCAGAGCAGCACATGGATGCACGGTTTACCTACCCGCCGGAGCGGTACCTATTTATCTACTTGCACTTTGATGTGCTTTCTAACTGCTAGGTTGGCAGGAGCAGGGACCGAGCAACGGGAGCTCACCCCATCACGGGGATTCGAACCACCAATCTTTTGATTGGCAAGTCCTAGGCTCTGTGATTGAAAAGGCAGAAGAAAATCTAATGAAGTCCTAAATTCCAAAGCCAGACTCATTCAAGACTCATCAGTTCTTCTAATTCATCCTCATGATTCAAATCACCACATATCAAAATGTTAAAGCAATCACCAGTTTGTTCTTCTTCAAATAAATTGATAAAGACACAGAGAATGAAGTTCCTGGCCAATTTGTGTTTAAGTACGAAGCTGACGTTTTCAAATATTGTGGGTGGGTGGATGTAAAGCAGTGACATCCTGAACCTAAAAAGGACCCAAAACGTGGGCCACAAAAGCTGCAGCCCTAACTGCACTTACCTGAGAGTGAGCCCTGCTGAATCTAATAGGACCTTAAAACCCGCCCCCTTCTTTAAAGGACTTCTTGTTGGTGTTTGTTTTTAACCACTAACTGCATGGAGAGCACACTCTCAAATCCATACTTACCTCCGAACTGAGTCCTAATGGTAGTGCGCCCCCCCCCAGCTTTCCCCTCCCACCGCCCCAAATCTGAATGAATCCCTCCTCCACCTTTTTCCTTGATGGAAGGGGCGGGGGGCGACATTCTTGGCGCCCCTCCTCCTCCTCCCCACCCCCTGATCTGGGCAGCTCGAGGCTTGCTTGCCACATGGGCTTCCTCAGCAGTCCCGCTACTGCTGCGGGGCAGACAGGAGGACGACGGGCGCCACGTAGCTTTGCGCACCGCTGACGCTGCCTCCTCTCCCAGGCAGGAAGCGAGAGAGCGCGGCTGGCCGTAGAAAGATCCGCTGCCACCGCTACCCAGCATGCCCTCGCAGCTGTTACTGGTCGGTCCCAGACTCCCGCTGCTAGGCGCTCCTGATGGGTGGGCACCGTGGCGACCCTAATGGGTAAGACGGCCCTGCATATTCAGATACCCTCCACATGCATATTCTTTTCTGGCAGCCTGTTCCTCAGCATAGCAGCAAATGCTGCCCCTGGGAAGAATTCCTCATAACACCTACACACCCTCCAACTGTTGTTCTGGTACAAGTGAAAACACACACAATGTTTTACACAGTACCCAGAAGGGCAGCCATGGGGAGGCTTGCAGTAGCGAATGGGCAAACAGTGCCAATTCGTGCTGGAGACTTGCTGGTGCATTGTGGCAAGAGCAGATTTGGTGGGCAGCAGCCTGCATCAGGTCCATGAAGGAGATGTATTGTTTTACACAAATCTTAGTAATGGAATAGAAAGCAAAAAAAGGTATGACCTAATCATGGGGGGGGGGGGAACTATTTGGGGATTGGATGTGGCCCAGACTGGATGTAGCAGAACAACTCTATCCAAACGGTAAAGTAATGATAGGTTGGCCACTTAGGCATTGCCCAAAAGGAGGAATTGCCTTCCCAAAAACAGGGCAAAAGATGGCACAGAGTTGCACAGAATTTGCATGCACTAAGGCAGTGTTCTCCAAACTTGGATCTCCAAGCTGCTTTTGCACTACAATTCCCATCAGCCCTGACCACTGGTCCTGCTAGCTAGGGATGATGGGAGTTGTAGTGCAAAAACAGCTGGAAACCCTGCACTGAGGTATGAGCATAGATGCATATTTATGCATGAAATAATTGCTATTATTTAAATATATCTTACCATAGTGAGGAGGAGGGTGACCTGCAGGCCTGCTCAATCAGCTGACTAGGTGCTCCCTGTTGATGGGCAACTGCTTTGCCTTCATATGGTACTTTTTCTTTAAACTAGATGTGAGCTAGATATCCCATTAAACACAGGCAGGCTTTGAGTGGAGAATTGTTCTTTTTAAAGTAGGACACGTGGCCACTCTGGGCTGAGAGCTAATTCTCTTGATTAGCTTTATCCACGACTCACATTTGGAAAACAGCAGGCAAGAGTGGCCTTGTCCAAATCTGTTGTGGAATAAGGGAACTCAAACCTGCAGTGGAGCTTGAACCCAGGACCTGTGGTGTTCAGCCTGTGTGCTACTTCTGAGTCTCCTGTGCTGCCAGTAGACCAGAGAAAAACTTGTGAACAGGCTTGGCCTTTATAAACACCAGGAAGAACTTGCTGATGGTAAGAGCTGTTTGACAGTGGAACAGACTCCCAAGAGAGGTGGTGGACTCTCCTTCCTTGGAGGTTTTTAAGCAGAGGTTGGATGGCTATCTGCCATTTACGATCTAATTCAGATTCCTGCATTTCAGGGGGTTGGACTAGATGACCCTGGGGTATCTTCCAGTTCTACAGTTCTGTGATTCTAGGAGCTTTCTTGAGACAGGGGTCTGCCTCTTTGGCCTGAGCAGCAGAGGGACATGTCCCAGATCTGTGCAGCCTCATTTGCATATTATGTAAATTGATTGCTAATTATGCAAATCAAGCATCTTAATTGGGTACGTTCTATCAATTGCTTTGTGTTTGCTCCTGGCTCGAAACTTCCACAAAATTTTGGGGGAAGAGATCGGGCCGCTTGCTCATGCCAGGAGGGAAGAGTGGCCTTTCTCATCTGTTCCGCCTGCCTTTCTTCTCTGAGTCTAAGAGTGCAGCAAAGGCAAATTCTTCTGAATGGGCCACAGCTTAAAAGCTCTGCACATGCCAATGAGGACCAGAATAATGCGGTATTTCTGCAGTGAAACGCTGCACTGAAACTGCAGCAGGTACATCAGGAAGGGGCATGAAGTAACCGCCCCATTGGACTGTATGGCTGCTGGAAACAAATGCCCATGAGAAACAAGCCAAATTTATCCAGACAATTCAGCCGCCTCATTTCACTTCCTGGGCGGGAATGAACCTGACTTAGTTAAGCTCTTGATATAGTTGGAATTAAGTCATATCATGACCGACGTGTCCAATTGATTTCAACTTACTCAGCCTAGATGTAGTGTTTTCCTGTTTTCCTGGAGCTGTGAGAGACTGGAAATTTGCCCTTGCAAGGCGAGGAGCTAGGTTTTCCCTCACCAGGGTGGTCTGGGGAACCATGTCAACCCTGGTCTGAAATCAGTGAGTTATTTCAGAATCAGGCCAAACTGTAGGTCTCAGCTGCAGGTGAGCAAATTAACAAGAAAGCAGGGAAGGTCAGAGGTCAAAACTAGCCTACCTTGCAATTAATTCCAGGACTTTGGTAGGCCCAGAGCATTTTGGGGGCAGGGTTCTTGTGCCTGGAGCATGAGGAAGGGGTTGATTCACAGATTGGTGAGCCAGGATTTTTGAGACGCTGCTTCTGACCTTGCTGTCTCACATCGTCATTTGAATCGGACGCCCGATGGTGGTTTTGCCAAGCTGATGTGCTTTCATCTACAACAAGGGTGAGTTGTAGCCAGATCGCAAGCCCCTGGTTGGACCTCTGACCTTGTTGGGCCAAGCCTGCCTGACTTTCTCATTGCTTAGCCTACAAGAGAAGGAGTGACATGTACTGTCTCCCAGTCTTGTTTCTGGACCCAGTTCAAGATGTCCAGATTAACCCACAAAGCCCTTAGCGACTTGAGGCCAGTATTGCTGAAAAATCAGTGTCTCTCCCCCCCCCCCCTTGTACCTTTCCACATCTTGAGATATTCTTCAGGGGACCTCCTCTAAATGCCTCTGCCAAGTAAAGTTAGGCAGATGTTTATCATAGGGTGGGTATTCTTGGTGGTAGCACCCCAGGGAAGCTGGCTGGGCACCTTCTTTAAGCTCGTTTTGGCCCCAGGTGAAAGCTTTACTTCATTCTCCCAAACTCTGTAAAATGGCAGTTTTAATGTTTGGAAACACTTTATATGCTAGGTATATTCCTTTCCCTGCTTGAAAATATCTGTGCTGCAGAATGTTAATTTATGAGAGTCTGTTTTATCATTATATTTCTGACAATGCTAGTGAGTAGCCTTATAAATATGTAAGTGGAAATAAAATTGAATGGAGGACTGAAGTTGAACAATGGTAGGAATGGAGAAAGGGCTCCATTAGGGTTAAAAAAAAAGGTGGGGGGATGTAGGAATAAGAGGATTTCACAATTATGTTGAAGTTAGAAACAGCCATGGAGTCCTGGTTTTGATTGGAACAGTGCTTACCCACCAAAATTTTTCCAATGAAAATAGGGACATTTATAATTATAATTATAATATAATAATTTTTACCTCGCCCATCTGACTGAGTTGCCCCACCTACTCTGGGTGGCTTCCAACATATATAAAAACATAATAAAACATTAAAAATTAAAAATGTCCCTATACAATGGGGAGAGAATTAATTCTTTCACCTGTGCCATTTCCCCCAAAGTAAATTGTGTTCTTGGCTCTACTTGGGGTTGGGGGAAGGTACCTGTTTCATACCTTACAAGGGACTCCTGTGTTCAGGTGGGTGCTAAAAATGCATCACATTCTTTCCTTGGAACTTCTTAAGCAAAAGTTGGATGGTCATTTGTCATGGATACTTTAGTAGAGATTCCTGCATTGCAGGGGGTTGGACTGGATGACCCTCATTCTCTTCCAGCTGAACAGTTTTATGATTCTATGATTCTGGCCAATTAGAAAAAACGAACAAACCACACAATAGCTCTTCTTCATTTGCAGTTACACATTATTCTTAATAGTGAGTTCCCACCTTGGCTAGAATGCTGAAAAGTAAGAAGATGACTTATTCCCTATGAGTCAGGAAAAAGCATGCAGCCTGCGTGTTTCCCTTAACATCTCTGTCACTGTTTTCTTCTACTTTTTTAAAATGAAAATTAAGAATTGGGGCCAACCAGTGTCCTCAATGAGTGGGACAGGCTTATTTAGGCACACGAGGTCTTCCCATTTGGCCCACAAAGCTGTTTCTGCCAAGCCACACCCACCTCCCCTACAGCTGACCTCTCATGATGTCGGGTGAGGATCAGGTAGCAGTGGGGCTTGCACAAAAGGGGCTTTGCAGCCCTTATAAACCATCTGATTGGTGGTGCCTGCAAAGCCCCTTGGAGGCTTTAAGCACAAGGCATTTTGCAGGCGCCTAAGTGGACCCTACAAGGCACGCTTAGAACTTGGGCAAAATCTGCCTATCAGCAGGGTAACTCTCTGTAACTTGCTTCTCACCCAACCATTGCTTGCCTTTCTTCCCCATCCCACCGGACCTTCCTTTGCTCTGCTCAGCCTTTCTTCATCCCATGAACCATCAGCAGCCACTAAGACAAATCCTGAGTTCCCTGTAGAGGGGGGCAGAAGAATGCAGGCAGAAAGCCTGTGTGGTGATCTGAGAAGTGAGGGAAGAGTTAATGGAAGAATTGCAATAGAAGCTGCAAAAGCTGGCGCTTTTTACCTTCCAATTCCCTCTTCTCCCCATTATTGGAGGAAGCAAAACTACAGCTGTCTCCTCTTTGCAGGCATAACCTTCATCTCTCCTGTTTGGATAACCTTGGGTGTGCTCTGTTTCGATGACCTTGGGAGCACGATGCCCTACCAGACAGGTCAAACATTAGCAACTGCCTCTGAATTACCGTTTTTCTGCACATCACACCGGGAACCTCAGTGCACCCCTCTCTTCAGGGCGAGGAATCTCTGCTACATCCCCCCACCCCGTCCCCCGCTCCCCAGCTCAGCTGCCAGCAAAGCCATCTTCACACACTGCAGTTCTTGCTGCCTAATTTGGGGGTGGGGGGTGGGGAGGGTGGCGGGCTCTGCTCTGAATTCCCACGGACTTTAGCACAATCTTTCTGCTTGACTTCCCTTGTCTGTCCCCAGAGCTGAGCAGGTGGTGCTCAGCTGCTGCAAACACAAGAGCACGGGCCGCAGGCTGTTCGCATTTGGGCTGGCGCGAGCCCTAAAGTGTGCAGACGCACATGTCCCTCATACCAGATGGGTTGCCTTCCCCACCCCTCCAGCTCTCCTTTCATGTTCCGCCTCTTTGCGCGAGGTTTCCTGCAGTTGTAAGCAGAAAACTGGGAGGGCAAGGTTAGCTGGGATGCTCCCCTTTCTGATTTTGCTGCATTTCTGGGTGTGCTAGTCCTTTTTCTGCACCTGTCCAGTACCCTCCTATAATCCAAAGCAAAATATGTGATTAATGCATTGCTTGTAACAGAGCAGATGGAGCGAGTAAGGTTTTTAATCAAGACCTGATGGAAAAGAGAAGGTGGCAAATCGACTGTATTCTCTGTTGCGGGACTAGCGCTCTGTATAGCCTGGGGTTGAGGAGGTTTTTCATATGAGGGCTGCATTCCTTTCTGTGTAACCTGCCAAGGGCAGTATGGTGCAAACGTGGGCAGAGCAGCAAATGCAAATTTTCCCTTTGGACAACAGTTCAGTTTCTGCACACCCACCCATACCCACCTCTCTGTGGCATATTTGAGAAGTTTCTAAAAGAGAGTCTAGTACGGGGGTTGGCAATTTTCTTAAGCTGCGGGCCAGTCCACTGTCCCTCAGACCTTGTGGCGGTCTGGAGAAGCAGCACTGGGGGGGGGGGGCTGGAAGAAGAGGAGAGGGGGGCAAGTAGTCCTCCTCCCCACTCCCCAGCCCCAGCTGCTGTGCTTACCTTCCCAGGGGCTGCTGCCGCTGCTGCTTCTCATGGGTAGGCAGAGCAAGCTCATCTGCTTTGCTCTCTGACCCACAGGAGCACCAGGGCGGTGGAGGGAAGATAAGCAGCACAGAGGGGCAGGCTCTGGAGAGGGGCTGCTTAAAATGGCGCTCAGCCCAGCCCTCTTCCTCTTCTAGGCAGGGCGGGGAGAAGCCAGGAGGAGGGAGGGAGGAGGCACCGCTTGTGTGTGAGGGAGGGGGGGAATGGAATGGCGCAGGGGAAAAAATGGCACAGCCCGAATGAACAGAATCCCCACGCCAATCCATGGACCAGATCCTGAAGTCAATTGGACCTGATCCGGCTCGCAGGCCTTAGTTTGCCGACCCCTGATCTAGTACATCTGGAGGTGGCCTAAAATTTTTTTGAAATGGACGTGTAATCGAGAGGAAGGCGTGGCTTTTGATTTGGCAGTGTCTCCTGGCTAACAAAGAAATGGGATTGCATTTTGAACGGTACTAAGAATGTGGGCATCTGCATAATGCCAGGCCACAAATCTAGAGGTTTTCCTAAACTTTGAAAAAACTGTCAGCCACCTGCATGGAGGATGGCACACTGATGCACTGTCATAGGAAGTGGCCTTATATAGAGTCAGACCATTGGTCCACTCAACTTGGTATTGTGCATCTTGCTGGCAGGAGCTGGTGGGAATTGTTGAAAACAGCTGGAGGGCAGCAGGTTGGCCAAAGGTGGTCTACTTGAACAGTTACAGAGTCTCAGGTAGAAGTCTTTCCACTTACCTGCTACTGAATCCTTTAAACTGGCAATGCAGAATTGCATACAATCGATGTGTTGTACCACTGAGTTGCCATTGCTCCCTGAAAGTTTACAGGGGATAATCTACGGCCTTTGTTCATATAGGGATCTTGACATCTGCAGACTACTGTGCACAAGCTCTAAAGGGATTGCTCGTGTCTCATGTCATTGACTGTCCACTGTATGGGCACCTTGAAGCGTGTGATTGGCAAATTGACAAACTCTACTCCAAGGTTTGTTTGTGTTTATTGTTCTTCTGCAGGAAAACCAATAAAACACATTTTAAAACAACAGCAGCAGCAACTTGGGAGAATCCCTAAAAAGGTTTCCTGCAAAAGATCCGCAGTCACAAGGGCAGCAGCTCTAATTTGTTTTGCTTTGGAAGGACCTTCAAAGTCTTGTCTGTTCCTTTGTAGCTCTGTTCAACAGGCTGTAAACAAAGATACTAGCCCAAACCAGACACTGTGGTTGCTTGTAATATGCTTTCCCCCTCCATGAGAAGTGTTGTGTTGCACTTTGCTATCATACCACATTGACAGGTACCATAACTGGGAATGCAGTTAAGCATAAGTTGAAAGAATTTGAATAAGTTGTACTAATGCACACACACATGCACAAATACAAATTTCTTTGTTAACCTTTGGCATACTTCTTCCCAGCTTCAGCATCAAATAACTAGATTTTTATTCTAAGCAATGAAGCTGCTTAGTTACTGAGAGTGTGCTAAGGCATCAATATTACCTACTCAACTTGCCTCGTGCACTCTAGGTCAACAAACACTCTGAGATTTGAGATATGTTCCTGCCTGCCCAGTGATCATTTGGAGCCCTGCTCAGTCTTTCCTAACTAAATTTTCTGAGTGTTCTATAGATGTTTCCTGGCCATCTTCAATTTCACAACAACGTAGATTGGAAACATTTTTAGGTTGAAATTTGGATTCTCAGGAAACAAGTCTTCAGCATATTCTATATATAATATTGAGTGGAATGCATATACATTTGAGATCACTCAAATGCCAGGCAGTTTTAAAAGAAATAAAATACGAAGGTCTGGTAATCTTGTGCCCATTCTTTGGAGAATGGGGTCTTCTCAGAAAAGGGGCATCCCTTGCCTTTTTTGTGAAAGACAGATCTGTGAAATGCTGTAAAACAGAAGACCAGCCCAGTGCAATCCTTTAAAAGAAGCACATCACCAGTTCATTTCTTGGCACAAGGCAAGCAGGTCTAGAAGATGTCAGGAGGATAATAATACTGTTAATTTGTAAGGAAGCAAAACGTGTTTGTCTTGGCACTTCATTTTTTAAGGATTGAATCTGCCTTCTTTATAAATAGTATCCCATGAGGGTTTCCAGCTGAAATATCCAGCAGGATCCGTATCTAACTCACTTCAATTGGAAGGGAAATGAGTCTTATTAGCAAGGGAAGAACAGACAACAACGAGAGAAGTCCTTAAAAAGAAAAGTCTTCTGGACTCTCATCTTATTTACCAGCAAAGGCCTGTGGCTGGCTGTTCTCAGAGATTGTAGGTACAATTTTATATACTGTTTAATTTCAAACATTTCTAAGCTGTGTGCAATCATCTCTAGGTGGTGCAAGGTAAGAAAATACTTCTTTAGTTTCTGGGTCGTTTCGCACGATGCTTGTAGAAGCTGCAGCTCTTCCTATAGGGAGACCTACCACAGAGAACAGGAGTCAGTTGGCACCCAGAAGCAGCTGGCAACTTGCCACAGCTTTATCAAGCAGATAAGCACAAGAGGTAGAATGCTAGGCCTATGCAGGGAGAGTCATCAGATAAACCCGTAATAAGAGGCTGCTGCAATTGAAGGCTGAAGGGCAGCCAAAAAGCCACCACACTGGCCTTTCATGTGGTTTCTCATTCGCCTTTGATCCTCCTTGATTGCCCACACACACACACAATGCTTACTCCCTTCCTCAGGACTCAAATCTCTGTTCTCTTAAAGAGAGCAGATATTTCTCCCACCACATACTGTCAGATTGGGCTGCAGTTCTTGTCTTCCTTGTGTTTCTCAGGAGATGCATGAATGAAATTTGTTCCTTTCCACCTGGTCCCTGTACTGATTGGCAGTGGCCCTGTGAGGTCTCAGGCCTGAACCGGAGGTGCCCAAGGACTGAACTTGGGACTAGGCTCATACAAACCATATGCTCTGCTACTTCAAAGGTGAAGATTTGGTACCGATTTGCATGTGCAGAAATTTAGAATCATAGAATTGTAGAGCTGGAAGGAACCCCAAGGGTCATCTAGTCATCTAGTCCAACCACCTACACAGGCAGGAAAAAAGGCAATTCTTCAGATATTCCAGCTTCAAGCCATAAAGGGCTTTAAAGGTCAAATACAGCACTAATAGTTGTTGAGGTTTGTTACTTTATTTATAGCCCATGCTGGGTGGCTTACAATGAGAGGTGGAGGCTCACTGCTAATATAGGCACAAGTAGCTTTGCTGATAACATGTCAGAAAGTGTGCTTTTTAGTGACATGGTAGCTCTATGCATGTTAGAAAATAACTGGGAATTATCCCTTTGGACATGCACCTATATAGGCCTGGGTTGAAGTGCTGCAGATACATCTATGGCTGTTCCTGATCCAGATGGTGCACCTTACTTGAGTCGGTATTAATCTGCCTACTGAAAGTTTGCATGGAGCAGGGACAGGGAACCCTCCTTATCACTGGCACAGATGACATTCCAAGATGAGCCGGGAAGATGAGCAGCTATTGTTGCTGGCATTTGTCTGTCTCAGGAGACAATGGAGGAGTGCGACTTTGGAGTGAAGTCAAACTGTTGGAAGGTTGCAGCCCTGGCTGTGTCTGTAGAGACATGTTTTGTTGCAGCTGGGGCAGATGAAGGTGTCCAGATGTAATGCTGCAGATGCGCCATAGTATCTTCCATTTAGCATCTTCCATTTAGCATCTGCTCTGTAAGCTTCCGTTTATTAGAAGAAGAGTAGAAAAGGGTGAGTTAACTCATAGCAGACACGCTGTGTGTCATGCCTCTTCCTCGCTAGGAGCCATAGGAGCACAAAGGGGACCCAATGCGTAGAACACAATCATGTTGTGCGGATGCCTGATTATCGTCTTCCAAAGCAACTACTCTATTCCAAACTTAAAAATGGAAAGCGTAATGCTGGTGGTCAACAGAGAGACTTGTCTCAAGGCAAATTTTTAAAAATGTAGTATAAACACCAACAATTGGGAAATACTTGCCTGTGTGCGCTCCAGTTGGAGAACAGCCTTTACCAAAGGTGTCACGGGCTTTGAAAACACTTGAACTCAGGACGCAAGGGAGAAATGTGCTAGGAGGGAGGCGTGCTTGGCAAATCCACCCCGTGATCAACTCTCGCCTGGAAACCAATGTCCCCACTGTGAAAGTACGTGTGGATCCAGAATTGGCCTCCACAGTCACTTACGGACTCAATTGTTAAAACCGTGTTTATGGAAGACAATCTTACTCGGCTACAAGTGATTGCCAAAGAAGAAGAAGAGGAGCCAATAAAACATTTGAGGGGGCTGGGACACACACACTCCCAAAGTTGACAAGCATTGCCATTCAAATGGTGTGCATGTACCATGTCTTGTGATCGATTATGTAGGGTGGTGCTTACCTGCCCCCCCCCATGTTAATCATGTTGGCATCCCTGCTAGGAACAAACAGAGCTGCCTTATACCACGTCAGACCATTGGTTTGTCTATCTCACTATTATCTTCCACTGACTGCCAGCAGCTCTCCATGCTTTCGGATAATGAGGTTTCCCCAGCCTTACCTGGAGATTCCAGGGATTGAACCTGGGACCTTTTGCATGCAAAGGATGTGCCTTACCACTGGGCTACAGCCCCCACTCTGCTTCCACGCTCTGTTTGTTTCAGCATTCACATAAGTTCAGAACTCAGACACACCCAGTAACAGCTCTCTCTTCACATGCTCTGTTGGAGAGGGCAACACGAGTGAGTGAAGCAGTCAGGGTCAGGCTCAGCAGACCCTCTGCAGCGACAAAAGCACAAGAGCAGAATGCTGCCGAATCATCAGGACAGAAGCCGTTAAGCAGGAAGTGCTGCGTCTTGCCTTCTTTTGTCTTTCCTTTTGCAGATGGTGCTCACATGCACATCATGGCTCACGGGATTTCTTCTCTCAGTCCTACTGATTACTGCAGTGACATTGATTAAGCCTCTTTCTGCTGTTCTAGCGACATCCAGTAGCTGTTAGGAGAAATGGCTGCAGCTTCATGAATGGATTTGAGCATGGGAAATAGCTGGTTCTAGGAGTTAAGGGCTGATTTGTGTACAGCCTTAAAAAGGTGGTGGTGGGGAACCTAATGCGAGCACAATAGCTTTCTGCATTTAAGGTGCAGCCCAGATGATCAGGACTGGGATAAGGATCTGTGTTCAAATCCCAGCTAAGTCATGGAGCTTCTGGGGTCACTGTGCTTGACCCAGTTGCTTTCTTTTAGCTTAACGTAACACAGGGTTGTGATGAAGGAAATTACCTTATTTCATTTCTCTCTTCAGCCCAATATTGTCTCTGCTGATTTCCAGGTCTTATTAAAACTGGGAGACAGTGGTTTACTACAGCCCAAGGTTGCAAATCATGGTTTGATTGTGGTTGCAAACTGCTAGGATTGTGGCCAGAGCTTAAATGTTTGGACATAACAGGTAAGTATGGCTTAGCAAGTCTTGGAAGTATTGCATTAAGTCAAGAGATTGGGGGTGAGGAGCCACGACCAATAACCATGGTTATTATGGAATGAAGGTTATTACATCTGAACTGATTCTAAAAGTAGTATCTGCAGATATTTTAATGTCTTGTTCACTGGTTTTCACAGCAGAGTTGTAATAGTAGTAGCTATAAATTTTTACCCTCCTATCAAAATGTTTGATGAAGATGTGTGCAGCGAGGTTGATTATTATTAAGTATTCATAATACAGAGTTACAATGGTACCTAAACTTAAATGGTGCATGAACAATGGTACTTAAACCCAAGAGAGAGGGATGAAGGATTGAATGGGCCTCATATGCACAACTCCCTTTTTAAGTATCCGACACGGAGCTGGAACATAATGGACAGGATATGCTCTTATTGAAATCATTTCTTGCCTTTGCTGTGCCCATTTTCTACACAAACAACATTTTTGGTCCACAATGATTTGGCATCCCTCAGTAAAATCAGATTGTCCTGTGGGTGGAAGCAACCTGCCAAGAGTTGCTTGCAAGTTGCCACTATTGGGAGGAAAAATGCACTCAGGAAAACATCACCCTGTACTAATTTTTCTTCTTTGGTGCTTTTCACTTGAATACTTGCTGCTGCTGTTTATTTTCTTGTTGTTGCTGCTTATTTAACCCTAAGCAGGTTCTTAAAACCTATCAGTTTTACTGCTTTGAAATTGGCATGCGATTGCACAGCTTTGCTGTTAGTATCGTGATATTTGGAAGCAACATCTTAAATTTGGTGCCATATATTTCTATGGGCGTAGTGCTGCTGGTGTGACTACCTTAGGTCAGGCTGCAACACGGTCATGAGTTCTGAGTCCAGCCCACCAGCTGAAGACCAGTGGTTTAGAGCGGAGGGGAGGAAACCTGTCCAGAAGTTGCTGACTTACATCTCCCATAATCCCTGGCCAAGCTGAATGGGCAGATGGAGTCCCACAATATATGGAGGGCCACAGGTTCCCCACCTCTGGTCTAAAGCAACCCATTTGATAGTCTCTGAAGATGTGAGGTTTGGTATTGGTCGGACATTGAGAAACGAATCATTCCAAACCCATTGTATCATGGACTCCTGACTGACTTTTATAGAGAGAGGGTTCCTGATCTCACTCTTCCTTGCTGACCAGGCCATGTAGTTTATTGAGGATGTCGGAACGCTTCGTATCTGGCTTTGCCATGTTTCCCACTAGTTTTATTATCTGTTGCTATTATTTTGCGCCACATTGCTTGTTGTGGTGAATCATGAGCTGCTAGTCTGTGGCCGTTTTGCTGCCTAAGAACAGTGTTCACATCATGTCGAGTGCTTCCATGCAAATTGCAGCAAGCTGCTTTGATCAGCCAGAGTATTATTAATTAAGGGCCTGGAGCGCCACAGATTGATGGGATGCAGTGAGGAGACGAAGGAGGTTGCTGTCTCACTGATGCCAGTAAAAATAGGGCACCTCTTCAGATCCCCTGCTGGGTTTCCGGTGAAGTGCTTTAAAGTTGTGCTTCAACATATTTGCCTTGGTGTAAAGTAGGAAGAATGCCAGCAGATCCTCATGGAATAATACTTTTTCTCACTTTCAGACACATTCATTTATGTATTCTTTATTGCAGTTTTAACATGCCTTTTCTCCAGAGACTTACAATCCCCTCCACTTTGCCCTGATGACAGTCCTGTTTGCAGTGTGCAGGATTAGCCCAAGACAGCTTGCTGCCTGTTGTAAACGTTGCGTTGTGCCTCTCACTGTCCCATTTCACATTCAGAAGCCAGCTGAGCTGGCAGTTGCATCTTACTTCAGCTCTGGTGATGAGAGGTCAGCGCAGCTCTGTCCTCGCCACCACTTCCTGCTCTCCAGCTTCTGCTGCTGAGGCAGCTGCTCACTCTGTCTGATGGTAGGACTGGTCCTAGGTAACTGAAGTTAAGAGAAGCTGACTGGTCCCTTTGTTTGATTTCTGCAAGGAAGCATTTGACATAAAGATCTTTATTTTATAATGGAAATGATCTCTCTGATACATAGTTCTGATTATAGATGTTCAGAAGCAGGTTATGGAGTGGAGTGACTTTGAAAAAGTTATGTTGACCTGCTTTGTTTGCTAGCAACAAAATTCATAACCATACCCCTCTTTTTAGTGACGGAGCTAAATTAAACAGCAAAAAGCAGTTGCAAGGGTTTTTTTTCTGAGCTCCTAGCAGATCCACAGGTGTTGGGTTAAAAAAAATAATCCAGTCAAGGAATAGAATAGTGTGGTGAAGTGGTTAGAGTGGTGGATTGGGATCTGGGAGGTCTAGGTACAAATCCACATGCAGACATGAAGCTCACTGAGTATTCTTGGGAAGTCACTATCTCCTGCACAGGGGCAACCTTCTGAATGTTGCTGGACTACAGCTCCCTGACCATTGGTCATGTTGGCTAGGGCTGATGGGAGTTCAAGAGCATCTGGAGGCCAACACATTGGCTACACCTATCTCAGACTGACCTACTTCATAGGATTGTTGCAAAGATTAAAATAGTAGGATCTACTACTAAAATAGTAGGATCTTTGAATTTGTTCATCAGCCTGAGACCAGTTGTGCTGGTAGATGAGATTAAAGTTGCTAATGACCCACTGTTGTGGTCTATATAAACACAGAGCCAAGCATGCTCCATTGTACAGTGGTACCTCGAGTTACAAACGCCTCAGGTTACAAGTGCTTCAGGTTACAAACTCCGCTAACCTGGAAGAGTTACCTCAAGCTGAGAACTTTGCCCCAGGATGAGAACCGAAATGGTGTGCTGGCGGCGCAGCAACAGCAAGAGGCCCCATTGGCGAAAGCATGCCTCTAGTTAAGAACCGTTTCAGGTTAAGAACGGACCTCCGGAACGAATTAAGTTCGTAACTAGAGGCACCACTGTATTGCAAAACTGTTGGGCAGGCCCCCTTTAATAGGAATGCAGAGTCTCTGCAGTGCTGCATGAACCGCCTGAGGCTGTTCTGCTCTTTGTGATCTTTTCCTGCACCCAAAACAGAGATTATTCTTCCTCTGAGCAGCCTTATGTGGCCTAGCCGGAGCAGATCTCAGGACCTCTACTTCAGGAAGTGGAATTCCAGGGTAGGTGATCAGCTGGCTGAGTGAGATCTGGCTGCCACTGAGAACTCTGTGGTCGCTGTGGTTTGCATGGTTTTGGGCTGGGGCCAGTAAGACAAGTGGTGTGTTTATTTGATTTTTCTCCTCTTCTTTCTACACTTGAGTCATGAGAGGAAGAGAATTGAAAGGACTATGTTGTGCATGTCCCAACAGCTCATTGTTTGATCTGCTCTTTTCAGGTAGCAGGCTGCTTTGACCTCTGGTAAAGGTTATGCGTAGTCCAGTCACTTGCATATTTACTTAGAAGTGATTAAAATTGAGTTCAGTAGGGCTAGGTGACAAAAGAGGACAAAAGTGGACACGGATTTGAATGAAATTTGCCTAGGGTAATTTATTTGTATGGATACAAATTCAGAAATAATTACTGTACTTTTAAATATCTCGCCATGGTGAGGAAGACTGTGACTAGGTGACCTCTGCATTTGCTCAGTCTTTACTCTCTAGGTGCTAACTGTTGATGGATAATAGTCTTCTGCTATCACTACTTTATCCTCCTTAAACCAGATTTGGATCTGTCTGAACTGTAGTGTCCTATGGGCTTTCACTGTCTGAGAACATCTTGCAACAACTATGGCCTAATTCAAGGAGGCATCAGGACAACAACTTCAGTTATCCTATTTACTGGTGCACAATACTTCAACACTCAGCAGGGCAGCTAGGACTTGCTAGGCAGGTGAGACTAAGGTTCCCACTGAACTATGGAGGGAACCACATTGAGAAAGGGAAGGGGAGTTTCTAGGACAAGCCACACTCGATATGCAGATGGCCCTTCAAGTGTAGGATGTCTTCAAATAGAGAACTGCCCTGTGCCCTCTGTGAGGTAGGACACATGGCCTACCTCGCAGTAAGGTTTACTCCCAAGTAAGTATGTATAGGAGCACACCCTTTGCTTGTCTTTACTTACAGCATCCAAGTGTGTCAAGAATATAATGGAAAACTAATGGAGTGTAACGGCAGGCCTACTGCATACTCATGAAGCCCTTTAAGATCCAAATAATGGAGTTTTAGCTGATTTAAGCTCTGCAGATGTGGCATGGCATGCATCCCCTTTGCCATCAAGCTCTCCCCTTTTCCATCCTTCTGTCAATCTTTAACTTCTTCTCTTGCCTCCAAACAACGCTGCATTGTTCAATTACGGAAGAGGCGCTATACTTTTTGCATAGTATCTGGCTCTAAATGAGTCACATCATCTGTAGAATATGGTCTAAAGAAAATAAGGGTGTTCTTGACAATATGAGGAAATTGATCAGAAGGCTTCTGGGCTTCCTTATCCTCGATAGAAAACAACTATCTTATTCTGGTCTCATCACTAATCCCACAGTTGGCTTCAAGAAAGTCATGTGAATGCTCTGAAGTAAATTTCAGCCAGAATTTTCTGGAACTCAGTTCCCGCACCTCTCAGGTGGGTGCCATTGTCATTATGAGAGAACGAGGGGGTGTTCATGGTGAGTTCAGGCACCTGTTTCTCTAGAAAATTGTTAATTTAGTTACTCTTGTTGAGTGCACCTCATATACTTTTCATCAGAAACTGGCAGAAGACATGTCCTCCTGAGGGGCAGATAAGCACTAAGAGACCCAGCTTCACTTGAGGACTCCCGTCCCCCCAAAAGTGCATGTCAACCAAAACTCTCACTAAAGCTGATAATTGTTCATGAGAACTGGCCTGTTTACACTTTCTTTTGGTTTCTTCACTTGTAGGTGACTGGTGGCACAGCATGACTTTCTTCCTAAGCCCTGAACTGAGCACCCAATAGTCACTGGATTCAGTGGCTTCCCCCCTGCCCCCCCCCTTACAAGAGATGTCTGGAACTAGAGGCAATGGAGAGCACTGGAAGTCCTTGGAGTCCGTGGGGATCAGCCACAAGGAGCTGGCTCTTGCGGAAGCCCTGCAGATGGAGTATGATGCTTTGTCCCGCCTGAGGCAGGATAAGGAGGAGAGCCAGGCGAAGCAGAATACTGACCAACCTCTCATTTCCTGGGATGATCCAATTCTGGATTACAACAAGCCTGCTGTAAGGAATGACTGCCACAATATCAAGGTCATGAGAGGCCTCTCTGGCTCAGACTCTACCCTGAACTACAATGCCCTCTCTGGCCAGGAGGTTTCGAGAGCTTTTGGGACCAACACCTCTACCTCATCCAGTCTGCTGCCTGAGCCAGAGAGCCAGCCTTGGTTGAAGGGACCTCTCTCCAGCGACTACTTGTACATCTTCGACAGCACGGGGGGTGACTTCCTCACTGACCCCCCCAATAGTACACCCCACCAGAACAGCAGTAGCGGCAGCTCCCCTAAGAAGCTTTCTCCTCCCCCGTTGCCCCCTCGCATTGCCATCTGGAATGCCTCTGAAGTGAACCAAGCTTCCTTGAAAGGCTCCCAACCCAATGATATCAACATGTTCTCCTCAACCCACGAGAGGGCTGATGGAAAAATGCTAGGCCGTAGAATCTCGGAAGAGGACCCGTACAGCACAGTGGACTACGATGGCATCAACGACGCCATCACCCGGCTCAACCTCAAGTCCACTTATGACACCGACCTTCTGAGGGATGCCCCTTGGAGCTGGAAGGAAGGCAGAAGCATTTTTGAGAAAGAAAGCAGCGGGAAGCCGGTTGCTCGCAGCAAGACTATGCCTCCTCAGGTACCTCCCAGGACCTATGTCTCCAGGTCTGGTGGAAGGAAGAATTCTGGACCCAACAAGAACCGGAGGATATCAGCAGATCCGGTAAGGCCATTTTTATGTAAGCGGAATGATGTATGCCTAAGGTGCCTAAGTCCCTCTGCTGTGGAGGGATGCACTTAATGTTCACTGCCTTTGTTTTCAGATGAAGTGTATATCATTACAGGAGTCAAATTATTTGGTACCTTTCCTAGCATTCACCAAAACCAAACTCTTAGTCCTTAGTAGACGTTTTTTATTCCTCCAAAGATTATTTGTAGCTACATCTCAGAAAATGTGGCATCTCAATGGATATAACTGTTTTCTATGCTAAATTAAGCCATCAGAAAATGGTTAGGGAATGCCTGCCATAAGGCCACCTACTCTGCTTTCCCCTCTCCTTTCCCCCCACACATATTATGATGCAATTGTTGAAGGATATCGTGGAAGCTTTTGTACGTACAACTATAGGTGCAAAGGCCACCACCCAAGGATGTATGCGTTCTTCAGTGTGGACATTTGGGTGGAGGGTCAACTGAAATGTTGTTTAAGCCCAACTAAGTACAACCAAGTGTTATAAAAGGAATCAAAAAGGGAAAGAGACAAAGTTTGCATGTTTTGAGTGATGGTTTGTGAACCTATCCATGGTACAGTGAAAATCAGCTTTTGATTTCTAGGCATTTGAATTTGACAGCATTAGAAATGTATGAATCATTACTAAAATATCACGTGCAAGGGTCTTTAATATTGCTGTGGGATGCTTAAAATGTTTCTGTCCACCAATAGCAGCTCTTTTCTGTGGGGGGCAAGGGATTAATTCTTGCTCCGTGTGTGCTACACTTCCGATTCTGATCGCCCCCGACTGCTTCCTTTTTTAAAAGAGCAACAACCTCAAGCCCTCCCAAACATACTGAATAGATTTAACATAGTTTGGTTGCTTAGATTTCAAGTCCTCGTGCAGCTGTATCCTGTGTGGCTCATAGGCATGCAGTTTCACAGCAATCCAGTCCCACCAGTCCTCATACTCCTGGTTCTCTACCCTTAGTATCCTCTTAACATATGGAAACAACAGATCATTTCTCCATTTCCCCAGTTTATGAAGACAGGACCTTGGAGGACAGCTATTGCTTCATCAGTGAGGCAGCTCAGACTGGGAGCTTACATAGGAGCTGGAGGCTCCACCCCTTCCTGGCTCTCTGCCAGGCAGTTGCTTCCATATGCTTCTGAGTCTTTCTAAGTAGCTTTAAGTATAGCGAGTTGGACACTTCAGCAGCAGTTGGTACTGAAGGTCCTGCTTTTCTAAGCCATTTCTTCTGTTTATAGGAAGTAGGGGTGCTCTGGGAGACAGAAGGAAACTAGTCAGTTTGTGAGTTTTGTTTTTTCTCCATTTCTCATTTTTCCAATCTTAAGTTCAGTTTGCATCAGTTTGCATTTTTTAAAGTCCTCGTGAAAAAATGTTGTTGTGTTAGTAGGCTCTTGACCTACCATGCAAACTTTTGCAAGCAATTTCCCCTAATATAATTCATTTTATACTATTTTCAGTAATATGTGTGCTTTTATGCATACACCCTCTAAAATACACTGACTTTTCAGGATCCCTGGCAGCATGGAGGTCTGCTGAAGGGCCCTGCTCCCCTTTCTCCTCCTCTAGGAAGACCATGGGTTGCGCTCATCACCCAGTCCCACAACATTAGGTCTCTTCTCTGTGGGGGACCCACTCTCAGTTTGTCCATTTTACACGAAAATGCTGAACTGAAAGGTAAAGCTCTTGTGGAAGTGCACAGAAACAGCTGCCTAGGATGCTTCTGGAATAACAGATTCTGAACTTGTTTCCTGTTCCTCATCCTGACTTAAATGTCACCATGGGAATTCATTGTCCCACTTGTATGTTGCCTCTACTGAAGTTTGCTGGCACACATCAGCTGCCTTGAAAGGGTTGTCTACATCTGTTGTGCTATTTATATGATCCACACAACAGCAGTCAGAGGGAAAGGCAGCATCCAGTAAAAACTTTTTCCAAAAGACGTGAGTCCATCCTGGCTGTTAGAGCTCCTGTTTCCCAGAAGCTACAGCTTCTGAAATGTCACATGGTCCTCAGGCCAATTGTTTCCCGTTAGTAAACAAGGATTGGATGGAGTATTTGCATCTTCACTAACCTTCCCAATCCTTTTTTTAAAGGATCCTAAGAAGAATTGCATAGCAATAATTTTATAGAAGAAATCCTTTGCTGTAAAAGATTCTTGGAAACAGGGGATATCCATGGGGATATCCTTTCCTCGCTGCTTCTGGGATTGTGAATGGGTCTAAGGCGTATTTTTAGACATAAGAGTAGATGACAAATACCTCTGGCATCTGAAGGATATAAATACAAGCAAGCTCTCCACCGTCACTAAACTTCATGGGACCAACTCTCCCCGTACGCTCAGTGAAAAATGTTGTCAGAAGCTGCTGGCAGAGGTTATGTAAGTTGTTCTCTGCTTTTGCTGTGCAAGAAACTAATTATAAAGGAGCATTAAAATTGTCTTTAGTGTCTGTTGTGTTCTGTCCTTTTCTCTCTCTTTTTTCTCCCTCTCTCCCCGTTCCTCTAACTATTTGGTGGGTTAATTGCTCTGACAGTGGGAGCTTTGTTTGCTTTGAAGGAGTGAATTGAGGCTCTGAGACCATGCGTGCACTCTGGCCTGGCATTCAGAGTGTTTCTGTCCTTGCTCCTTATCCTACTGTAACATTTGGGAAGGAGGCACTGGAAACAAAAAGAAATGTTTTTGAGAATTCTCCCTCTTCTGAAAATAAAAACTTAACAACTACTATCTCGCCTGTGTGATGACAATGATGATTTTTTTTAAAAAAAATTAATTTTAAATGGCATCTGCTTCTGCCATGGCTGGTGCATAATAATATCAGCACCATCCCAGCAGAGCTACAGATCTTTGAGAGAGATTGCTTAAGAAATAACCCAAATGCATATGCAGGGGATATGAATCTATGTGCATGCAGTCTTCCACTAGTTGCTTTCCAGAGCAGAAACTTTAGCAAAGTTCAGTTTGGGAGGAGGATCCTTGGTATAAAAACTGAGTCTTTACAAACAAATACATTCCTATTTTTCTTGGAAAAACCACTGATGAACGCACTGTTCTACAAAGACTTTCCTTTCTATGGGGTCATTGATTAAATTCTGGCCAGTTTTCTTTTAGGCTGTGGAATGCTATTAAGTTCCTTTTTGCCATATGATAACTGTTTAACGTTTACGTTGTGTTTGTACATCTCTCTGGATTTTTTTTTAGAAAAGTGATTTAGAAATATTTGAAATAAATCATATAACTAGAAATATGGTGCAGATCAGGCTGTGGACCACTGTAGGCTGCTAGATGTGTACCTACAGCTATCCTCAGAACTGCTAGGTTACAAATCTGCTTTATGGTATGTTCAAGCACTGAACTTAGATCATATCAATTCATCCGGCATTCAAGATATGTTCTGCTTTCTTTTTCTTCATTTCTTTTTTTTTAAGGCAGGCAATAAATCCAAAGCTATTTGCAGCAGTTATGAGTTCTGCATTGGCTCAAAGGAGTGCAGCTGTTGTCCTCATATCAATAACTGATATCAATCATTGAATTAATAGCTGTAAGCCAAAGCAAGAACCTCCTCAATACCGTGAGCTGGATAGATCTGCAGCATAAGCTCAATGCACAACTTAACCCACATTTATCAGAGCACTACAAAGCTGCCAAGGCTCTTAGGGTTAAGGTGGGCTGAATTGAAAGGAAGTCATGTGAAGAAGAAGCGCTCTCTCACGCTTCTTCATCATGTGCAGACACCTGTCTTTTCTACTCAACCATTTTTTTGGTATCCTAATTTTGTGGGTAGAGAAGATGAGAAAGAAATTTGATTCAGTTCACCTTTAAAGGCAGACTTTAAAAATTCACACTTTTCAAAACAATATGCAAACTGAAACACAGCCATCCTTCAAAACTCAGTTTTCAGAATTTTGCAGTGCTGCTCTATAGCAAAGCAATGCATACAAAAATACATAATATTAGGCCAAAATATGCATATAAATGCATATGTTCATGAAAGTTACATGTGCGTTGGGGGAAATTGTTTACAAAAAATGTATTTGTCAGAATAGTGTACAAAAATGTGTTGGTTGGAAGAAATTCGTATTAAAATGCTGATGAATTTTCAGGTTATGTTTTGTTTTTGCAAAAAATTGCAAAGTGCTGCATAAATGTGGAGAACTGAATTTAAGATTGGAAAAAATGAGAAACAGAGAATCAAAAACTGACAGATTTACCCGGTTGACAGTGTAGATTGGTGTACCTTCTCCATGAATTGATCCTAAGCACAGATTATATGAACCAACAGCACTTCCTCTTCCACAAGATGAGCAGAGACTTTTCTCCATCTGTAGCCCCCCACCCACCCCCAGGCGACATCCCTCATCATTCCTGAGGGTCGCTGACCCATCAGTCAGGAGTGGCTTGGTGAGATGAGGAATAAAGTCTGCAGCATGGAGGAAGAATGAAGACCCTGTTCTAAGAGGAAACTTCACTTGTACTAATTAGGATATAATCCTGTATACTGAGTAATGGAAATAAAAGAAATCTGAGATTGGCCAGTGTACAAGTTGGGGGTGGATAGTAGAAACTATATTTCACTGAGTATTGTCTCTATTTCCATTTCTTGTTTGGTATCAGACCACTTCTCAACATTATCCTGTGGCCAATGGCTATGAGCTGTTTGAGGTTTCTGAGGAGAAGGATGAAGAGGTTGCTGCTTTCTGCCATATGCTGGATGTGTAAGTACAGGCAACTCCCCCTTTGTGTGGGGGTTGCTTTGTGGGTCTTTGTGTGCATTGGCATAATCCCACCCCGCTCCATTCTGCCCTCTTACATGGCGCATGTGTATTGAATGGGCACAAAATGGTCACCACCTGTACCAGTCTAGGACTCATCAAAGCACCCTACTAAGGGGATCCTTTGGCTGCAGTCCTCCTTGGAACCTAAGTATCTACAAGGGAGCCCTGCATCAAAATAGCAGAGTGCTGCTATTCAGAATTCCACCCGGTCCATTCCAGCACTGCCGCACAGTTGGTCAACGTTCTGTGCCCACTGAGCATGCTCAGTTTTCATTGGGTTGCCTTTGCTTCCCATCCCCTCCAAGGGGGCTCCATAAGGACCAAAACTTACAGAACTGTGGTTGTGCTCAGTATCTGTAAGGGGGACCTATGATAAAATGTTCCGTTGTCGAGTGCTTCTGTTATAGCCGGCCAGCCATACTCTACTGCATTCCATTCCCTCTTCCACCTAGTTTTCCATTATCCCCACCAAATAGTCAGCATTCCTTGGCCACTGAAAATACTCTGAACTCATTGGGTTGTTTTTTGAGGATCTTCCCCTGTGGGGCTCCCCTACCCCCAATTTCCCAAACCTTGACATTTCTCTTGGAGCCTGCCAGTACCTCCCTCTTTTGCATGGATAGCATCTCCTTGGCTACCTCACCTCTGAACATCGGAAATAGAAGGAATTAAGATAAGCAATGGCCTAACTGCCTCAAGCAATTAATTACTGCTGTTGATTAATCCTCAGCGACTGGGAAAAAAATCCTCTTTGTCCCTAGAGTTTTTGTTGCACTTTGTTTAAGCAATGGCTCCAGTGGAAAGAGTCTAAGCCTGCAGTTGATTGGATGAGGACGAACCTATTTGGGATTATAATTCCTGGCATGGCTTGCGATAATGCAGCAGCAACAGAAGGCAGAGGAGGCATTCCTCCCATGCTTTGGAAGTAAAGGTAGTGGGGAATGTCACAAGGCCAACAACATGGATTGCACACATAGCTCAAACCAGCACAGAGTTTCAGTCTGTTGGTCTGGCTAAGAGTTACCCTGTTATTAGAGAAAACAGAAGTCAATTTTTTTGACATTTGGCCAGCGTGATCCTTTCTCTCTCTCCATTTTCTTTCTCCAAGTAGCACATCTCAAAAAGATTCCGTGTTCTTCAGATGTACATACATGATATTTTTCTTTCCCATTCATCCTTTTGCAGTCTACTTCAGCATGTCTAGAGTTAGATGAAGTCTAGGTTAGTGACAATCAACACATCAACTATCTGGGCTTCTGCACTACTTGAGATAATTAGCGGTCAGTGTGGTGGGGCAGCACTGGGAAGCTGCCCTTCCAACATGGGCATTGCTACAACTTACCTGGATGGGGCAGGGTGGCAGATAGGTAAGGGCTGTGTGCGTGCCCCTGCCAGTACATCTGTGCAACACCAACCTCACTACCACCCTGCCCATCCAGGGCACAAGTGTAGCAATGCCAGTGTCAGGGAGGCAGCTTCCTAGTTAAGCCCTATACAGCTACTGCTTGGGATATGTTATGCTGGAGGGCAAACAAACCTGAGTTTCATTCATTGTTGAAGCACAAATTAATTTCTACTCCATATGCTCTTTCATACTCACTCCATTTGATTGACCCCACAAGGTAGTTATGAAATTCAAGATCCTTTAAGGCAGGAATCTTAGATTTGGTGTTAGCTTAGCCAAATATTTCAGAAGATCAAATCAGTTATCTGAGTAAATGGGAAATTGAGAATCTCAGTAGCATAATACATTGGTATGAATTTTAACAGGGGTCAAAGATGAGGAGATCAAGTGCAAAGACCTTTGACAGCATCCCCTTATTTAAAAAAGAATAAGGGAAAAGAGGAGATCTTATCAGATGCCACAAGGAATGGGCATTTGGTGGTAATGGAAACTAATTGTACCCATCTCCTTTTGCCCACAGACTTAGATCTGGCTACAGCACCAAGGACTATTCCCTTACTGGTTTTGTCTGGAGTGCTGTCAACCTCAGTCGTGAACACCTTGGCCATGGAGTCAGCTTGAAAGTGACTGTGGTTTATGACAGCCTGCAGGAGCCTCTCACTTTTACTTGTGACTGTAAGTTTTGCTGGTTTGAACTGGGGTGCACTTTCCGCTTGTATCAACAGAGCAAATGTTCCCAAACTGTGGTCTGTGGATCACTGGTGGCCCATAAGCTCCATTCATATAGTCCACAGAAAGATGCCGGAACAGGCCAGAATATATGTATTTGGTCTTACTCTTGATTTATTTATTTTTGGATGACAGAGACGGGGGCCAAATAGACCAGGAATATATTATCAAAGAGGCTAACAAGGGCTTGTCACCTTTTATTTTTAAGTAATCCAAGGAGAACCCCAGCAATTTTCAAGTGGTTCCTGGGGGCAGGAATTTTTGAGAATTATATGCTCCTTTTCACGGCAATGTAATGAGCTGCGCTAGAAGTTACCGTATTTTTCGCACTATAGGACGCACTTTTTCCCCTCCAAAAATGAAGGGGAAATGTGTGTGCGTCCTATGGTGCGAATGCAGGCTTTCACTGAAGCCTGGAGAGCGAGAGGGGTCGGTGCGCACCGACCCCTCTCGCTCTCCAGGCTTCAGGAAAGCCCCAGCGCCAGCCCCACAAGCTCGGGGGACAGAGGGAGGCGGAACGCCGCCATCCCGCTGTCTCCCGAAGTGGTTTGGAGGCTGACGGGGAGACCCCGCCGCCGGCCCGCAAGCTCCGGGGACAGCTGGGAGACGCAGCGCGCCTTCCTGCTGTCCCCGGACCTGATCTGAAGGCGGGCGGCGGGGAGAAGAGCGCTCCCCGCTGCCTGCCCCCAGCTCCGGGGACAGCTGGGAGACGCAGCGCGTCTTCCCGCTGTCCCCGGACCTGATGTGAAGGCGGGCGGCGGGGAGAAGAGCGCTCTCCCCGCTGCCTGCCCCCAGCCCGGGGACAGCAGGGAGACGCAGCGCGCCTTCCCGCTGTCCCCGGACCTGATGTGAAGGCGGGCGGCGGGGAGAAGAGCGCTCTCCCCGCTGCCTGCCCCCAGCTCCGGGGACAGCAGGGAGACGCAGCGCGTCTTCCCGCTGTCCCCGGACCTGATGTGAAGGCGGGCGGCGGGGAGAAGAGCGCTCTCCCGCTGCCTGCCCCCAGCCCGGGGACAGCAGGGAGACGCAGCGCGCCTTCCCGCTGTCCCCGGACCTGATGTGAAGGCGGGCGGCGGGGAGAAGAGCGCTCTCCCGCTGCCTGCCCCCAGCTCCGGGGACAGCAGGGAGACGCAGCGCGCCTTCCTGCTGTCCCCGGACCTGATGTGAAGGCGGGCGGCGGGGAGAAGAGCGCTCTCCCGCTGCCTGCCCCCAGCTCCGGGGACAGCAGGGAGACGCAGCGCGTCTTCCCGCTGTCCCCGGACCTGATGTGAAGGCGGGCGGCGGGGAGAAGAGCGCTCTCCCGCTGCCTGCCCCCAGCTCCGGGGACAGCGGGAAGACGCGCTGCGTCTCCCTGCTGTCCCCGGACCTGATGTGAAGGCGGGCGGCGGGGAGAAGAGCGCTTCTCCCCGCTGCCGGCCCCACAAGCGCCTGGGGGGGAAATAATTTTTTTTCCATTATTTCCCCCCCAAAAAACTTGATGCGTCCTATGGACCGGTGCGTCCAATGGTGCGAAAAATACGGTAATACCACAGAAGTCTCTTCTAGACCTAGGTTGGGAGGGTCTGGATGGTTTTCTGGTGACATTTTGTATTGCTGTGAAGGGAACAGAAATATAATCAGGTTCTGGGAGAATTGTGGAATGTGTGATGCCAGAGGGAGTCTACTGGACTTGGGAGGAAAAGGCCCAGGATGGCAAATTCCAGGGAAGGTTGTATTGAGACTCATCATGCTGTGATTGTTCTCTCTCTCTCTCTCCCCCCCCCCCCCCGCCCCCATCCTGGCAGGCTCCTCCACCGTGGACTTGCTCATCTATCAGACTTTATGCTACACTCATGATGACTTGTGTGATATCGATGTGGATGACTTCGTTCTCAAACTGTGTGGCCTTGAGGAATTCCTGCAAAAGTGAGTCAATGGGCAATGCTTGTCCAAAAAAGTTTAGGCTGGCATCCTATACTCACTTACTTTGTAGTAAGCCCCATTAAACTCAATTAACATCCGAGTAGACACATAGAGGCTTGTGCTGTTAAAGACTTACTGCCTTGTTTTTCCTTTTTCTTTGCCTCCGTTGGTGCATTCTAAATCTTGTGCTCTCATGGTGTGCTGCAGAAATAGTTTAGAGACCCTGGTGTCTTGTGGGGTGTGGGATGCTACCTATGGAGTGCTGCCCTAACAATCACAATTCTTTACCTTTCGGGACCACACCACGCTTTGCACATATCTTGAATGGTAGTGGTCGCTAGTGCTGTGTGGCAGTGCTTACCTGACTCCATCACTGGTGTCACTGCCAGATACCAGGTGGAGGAGGGATGAGGTGGCAGTGAGGTCAGCCTGGTGCAAATGTACTGGCTGAGCCAATCCAGTGCTACTGCTGGTGCATTTGCACCTCACAAACCTCATCCCTCTTCCTTCTGGTAAGCTGCAACACAGTCAATGAGGTATTGCTAAACCTCATTGACTGTGCTGAAAATTGAGAGCCAGTGTTGTGTAGTGGTTAAGAGCAGTAGACTCGTAATCTGGTGGACCGGGTTCGCTTCCCCGCTCCTCCACATGCAGCTGCTGGGTGACCTTGGGTTAGTCACACTTCTCTGAAGTCTCTCAGCCTCACTCACCTCACAGAGTGTTTGTTGTGGGGGAGGAAGGGAAAGGAGAATGTTAGCCGCTTTGAGATTCCTTAAAGGGAGTGAAAGGCGGGATATCAAATCCAAACTCTTCAACAATGCTAGTGATGGGAGATCAGGTAAGTGCTGCTGCCCCGTTGACCACTATTGTTCTTTAACCCTCTTACAAAGTGTGTTTTATAGATCCTCCCTCTGATCGTCAAAGATTCCCCCACCCCATCTCACAGAACGTTGTGTTAGGCCGTTCCATAGACTTTTCCCACCACTGAAGACTGAAGGGCCACTTTGGGATAGAAATTTCTTTAAATAAATAAGCAGAGAAATAGAAATCTGGGTTAGTTACTGCCATGTTTGTCAGGATGGCATCAGTCACAATTTCACAGCCTCCATTTGGGATACTGCTGTGACTTCACCCATTTGCTGCACACACAGTTTTCACTAGTTTAATCATCGCTTGGCATATAACATCCGCTTCTTCCCAAAGCAGGGTGATGTGAAGTCTGGATTATTTTAGCACCTGTTAGGAACATAGTTAGGGCTATGTGATGTATTTTACTTCCTTATTTTTTTAAATCTTGAGTGATTTCTGCCAAGACACCCCAGCGGAAGCCTTGGGCTGTGGAAAGATATTGCTAAACCTCATTGACTGTGTTGAAATTCATGTTCCATGGAAGAGTCACTTCATGAATTAGGAAGGTGCCAAGTATCCCTCTTTAGATGACTGTCATGCTTAGTAAGTTGATAGATGAGTCAAATGAGTTGCATTTCTTTAAGGTATTTGTCTTCAGCTTGTGCTATGAAGCTGTGTATGGTAATGGGCTGACTTAGTGCTTTTTAGACTGATTGGGCTCCTGTAGTTCTCTTCCAGTTCTAGCTGCCAAATGGAGGATGTGCATTACTTTCTCCCTGAACCCCAGCACAACAGAAATCTTACGGAATGGTCATAAATGAAGCAGACTCACAGATAGAAGGTGCTGGAGACTGATGCATTCCTTGATGTCATCATCAAGCAGACATAGCTGGAAACTGGGCATTTAAAAGGCAAAGATGGTTTACTGCTATATTTCTGTCTCCAACTGCTTCCGCAAGACAGTGGACAATTGGTGCACTTTGTGATGCGGAACTGTAGACTGAGAGCTGTTGTATCCCTTCCATACGTAGTTCTGCTTTGAGCAAGCTGGACAGTGGGGCACATATCTCCGTCCCACGTTTGCTGCCTTTGAAAAACAGTCACATCTTGGGGGCTCTTTTTTGCTTCTCTTTGGTACTGAATGGTGTGGTTAGATGAAAACTCCTCTGGGGGAATAATGAAGATACCATCTGCTTTCAGCAGCAGAAAAATCAATAAACTTTGCCTATGGGTTGGCTGTCCTCCACCTGGGAGCTAGCACTCCAAGCTCTGGGCAGACGGTTTAGACCACCCGACCTGCCCTCCTTGACCATGGTGTGCTGCACTTCCACCAAACAAATTACTCATTTATGTACGGAGGCATTGAGAGTGGCTTTGTCGTTTTGATCTTAAGAGCTTGTGGTCCAGTTACAGCGACTGGGAATGCAAGTTGGCAAGTGCAAACTGATTATTACTGGGACTAGCTTGTTAGTGAACAGACTTAAAAACCACAGAGACCTCTGCGGACAACCATTCTCTCTCTCTCTGTGTGTGTGTGTGTGTGTGTGTGTGTGTGTGCGCGAGAGAGAGACAGAGAGACAGAGAGAGGGGGGGTGAGCAAGGGAGAACTCAAGCACTGAAAGCCAGATCAAGGGAACAAATATCCCAGATTTCATTATTTATGTATGGAACACTATGAAAGTTTTTGTAAGTCTTGAGGCTATTTCATGCTCTTGTGGAGCCCTGGCAGTGAGCAAAGTGACCTAATCCATGGTTTAACTTTCTCTGCATTGATGAATGACAGTGAGAGAGAGAGAGAGAGAGAGAGAGAGTGTCTAAACGGCTCAGAGATCTAACTATATCACTTTTGGCACCACAAGATCTCTTAGCACTTTTGAGCATGCACTGTCTGCGTAGCAAATCTCTTGTGGCTGCAATGGAGTCCAGGGATGGCTGCCTGTCGGAAGAACTCAGCCAACCACTACAGGGGGGAGTTGGGAAACAATGTCCCAGGCTGAAGCCCATAGAACCAGTAGGAGCTATTGAAACATTTCTTATTAGTCCTTGCAGTGCTTTCTTATTTTTAAACGGCCACGTTGCCACCAGCAGAGAAATCTCTTTTCTTTTTATGTAACACGCCTTAACTAAAAGCAGAAACAAGAAATTTATATCAGATGAGTAGAAACTACACTGCCAACCTAGAACCCACAGGCGCCGTGAGTTTTTCCCCCTTTTAAGTTTCTTTCTTTCTTTTTTTCCTTGCAGAGGCATCTGGCACCGTATTTAAGGAAAGCAAAAGGCCTGTTCATGAATTACAGTCTATATCATAAGTGCAAGCTAGCAAGGCATCTGGTGGCTGCATAGGCTGCAGAGGGGTGGCCATCTCCTTGCTGTTCAAATAATGGTTTGGTGATTAATGAGCTGGACTGGGATTGTAGACAACTCTGTTTGAATCCAGCCACTAATTAAAATGGCTATTGGGTCCTGCACATAATGCTTCCTGGCCACCCCTCCCTCCCATAGTGACCTTACTCATATTTGTGTACTCTCCTGCACATCTGGGTCCCTGATTTGTTCTCATGGGTTTCAGCCTGCCTGGAGGCTGTTTTCTTAGTCCCAGGTGGCTGTAGCTTCCCAGCTTGTAAACAAGTGCAGTGGTACCGTGGGTTAAGAACTTAATTTGTTCTGGAGGTCTGTTCTTAACCTGAAACTGTTCTTAACCTGAAGCACCACTTTAGCTAATGGGACCTTCTGCTGCCACTGCGCCGCCGCTGCACGATTTCTGTTCTCATCCTGAAGCAAAGTTCTTAACCTGGGGTAATATTTCTGGGTTAGTGGAGTCTATAACCTGAAATGTATGTAACCCGAGGTACCACTGTAATAGTGAGATGTAGCCACGGTGGTAGAAGCAACGAATTCTGGCTCCCGATCCCTGTGGAGAACCCTCCTGTTAGGGTTCAAAGACCATGTGCAGGAGGCAAACAAACTCTCCTAAGGTCCGTAAGACAGCTTTCTTCAACATGTGGGAGTTCAGGCTGCTTTTAAGACCTGGAGGGCTGAAATTCCCCTCAGGGCCGTGGTGCAAGGGCCATGCTGCCTGTAGCGCCTGAGTACAGGGCGAGTTTTGTTGGTGTGTAGTAGGCCCTGTTCAGTCCCCTTTCTCTCCTAGAAAGACAGCCTTGTAGAACTATATTCCATGTGCGCTGCCTCATGGCTCCTGTCAACGAAGAAGAAATGCCGCGCCCTCTGGCTTTTAAAACTTACGCTTCGCAACATAGGGGCACAATTTTATTGTATCCGTTTGGGAAGCTTAGCACAATAATCTTGACATGAATAAAACTGGTGGTTTTTACGGGCCTACAAAATCTCTGCCCGAGCTCAAAAATGCAGGCATTCCCTGTGCAAATTGGCACGCAGGCTATGCCCCCCCCTTTTCCGCACGTAGATTGAAATGAAATGAGCTGACCCTTCTCTCTGCCTGTGTTGTACGCCTGCCTTCTTGGCAGGACACAAAGTGCCGGATGCAGACAGCAGAAATGCTCCTTGCTTGACCTTCCATCCGGATGGAAATCTCTCTAATGAGCTAGTGTGCAAATGCCCTGCTCTGTTGCAGCAGCGCCTTCAAAAGAACTTTGGAAACCTCCTCTTTTTTGCAGTCGAGCTTCCTGTCTTCCCCAAACAAGCCTCCCCAAACCCCTTCATTGTTTGCGCAGCAGGATTCTTCACTTCTTGAAGACAGAGAGGTTGTTGTTTTTTTGACAGGCCTACCTTCAGTTCTTTTCACGCCACCAGATAGAAACTGGAGGAGGATGAAGTAAGGCTGTCATCTTTGGACAGCTGCCCTGCACCCCCTTTCCCAGCCCTCGTCTAGTGAGGGACACTGGTTGGCCACCAGTGAAATTGTCCAGAAAAGCCCTGCAGCGACACTACATCACAACAGTGCTATTTGAGCAATTAAAAATGGTAGCCATTTGGCGCTTTCTGGAAGAGTGCAGCTACCGTCCTCCTCTAGCAATGGTGAGCCTGGCTTTCTTCCACTGTGTTGGAGCCAAAATAAATAGCAAGGGAAGGAAAAGCTCCTGCTATGTGGTGGTTGGGGACTCACGCCAGCATGGAGGGACACCAGGGGGTCACAGGCAAAGTTCCTTCACACCTGGAGTTCATTTATTTAATTTATTTCATCAAATTTACCGTATGTACTGCTTGATTTTAAAACAAAAATCTCAACAACATTCCTCTTCAACCAGGCCTTTGGCTGATTAATATTCTACAGCCTTTTAAATGTGTTTGGGAGGAGGGTATTTTTTGGGGTTTTAACTGTTTTGTGCTTCTATCCTGCATTTTTATCTTGCAAGCCGCCTGGAGATCTTCAGATGAAGGGTGGTATAGACAAAACAAAATTAAAAATATATAAAGCCATGAAATCAAGAACAATTGATAACTGTACTTTGAAACATGCAAAAGCTGGCTGTGAGATCCTGTTTGACAGTGCTAGGCAAGCTGTTAGCAACTAAAAGGCAAGCTATAAAGCACAAAGGGACATAGCACAGGCTTTCCACATTCTGTCCATGTTGGTGCAAATGGCCAAATTATTTTATTCTTGCGTGTGACAGTCTCTGAAATAGACGAAGTGCTGTTACCAGTGTACAGTTGAAATGGTTTTAGTAACCAGTCCAATTGTTACATTGGGAATATATGGCAAAAAGAGCAAGGCTTTGTTTCCTGCAGTAATGTTGTAAACCGGCGGCCCCTCCTTCCAGGCAGCTTCCCCCTAGGACAACTTTGCTGCAGTTTCAGCTTGATGCACTGCAACAATTTTGTTTCTTCTTTTGCTGACTTGGCAGTTAGCTAGCAAATTGCTTTTATTCTCAAACCACATGCGCTTGGGGCAAGTACCATGTTTTTGGATTTGCTGAAAGCAGTCTAAGAAATAAAAGCGAAAGGGCTCTGGTTATCTTTTGTATTTTTAAATGTGCTTATTTGGAATTCCATAATGATTTTATGAAGTTCAGAAAAATAGTACAGCACTAGAATGGGGGGAATTCGTTAGGTTTTCGTCCAGGCCATATCACATGAACAAATCCCAGTCTCTGTAATAATAATTTTCCCGTGAATGTTTTAAATTGTTTGAGCGATAAAACCTTTTGAGCACTGCATTTCAATTCCAGTTCTAAAGGAGAGATTTTGAAGCATTGGATAGCATGTTAGAAAACTAGTGACAGCTTTTATTTAAACATTTTGTACATGTCAGCTAAAAGGCAGGACAGATGTGGAAATGGAGGACATGTCTGCTCCCACAAATTGATTTAACGGTCATTTAAATCCTAGAATGCTGTCCAAATCCTATAGACTTCAATGGGATTTGGGGTTGAGATACACGTGTCTCCTTCAGGAAGAGACTGTTGATTTCTCTTTGTTGTGAGGATGAGCTCTTAGGCTGTGTGTTGAGTTTGTTTGTTTACCCCTTTTTCTAAAAAAATCCTGGTATGCTAATCCGTTTAAATATATATTAATCCCCTCCCTGCCCCCGCAAAGAAGGCAATATTAAAAATAAAGGAACTCAAAGCATGGATCAGGGTGAGTGGGAAGAGTAGCTGTGGCTTGTGAATCAGCACTCAGCACAGTCTGGCAAGGAGGCAGGAAGGTGCCTAAATCTCACATAGACTAGCAGGCAGCATTCTGCATAGCTGACGCCTCCTGGAAACAAACAAACAAACAAACAAAAAGTTGCTTCTGTTCAAGATTCTGTGCAGTAGTTTGTACATCTATCTCAGAATGTCTGTATGCGCCTCTGCCTTTAACTAAGCTCTGATCTGCACGATTAAAGGTGAGGGGTTTTCGCAAACTCCAGTCTCCTGCGCCGTTGGTTTCCCTCAGCTTTTGACACAAGTGCCCTTCTGTAGACAAAAGCTAACATTTTAATTTTTTTTACATCTCACTGTATGCATTTGATACTGGCTCTCAGATATATAAAACAACCATTCCTGGTGCATGCCAAATACTTAAAGAAGTTCTGGAACTTCATGTAGCTCAGACTCGAGAGGTTGCCTGACAAGCCCAGACTTGAGCCCAGATACCAGGCAGGGACGTTGAATGGGGTGGGTGGGGGGAGTCCACCTACAGGAGACACACGGAAATAAATCTTCATAAAATATACAGATCCTTCTTTTCATAGGTTTCAAAGTGCCCACACCCATTCAGGTTGCAGCCTTGAGAATAGAAACAGTGGGAATTTTATCTGCCAGCCAGGCAGGGAGGCTTCTTCTGTGGGACAAACACTTTAAATTGCACAAGCACCAACAGTGATAGATGCTCCTTTTCATTGAACACATACACATATTTGCAAGCGCGTAGGAACATAGGCAGACCATTGGTCCACCTAGCTCTAGATCTTTTACACTGACCAGCAGCAGCTCTCCAGCATTTTGGACAAGGACCATTCCCAGCCCTACCTGGAATTGAACATGGGAGCTTCTGCACGTAAGGCAGATGCTCTACCGCTGAGCTGTGGCCCTTTTCCCAGAGTCTGAAGCAGGCCAGGCAGTCTATCTAGCCCAGTATTGTTTATTCTTACTGGCAGCAGCTCTTCAGGGGTCTTGCCCCATCACCTGCTACCTGATTCTTTTCTAACTGCAGATGCCAGGGACTGGACTTGGGACCATTTGCAGGCAAATCCTGTGATGTAACACCAAGCTGTGGTCCTTCCCAAGGCCCCTTGCTTTTCTGTTAGCTCTTGTCACCTCCTTCTCACTCCCTGAGTTGATCAGGGAATATATGAGAAGCACACCCCACATTTGCCCACTAACTGCAATTACACTTTCTTTCCCCTTTTGCTAAAATGACAGAATAGCTGGGGGTGGGGATGTGTGGCAGGACAGGAGGGGCAGCAGAGCAAGCCACGGAGAGCAGCAGCAGGAGGCCCTCCAGGCCCGGTCCAAATTAAATGTTTTCAGGAATTCCCTATCTGCTTAGGGGCAGGTGTTACAAGCCAACCTGAATAAGAATGCCTTGCGGCACTTCCTGAAAATGAATGCAAAATCTTCCTTTTGTGACTGTACTGTGGGCGCTCCTGACTCTCTTTTTTTGGCTATCTCTTTTTTCCAGCTGTTGAGGTCTGAGCTGCTTCATTATTATTACTCTACTTTTCTTTCTTCCCTTTAAAAACACAGCACTCCCCCCCCCCCTTCCCTCTCTCCTGCCTCTGCAAACTGGCTTTCTTGTGTGATGGCAGCTGTGCCTAGTCTAGGCCAGGATGCAGGCTCGAGGTAGATAAGAATTGACCCTTTCCTCTGGCAGGTGAAAGGACCAGACTTCCTTTCTGTCACTGCCCTTCCAGCATGGCTTTGCTGCTTCTGTGGGCATGTTTCATTAGAATCGCAGGCAATGGCTCAGAGGTTGGCTCCAGGGCTTTATGTTACAGATTTAGGTTTGCAAAGATGCATGTGGGTCTTAAGTAGACCGTGCTGAGAGGTCATGAGTTACAAGGAGGTTGCAGGGCAGTTAGAAATAGCCAGGTGTTCAAGTTGTGATTTGGCTAATCTGCCTCCCAAAGATTCTCCGCTTCAATACATTTTTATCATTGTTGCAGTTCAGGCTTAAACATTTTTTAGAATTCACCTGATGTACATATTATATTTAATCTTTCATTCTTTGTCATTCCTGAAGCTTTTGAGTTTTATTTTGGACATTCTTGAGTGTTGCAATTTTTTACACTGGGTGGGGGAAAGTATATACATTTAATTAAGCCTAGCTATGGAATTTGTAGGTCTCTGATTCTCGGGGAGCAAAACTGAAGTATATAAAGATTACTTGACACACCCAGTGTCTTCAAGCCAAAGCAGTTGCAGAGCTAGGCTATATTAGGTGCTGGAGGCTCCAAGTAATCTGCTCTTTCCTGCCTGGTTTATCCTCCATACAGCACAGGGGGAAAAGCCATTTAGTTACAATTTCTTGATGTGTTTGCATCCTTCCAGCAAACATCCACTGGGAAGTCATGAATACATCCAGCACTGCAGGAAGTTTGACATTGATATCCGGCTGCAGCTGATGAAGAGGAAGGCTGTGCGCACTGACTTGGCTAGGACCGTAAGTATTTGCTTGCCAGTGAGCAACAGAACTGTGTGATGTCTCTGCCATTACTAGTACAGATGGAATATGTTCTCCATCTTGCCTAAGGTTGCAGGTCCAATGGTGGCATCTAGAGCACTCGCTGTTCCATCCATACTGGATCTGTTTCAAATATTGCAGCTTAAGGATACAGACAGCCAACCATCTGCCTCCTTGACCCTTGCCCATCTTGGATTCTTCGAGCCAGTAGTAGGGGTTGAGTGGGTGGGTCCCAGGAATGACTGATGCCTCACTGGAGAAGGGGGAAGTACCATCTGCCTTGAAGGAGGCAATGTTGCTCCTCCTCCTTAAAAGGACCTCCTTGTACCCAGAAGTGTTAAACCACTGAAAGGCCCTCTCCTTCCATGTAACTCTCGGGTTTTAAAAGTGGGTGGAACCAGAAGGGGGGTGGTCTGGGAGAGGGGATTCTCTTTGGCAGTCCCTAAGTTGCAAAACCCCCTCCCCACAGAGGGGTGTCTTCACTGTTCAGCTTTCAGCAAATACTGAAGAGGTACCTATTAACTCTGGCTTTTGACACCTAAATTGTATATTTTTATGACCTGCACTATTTTTGTGATTGTTAAGTTGCTTTGAACTGTTTCCACCCTGAGATCCTAGGGTGGATGATGGGTAATAAATAAAAAATAATAGTAATGCTAAGCCAGCCCATGGCTTAGCTGCAGCTGGACCAGGGGAGGAGCGCAGTAGCGGCGATTTTGCTCCAGGAACCTGCACGTTTCCTCATTCACACTAAGCCATGGTTTTCCTTAGCATTACATGCAAACGGAGTCAAGATGCATGTGAGTAATTAACCTTCACGTATGCAGGTGAACGATGACCAGAGTCCTTCCACGCTCAACCACTACGTTCACCTCCAGGAAAGGCCAATCAAGCAGACCATCACCAGGTAAAGATGAACGGAGAATCTCAGGGTCCCCGGTTCAAGCCCCACGTTGGGCAAAAGATTTCTGCATTGCAGGTGGTTGGACTAGATGACCCTTGTGGTCCCTTCCAACTCTGCAATTCTATGATTTTATGGAGTGGCAGCAGCAGCATACTTCGGGTGGCCTATGTAAGGCCAGTGCTTTTTAAAGGGGGTACTCAAGGGTACACAGTACTGGCACCTCTTTTTGTTGTTGTTAAAAAGTGTGGCACTTACTGTAACAACTTTATGGTGAGTACTGGCACCTATTTTTCTAGGAAAAAAGCACTGTGCCCCCTCAAAAAAAACCCCACCAAAGTGAAACAAAAATAGACCCAGTGCTGGAGTTCTTAATTTAGGCCTTCCATATTGAACTCCCTCCAGCCTCTTGGGAGAGAGGGCCCTGGCTTAGTGGTAGAGCATGGCTTACATGCAGAAGGTCCCAAATTGAAGCCAAGCATCTCCAGGTAGAGATGGGAAAGTCTTCCGTCTGAGAATCTCGGGAGACACTGCCAGTTCTGAACTAGATGGACCAATGACTTTGGGCTGTTGCTTAAGATCTCGCCTTTACGGAGATCCATTTCCTCCATACGTAACAGCCGTGATTTGCTTCCTTTTTCTGTGCCAAGCTGTCTGTTGTTGTTTCTTCCACTAGGCAGGCCTTGAGTCTCCTCTTCGATACCTTCCACAACGAGGTCGATGTATTCCTAGCCGTGGAGGTGAGAGGATAGCATTGGGGTTAATGTTGTGGTTGAACATACGTTGAACTATGCATATGGCTTTGGTGTGCTGCAAACGCCTCTGTGTTGGTGAATATTATTAGATGTAACCATTACACCTTTGGCATCTTCAAGCTATGAAATCCATCCATAAGGAAGCTTATGATAGGGAACCCAGTAACTCTCAACCACTTTCCCTGAGACACCCTGATCGCCAGTCTTCCCATCACTTTCCTCCTAGCTCGAACCATTGCCCCATGTTCTTTGAGATATATCTCCAGTTCCTGGTCTTCTTTGGCGGCAGTGAGATAAGAAGCACATAGCTTTGCACTTGCTTTGTCTGCACCCACTTTGGTATAAAACCCACCATATTGTTTGGCAGTGAACAGTAGCTGTTGGTGGGGCAGCATAAACCCACCTGTGTAGCTGAGCTGGCTTTCCTAAGGCTCCTGCCACTGCCGGTTAACAAGAGGGAGGCTTGGCATGGTGTGGGCACAGCAGTGGAGCCAATCCGATGTTTCTGGCACTGTGCCCACACTTTGCCAAGCTCCCTGCCACCATACCCCTCTCCCTCTTGGTAAGTGGCAGGGGCATATGGCATAGGGAAGCCAGATCAGCATTGCTGCCCTGCTGGTCACTACTGCAATATAGCACCTGGTATGGGCATCACAGGTACGTTTGAAGAGGCCAAATATAACAGACCATTGTATGATAGAAAGTATTTGTGAAAACATAGGCTAGGGTTTTATGACAATGCAAGTATTTTTCGACGTTGCAGTTTCCTCCAGGCCCTTCCCATTTCACTATGTTGCTCACATTGTTTCATTTCCTGCTTCAAGCTGATAAGGTGCTAGTTTGTTTTTTTACTGTTTTCGCTAGAGTGACGTTTGCTTTATAAAATAAATGCCCTGAACATTGCTTCTCCCATCTCATCTGACAGTCCACTGCTTGCTTCTCCTCTTCCTCATTCCAGTCTTGAATCCTTCATGAGAGTCAAATTTCCCAGCGTAAGGTGAGGGCTGCCAGCCACAAGTGTGCTTGGGACTACAGCCAAGAGGCGGATCTGCATAGCAGCGTTTGCTATCAGAGCAGAAAACAAACAGGGTGTAGTGAAGTGATCCCCAGGTTCTAATCTTGAAATTGTCAGCAGCTTTTAACAGCAAGTTCCTATCTACTGTTTGTTTCAGTTTCCCTTCCCTTGCGATAAATACAGCCAAAAACATACTTGTGAAGGTAGGCAAAAAAGAAACCCAAGACGTTGTGAAGGTTAAATTTCTCATGACAATAAAGGGATTCATATAGAGTTGGGTTTTTTTCCCATTTTGAAACCTCTACGTTATCGAGCACTTAATGTAGAGATTAGAATGTGTGTTTTAGATCTTGGGAGTAGTGAATTTAGCGAAAGGAAAGGGTTAAGCAGGAAACTTTGACAACCTTCTAAATTGCCAACACTGAGGTTGCCAGCACTTTATAATTCCAAAAAATTATCAGGAGTAGTGGATTCAAGTCCTAGCTTAGCTTTGTGAACTCTAGCTTAGAGTGCAGGAACGATAATATATTCAACTGAGCAGCTAGAATTGCCTTTAGACATCTCTTTTGTGTGATTGTCTGGTTCTTGCTAGTGATGAAGGTGAAGGGCTTTTTAGCAAACTGATTGGAACAAGAACTAGTTTGGTCCCTATCTGTGAAAGCACCCTCTTGCAGTCAGATCGCCATGACTGGGGGCAGAAAGTATGTGTGAGAGAGAGTGAGTGTGAGAAAGAAACCATTCTCCTCCTTTCAAGAGGTGAGTCATAACAAAGCTATCTAGGAAATCTCAGCTGAATGGAATGTAGTTCACTAGTATGTAATCTTGAGGTGTGCGATGGATCCTGAAAATAACACATTTGAGAAATGAACAAGTTACTTGATCCTGTGGTTTTTGAGCAGGGAAAAGGAAAAGCTTTCTAGGTTCCAGTAGCTAGATTACTACTCTCTGAAGATTTTGCTCCCCCTGCATGGTCCTACATTATTTCTCCCTTCCTGCACGTTTGTATGGAAACGTATGTCTGTGTATGTACTACCTGCAGTGGGGGTTGGCAAGGTTTATCTTGTGATTTCCGGTGTCTGCGCATGCGCAGACGCGATTTCTGGTGCCGCGGAAGTGAGTCCTCGCGCCGCACTGTGCCAGTTTAGCGCAGTGCGTGAGTGGGCAGCTCAGTTCCAGGGCAGCTCGTGGGCCGGTCAAATGACCTCCGCGGGCTGCTTCTGGCCCATGGGCCTTAGGTTAGTGACCCCTGACCTACCGTGTCATAGGCTGAATACCAATTGCTGGGCATAACAAGGGAGAGCTGGTTGCTGCTGTCTCACATCCTGCTTGTGTGCTTTCCATTGGTATTTGTTTGGTCACTGTGACAACAGGATGCTGATCCAGCCGGGCTCCTCTTTCTGGCCCTAACCCCACTCTTCCACAAGCTTTTGCTAGAGCAATTGTCAGCATGGCATCCTTCCTTCCAAATGAAAAAAATAATAAAAAGTTAGCGGTATGTGCAGTGCAGCTGGAAAACTGTAGGCCCATTCTTCTACATCCTCTATAGTGCTGGCTGTTGACTCTTTTGCCCCTGCAAACCATATACTGCAGAGTTTTATCAATCCAATGGATTATAGAGCTTCATGTGCAACAAGCAACAGTGCCCCTTAGTGGCACTTCTACCTATTTGTTCTGAGGTTCCCAGGCTGAAATTATATTGGTGGAAGGAGCTGGTAATATCAAATGGCTTCATGGGTTCCAGGAAACTTGGTGTTGACGTTAGGACAGTACTTCCATCAAAGCAGGCCTTTGGAACGGAAGTCCAAGGCCCTATTACTTGCACTAGTGCATCAGGACATGCTTGAACACAACAGAGTAGCTGCTTTATTTCTCCAAATCCTGTTATGTTGAAATCCAGTCTTAAGATGCAGAGCTGGTGGCCACGATATGGAAATGATGATGATAAAGACCCATTTGTCTTCCACTTTTATGACATTGGTTGAGTTTGGGGTAAAAGGAGTATGAACAAACTCTTTTGTGCTTTGTTGAGCAGCTCTCTAAGATCTGCTGGAGTTGATAGGCTCCTCTTTATGTTCTCTTTGGTCAGACTCACACAAGGTACTGGGATTTTACCTCAGAATAATCACCGAGTTTATGTCCAGGGAAGCCAGGTTTAGTGATAAGGCAGTTAAGGAAGAGGTAGATAAGTGAAGTAAATTTATGGCGGGGTTACTACTCTCATTCACCCTAGATCAGGGGTTGGGCACCTGTGCCCTCCAGATGTAGGGCTCCAACACCCATCACATCCAGCAAGCATGGCCAGTGGTCAGGGATGATGGAAGTTGTAGTCTAGCAACAGTTTGAGGGCTGCTGATTCCCACCCCATGCCCTAGATGTTGGCTATACGCACAACTCTTTGAGGTGGCACATTGTGTTTTGCTCTATGTGCTGTTACCTTGAGACATGAGACTTTCAATTCTTCATCCAGGGAGACGTCCAAGTGAAGGCAGAACGAGTGATCCAGTCTGTCATGGCCATTTGCAATGCTCTGGCTGCTGTGGAGTCCCAGGAGATCACTGCAGCCCTGAATCAACTGCCACCCTGTCCGTCTCGCATGCAGCCCAAAATCCAGAAGGTGAGAAGCAGAAGTTGGTGTCAGGAAGCAGCAATATTTAATCTGAGTGCCTAAGCTAAATATGAGAGAAAGAGGAGAGTAGAATTATTTTAGCAGACTCTTCCATTTTCTAAAAAGATGTAGCTAAGAAAGGACAAAAAGTGCCCTTGTGACAACTTAGTTTTTAGTGTCACACTTGACACTAAAAAGCACATTTGAGATTCTCTTTTTTGCCATATGTGAATACTGTTAAGGCAAGATAGCTGTGGACAAAAATTCAGGTGTGAATTCTAGCCAGTGTAAAGTTTTTGCATTCACACTGTGCACTGACTTTGAGCACACCTGATTTAAACCTTGCATGTTAATTTGACCTTGGACAGTTTTGTTGCTGATAACCTTGCTGCGTCCAATATGGAGTGCATATTTTAAAATGCCCTCTTCCAGTAGCTGGATCTGCCTAAAGTGCCATTACATTGGCTGGTGCTTTCCATTGCAGCAAAAGGTAGAGCCTTTTCAGCAGTGGATCAGCTATTTGGAACTCCCTAGGTCCTTTGTTCTTTGCACTCAGAGAACATTCAGAGACTTTTCCCCTTTTCAGAAAGCTTTTTAATTATGTGGATGGATTTTCAATCAGTTTCATTTATTTATTTTTTAAAAAATAGATCTTGAGTTTCTCTTTGTTTTAATGGGCTTTGTGTGTATCTTCTGGAATTTTATTTTATTGGCGGCTTTTAAAATGTTTTTGATCGTAAGTCCATTTTTTAGCTTCTGGACAGAAGCAAGGAACACACATTTTACAATAAAGCAATAAAGTAGTTAGAATTTTCTCCAAACCTGGGAAAATGTAGCTGCTATTCCCACAGTTGGATAGCTTGAACTGCTGGGAGTGGAAATATATTGACATATGTTATATAAAGTGTTTGCTCAGAGTTGCTTGCCTTTCAGTCTGATTTTCATAAAATATTTCTCCTCTGGTTTCTCTTTCCTGAGCAGGATCCAAAGGTTTTGGCCATGAGGGAAAACAGAGGTAATAATTTCTCTTCTCCTGTTGTTGCTATTGAATTCTGAAGGCTTTTTACTTTCCACTGCCTCCCAAGTGCACTTTTCCAATTATTGCATACTGTTATTTATTGAACAAATTATCATCATCATCATCATTAGCCTTTTGAATCTTCAGCTTAGACATCTTGAGTCCCTAGAGTTGCTATTCCATTAATCAGACTTTTCAGAGCAGGGTGGTTTCCTAGTAATAATGAAAATTCAGACCTGATTTTCAAAAATATTGAAGCCCCAACTACACTAAAGACCTTGAGGGATTGCGCTTCAGGGTCAAAGTAAACATAATGTGGGAGATCCTTGAACAGGAACCTCTGCAATGATTTTTTATATAAAAAACAGTTGAAAGGAGGTGTAGGACCCTTTAGACCATGAGAGACATCCTTCCAGGCCATTTTACCAACGGAAAGTGATCCTTACCCACCCACTGGCAAGCTACTGCTTGCAACACTAGGCAAAACCATATATTTGGCTATACCTTTTGAGAGAATACAGATAATTGAACAAATTTTGTTGCATTGCATTCTTCATTAAATTATATTTCCACTGGTATATAATTTTATGGCATTACTCCAAAAGAAAGTGGTGTTACGAGCCATCAAACCATGGAAATACACTTTTTCCAGAATGTTTCCACAATTTTGGCCACTAGTGTAGAGACCTGTATGTTTTGGCCTAAGTGGCAAATGGTAGCTTTGGGGTTTTATCCCGAGAAGAGGAAAGGGGCTTGTATCTGTAGATGACCCCCAAGATCTTTCCAAATCTGAAATTCTATTATCTGTGCTTGTTTTCTGGTATCCCTATCTTAATGGAGACGAAGGAACTTCAGGAGTAAAGGAATAAACTTTAGGATAGAAGTGGGATTAAGTAACTTGTGTAGGAGCTACAAAGTGATGCATGCTGACTTCATCTGCAGTGCCTGTAGGCCCTGCCAGTTCTACACCTGAGCTTTATAAATGTTTGTTTATAATCATTTATATACATGTATGTATAATTTATAGTTTATTGTTTAGATTTGTACTTCAGTCTAAATGCATTATTAAGGTGGCATAAAGTAAAAAAAAAGTTATTAAAATGAAATGTCACAAACACATATACACCAATATTTATTTGCCAAGTTAATCCAAATTCTGCTGCAAGAAAAACCAATTTCAGTAACCTGTATAAATTATGGTAATTAAGCAGCCTTTTTAAAAAAGCAAATGTCTTGCCAGTGTAGCTGCAAAGGGAGTCATGGATGGATGGATGCATGCAGTCGTGCAGAAGCCTGTGGGTAGGCTGAGCAGGATTTTATGATGACCAGGAGGCAAGGCGTCAATGCCTTGCTATTATTATTATTATTATTATTATTATTATTATTATTTATTTTATTATTATTTATACCCCACCCATCTGGCTGGGTTTCCTCAGCCACTCTGGGCGGCTCCCAACAGAATACTAAAAACAGAATAGAACTTCAAACATTAAAAACTTCCCTAATAGCTGCTTGCTCACTTCAGATTAATAGAAGCAGAGTAAATTACGCAAAATAAGCAAATTTATGGAGCTATCTTAATATGTATAACCCACACAGGACTTTTCTTGGTGCCAAATGCTGGTTTCTTTTTGGAAAAGCTGCAGACTATGACAGCCCTGCAGAGAGGGAACTATAGGAGTCATAGGGAATTTCCAGAAAGGGTTAGCAATTTTGAAGGTTGGAACTTGGCAGGCCTTCCTGTTGTCAGAGTATCTGCCAAGCATATTTGCTCTGTGGGGGCATATTTGTGAGGTTTCAAAGTGCTTCTGTCAATTCCCACCCCCCTTACAGAGAAAGTTGTGGAAGCTTTGACGGCCTCCATCTTGGATCTGGTGGGGCTCTACTGCAACACATTCAATGCCGACTTCCAGACCGCGATTCACGGGAACCGAAAACATTGCCTCTCCCAAGAGGCCCGGCTACTCTCCTGCCCCCTCTCCTTCACTGTCTATGCCACTCACCGCATACCCATAACCTGGGCAGCAAGGTAAGCAGTGATGTCTTTTCTCTGGCGCCAGGGAAGGACCGTCTGACACTTTGTGTTAGATCTTGGGATCAAGTGTGTGTACATACATAGAGCCATAGTGGGGGCATTATACGTATTTGGATCAGGACTGTAGAGCTGTGCAAAGGTGCAACTCCATTTTCCTGATTTATACACAGATATCCCTGAAGTTTCTGCTTCCACAGCACACAGATGGTTATTATGCATTGGAGCACCTCTGAACTAGTTGTGTCTTCCTGGTCAGAAACACATATTGACCTGGCAGGTTCACACATCACAGTAAGCCAAGCTATGATGGGACAGTGCAACTGTGTTGTCTGCTAGGGAAGAAATTTTGGCTGTTTTGCTCTTCCATAGTCCTTTTCACTCAGCAGCTAAACCAAGGTTTGGCTTAGTGTGTCATTGGAACCTGAGATTGTGGTTAAGCTTTACAGCATGTGGGTAAGGGGGAGAGAGCGTTAACTATGACAACACACTAAACCAAACCTTGGCTTAGCTGCTGAGCTAAAAAGACAAGCAAAAAGCAAAGCAACTGTCCTGTCCTCCATGGGAGCTCACACATTCATGCTAAGTCATGGCTTGAGCTCAGCATTACATGTGAACACAGCCATGCTGTTTATCTTAACCATTCCATGACTTCCTAGTTATATTTCAGATTCCATTTGGCTGCCCGAGGTCACCATCAGTGGGGAGAAATTGTTTCAACCTTTACTGGCTAAATGAAGCCAATTTGCCATTTAAATCCAAGTTGCCATAAGATCAGCTTCACGGATTCAGTGTCGCGTATTCCCGGCCCCTTGCTCCCCCAATTCTGACAAGTCCTTAGAAATCAGGCTGGTAGAGATTTAAGCAAACACAATGTTTTGTACTCGACGCATTTCCCCTCGGAAGAATGAGGCTGGCTAGCTGAGGTCAGAAGACTAGAGGAAAGCTTGCATATAAGGGAGTTGGCTGATCTGACTCTTGTTCAGGGCTGTTTTTGGAGGCTCCCTGGAATGCTCTGGGAGAATCCTTTGGTCTCGGCACCCCGCCTCCCTGGCTCAGTCCTACAGACAGTGACAGATGGCTGCTTCTCAGCCTGGGCTCTTGCCCCTTCAGCCAATGACTGAGTGGAAGGGAATCGCTTAATGGATATAGGGACAATAGGAAGTCTGGGCAGGGAGGGGACATTCCTTTGTAAGCAGCCTTTTGCTTGTGTGTTTGTGTTTCTCTAAAGGCACAGAGGCAGTGCCTGGGAGGTGCCCCTTGGTAATCCACATCCCCAGCAGCAGACTCATGCAAGTGGGGTGGGGGAGGAGGGTCGGGGTTGGGGAAGTGATGGCAACATTAGCCGCCGCCCCTCCAGGGACCTCTTGCCTTTGTACCATCCTTAATGTATTCCAATGAGTGACTCTGAACAAAGGCAGTAGCCTGGGAAATCCAGGCCTGTCTTGACCTTCGTTGCCCTGCAGCCCTCCCTGCATCATCGCTTGGCACCTGTCACATGGCCGGTCCTTCTGACAAGAGCGCCATGTGATGGCATTCTCCGTGGCGTATGTCAATCCAGCTGGCTGGGAAGGAAGTTGGGAGAGTGTCTCTGAAAAGAGCACAGCCTGAGGAAAAGACTCTAGGCTTGGCTTGTTGGGTGTGTGTGTGTGTGTGTGTGTGTGTGTGACAACTGCCACCTTCTAGCCCCCTCTCCCTCAGTCAACAGCTGGAAATGGATTGAGTTCTGCCATTGAGCAGACAAAAGGGTTTCTGCTCAAATTTGTGTCCAGTTTGTGGGAGTTAAGTCAGGGTTAAGAAACCGTCTGACTTGAAATTGCAACCTTGCCTTGGAGGATAGGCTGTTGATGGCTACCAACCACAGTAGCTGTTTTCTATCTCTGCTGTCAGAGGCGGTGTGACTCTGAATACCAGATGCTGAAAATCATAGGTGGAGAGAGTGCTGCTGCAATTGGGTCCTGTTTGCAGACTTCCCTCTGGTTGACCCCTGTGAGAACAGGATGCTAAGCTAGGCAGACCTCTGGCCTGGTCCAGCAAGCTTTTCTTATGACCAGAGTTTTAAGAAGAACATGGTTGGCACAACCCTCTTTTCATAGCCCTATTGTTGCTTGTTGTCAGGGAGGAAGTGCCTAGAATCAGTCTGTGGATGCAGGGCATTGACTCTAAGCTTGTAAATGTATAGGTGTATAGAAATCTGATGATTTCTGCTGTGGCAAAAGCATAGTTAGAAGAGGAAGTTATTAATTAGCCATTGTTTTATTTTAGTATTTTAAAATTTAATGACTGTTATTTCTGAAGACCGCCCCGGAAGGGTGGAAAAACACAATAAATAATTCAACCATTTCACTCAAGCATCTTAGTGAGCTATGTAAGTGAAGCTGACAGTATTTTGAACAGTGGGTTAAAATACCAGTATTTTTGCCTTATGTCTGTCTGCTGGGCATATTTTACATCTGTGCAATGCAGCAGGAGCAAGAATATTTCTGGCATGTGGGAAATAAGCATGACACTCGGTAACGTACATGTTGGCTATTGTTTTATAACATGTGGTGTTATAATAGGTCCTTGCCCTAAGTGGCATACAATCTAGAAAGCAACGCCAGAATAACAGCAGAGGAAGGAAAGGGGAGTAGAGGTAAATAGGGGAAAGAACATGTGAATATTGCAGTTGCAATACTGAATATGGTATTGAGGATTCAAGGATTGCATCAAGGGGGTTCGTGGGAAAATGTATTCATGTTTTGAATATCCTCCAACCCCAAGGCTCAAAGGTGGTTAACTGTAGACTGTAATGCAAACATAAAATGTCCTGTAAAAATGCTGCTGAAACAAACAAAGCAGCACAGATTGTAACCCTGCCCCAGTCTCTCTCTATCTCCCCAGCCCCTCAAAACTGAGCTGAAATAAAAGATCTGGCAAGGCTTCTGGCCTTGATGAGTCTCAAGGGGCGGACGAGAGGTTTCGTAGTTGGGGGTCATCTACTGAGTCAGGATGCCTCTAATCGAATGGACAAGATTTGTGCCTATCAACCAGACTTGAACCATCTGGGGTTTGCCTGCCATTCATTCATTCTCCTTTGTGTGAGGGCTGGGGGGAGCTGGGGCGGACTAGGTGGGGCTGTTCCAAGCTTGAGATTAAAACAGATTCTCACCAATGACTCAGCTGCTGAGTTTGAAATAAATCAAGTCAAAGTATTTATTTCATGGGTTCCTCCTGTTTGCTATTTGACTGCAGCTAAGAACTGTAGCAGGCTGCTTCCTCCCAGCCCCTGCCTCCAGTCTTTCGGAGATCAAGGCCTTTTCTTTCTGCTCTGTGAGATAACAAAAATTTACCCATCTCTCCTCCCCCCCCCTTTTTTTACAGCTATGAAGATTTCTATCTCTCCTGCTCACTCAGCCATGGTGGCAAAGAGCTCTGCAGCCCCTTGCAAACCCGAAAAGCACATGTGTACAAGTACCTCTTCCATCTCATCATCTGGGACCAGCAGTAAGGCACCTCCCCACCTGCCCTCCCCTGTCTGTGTTGAGAAGGGTATAAAGGAAAGGGTGGGAAAGCAGCTGGAGAAGGGCGATCTCATGTGTTTTTAATGCAAGCTGATAAAGGAGGTGGATGAGAATTAACTCTCCCCTGCTTGTAGCTACATAGCTTTGCAGGCAAAAAAGTCCCAGTTTTCAATCTACAGAGTGAAGAAGCTGTGTAGGGTGAAGGGGGTTCTTAATCTATTGCTACTTTTAATTTCTCTGCTCTACATCAGCCTACCCTACCTCACAAGGCTTCAAGCCCTATGGTAAAGGTAAAGGGACCCCTGACCATTAGGTCCAGTCGTGACTGACTCTGGGGTTGTGGCGCTCTTCTCGCTTTATTGGCTGAGGAAGCCGGCGTACAGCTTCCAGGTCCATGTGGCCAGTATGACTAAGCCGCTTCTGGCGAACCAGAGCAACGCACGGAAACACCGTTTACCTTCCCGCCGGAGCGGTACCTATTTATCTACTTGCACTTTGACATGCTTTCAAACTGCTAGGTTGGCAGGAGCAGGGACTGAGCAAAGGGAGCTCACCCCGTTGCGGGGATTTGAACCACCGACCTTCTGATTGGCAAGTCCTAGGCTCTGTGGTTTAACCCACAGCACCACCCACGTCCCTCAAGCCCTATGAGGAAGACATAATATGTGTGTGTGTTTGAATGGAGTGAGGTATGGCCCACAGGTCCCCCATCCCTGCTGTAAAGCAACACGTGTATTATAAATTAGTAATGTAAAACAGTGATCCCTAAAAAGCATGCAGCAGCTATCAGCAGTAAAGCAGGGCTACCACTCTGTGTGGTTGTGTATGTGTAGTTTGGCCTTCCCGTCTTACAGTGCTGGTTTTGCAAGGTGCATCTCCTGGCAAACGCCGTAATGTCTGAAGAGGAGAGATGCAGGTCCGTAAGGCAGCAAAGGGACAAGCGACAGGCACATGCCAGGGAACTAGGACTCCCTGTGGCTTTTGGCGCATGTCCACTGGGCCTCCTCTTCGATCTTCACTGGGGCTTCCTGGGGAGACAGATAGTGGGAAAGCAGCCAGCTCGTCTGCTGTGTAAAGCGTGACTCAGTCCCTCACTTCTTTTGTGACTCCACAGAATCGGCCCCGCATGCCTGGACAATTCCCTCCCACAGGCAGAGGTTTGAATCTGAGAACCTGGCAAAATAACTTCCGATGGGTGTAGGATTGCAGAGGAGTGGGAGCGGGTGTCATCTCCCAAGACCTCATTGCTATACACTGTGCAGTTGCTGAAGGGGAAGGGAACTTGATCCTAAAATAGCCTGGGCAGCAGGAAGGCTGCTGGCCACCCCCTCTCCACTGAGGTCCAGTAACATTTGATGTTTTTTCTAGGCCAGCAAGAGGAGATGGGGGTGGAGGTGGGAAATAGATAATTTTAGAAGTTGCCTGTCCTGCAGAAGGACGCACAGTGAAGCTACATGGAGAGTGTTGCCTCAGCTCCGCTCAGTGTGAGTGCTTTATTCAGTGGATAAGCCCCAGGATGGGAACAGCCTAAATGAGGAGCCTGCCATGTAGCAGTTTTCCTGCTGGCCCTCAGCTGCACAAAGGGCTTTCAGGCATGTGCAGCACCCTTGGACTGCCTCTGGGCGGGTATCAGGCCGCGCTGATCTGGCACACTCCCCAGCTTTGCTAACTCTACAGGATCGGCTCAGGGGACTGGCTGGTGGTCCTTCCTGTTAAGATGGCTGAATAGGAAGGGGAAACCCCCTTGGACAAGGTTAGTGCTCCTGTGCCTCCCCCAGCTCCTCCCAGGAAAGCTCCAGATGGAAATGGGCAATGCAGGGCGCTTGCACTCCCTCTTGCAACCGGAGACGTCCTTGCACAGCTTCCTCCGAAGCCGGCCTCACTGTATCTCCAAAGCCTGCTTTTTTAAAAACAAAAACCCCCACAGCACAACCCTGGAGCATATGAAATGTTTAATAAAGCATTTCTGAACACATGCAGTGTGTCATTTCCTCAGCATTTAGTAATGAGCATGTCAGTTATTTGCGGGGAAGCCTGTTGGAAAGAAGGTGTTTTCCTAATCTTTATACAGCACCGAGAAAACCTTAGGTTTTTTGTTAAGAGTAGTGGTAGTTGTGGATGATTAATGTATGACTTCCAAACATGCTTGAGCCCCAGTATCACTCATTCCAAGGGGGCAAGCCTGTGTGATTCACTAGCCAGATGCTTGGATTTTTTAATCTGGGTCACCTTGCTTCAACTCCTTCTTCAGCCATGGACTAGAGTAATCCTAATCAAGTTACTACCTGAAAAGCTAAAATAGTGATTTGTGAGGACAAATAAGGGGGCCTTCACTGTAAAGGTCCTGCCCTTTATGATGAGCTAGGACAACCTCCTTCAACCTGGTGTCTCTCTTCAAGGTGAGTCTGGTGGCAGTTATATTCCAAAATATCTGAAGGGCATCAGGTTGGGGAAGGCTGAACTAGAATATCAGGGTGCAGGAGTGTGAAGGAAGATAAGCACATTTGTTTCAAGGACTCTTGGGAAGCAGCTTTTAATCTCTGTGTACAGGCAGTGGCCTGAAGTTACGAATTTTAGGAATCTATAACAGATACCTGTTGACTCAGGTACCTACCCTTCGTCATAGATATACGTATCAGTATATTTAAGATGTGGCATCTCCTTCATTAGAGGCTTGGTGGCCACCTATTCAAGATGTGTAGGAGCTGATTTCCAGCATCAACAGTGGGTTGAAGTGGATCGCCCTTTCAACTTTATGATTCTATGCAATGTCTAGGGAGGAAAGTCTGCACCCTAACACTGAACATGTTTGTAGTGTCATGGTGTGTAGTTCTCGTCCAGTGGGATGCGGGTGGTGCTGTGGTCTACACCACTGAGCCTCTTGGTCTTGCCAATCAGAAGATTGGCGGTTCAAATCCCCGTGACAGGGTCAGCTCCCGTTGCTCTGTCCCAGCTCCTGCCAACCTAGCAGCTTGAAAGCATGCCAGTGCAAGTAGATAAATAGGTACCGCTCTGGCGGGAAGGTGAATGGCATTTCCGTGTGCTCTGGCTTCCATAACAGTGTGTGGACAAATGCCGACTCCCTCGACCTGAAAGTGAGATGAGTATCACACCCCATAGTCACCTTTGACTGGATTTAAACGTCCAGGGGTCCTTTACCTTTTACCTTTTAGTTCCTGTCCTTTCACTGAACTGCTGCTTCTCAATGATCCCTGATCACCACTTTGTAATTTTTCCGTCTGTATCTCTGATCTTCAAGAAGGGAGGTCCTCGGCTCTGCTTATCTTTCCCCTTTTCCCTTTGTTCCAATGAGAAGGACCAGCCTACTTCTTTCTCCTGCCAGGAGTGACTTGAGCCAGAAGCTTATGTGTCATGCAGTGCACTTTTTTTTAATTTCCATTGCTGCATAGCAGGGGTTCAGACGCTGAGCGTTAGAGCAGTGATAGTCTTTCAACATGACCTATTTCTCCTTTGGCTGCAGCTACAGTCTGAAGAGGAATAATAATATGAGCTTGGGTGGTGGTTGTGCTGTGTATGTCCTGGACGTGTATCCTACTTTCCTTCCTTTCTGCATTTTTGTGGGGAGAAATGAAATGCAGAAATACAACACATATAGGCTAAGCCACACAACTGGAGAAAAGTTAGAGATGGACGAGAAAAGAGCAGGAGGAGGATTTGTTACAGCCAAAGCCTGTAGGGCAAGTTGGGCAGTTTGAACAGGTCCTCTGCAAAGTGGTGGGTCCCCTCCTATGCCACTGGGTGCCCTGATGATTAAAAGGGGGCTTAGGGCACCAGTGGGCCCTTCTGAGGAACTGGGGTTTGCCCAACCAGATGAGGACCCCACATGCTGATATTCAGCCTCCTATAGGACATGGAATCATAGAATTGCAGAGTTTGAAGGGACCCTAAGGGTCATCTAGTCCAACACCCTGCAATGCAGGAATCTTTTGCCCAACGTGGGGCTCGAAGCCACGACCCTGAGATTAAGAGTCTCATGCTCTTCTGACTGAGCTATACTGCAGATTTAAAGCAGGCTTAATAGTAATTTCCTTTCTCCGGGCAATCCTGGGATTTTTCCGCACCCTCCCCAAACAATATCCCTTGAGATGCAGTTTGTTGGACATAACGTTCATTGAAATCCAGTTGTTTGGTGTCTTAAAACTGTGCTTCATTTTCCCCATGTTCCCACTCTTGACTGCCTCAGAGCTTTCAGGTGTTGCTTATCTTTGAAACCCAGACCGCGAAAATGAATATTGATGGCTGCACGCTAGGCCCGGTGCCCCTATAGCTGTAGGATTAAGGCAGTAGAAACAGGTTTCCTTGTGGAAAAGAGATAACAAAATGACACATTTACACAAGTCGCGCTCTCCGTGTATGTTTCATTTATGTACGGTATGTGTGAGTGTGCATGCACACACACATGGATCCAATTCTGAGCAGTGATTTATTGTGTTTGTCATACATTTGGATGCTTTGCATTTTTATTTTTATTTTTTGCAACTGGGCCTTGAATGCAAATGCAAGCGAGGGAAAGGAGGAAAGAAGCACAGGCTCAAAGCTGGCTGAAGTGCACAACCTTCCTACAGGGTGAAACAAGGTCTTATGTGGCCGAATCTTAGCAAGTGCTGGATTTATGCCAGGAAGACACTGATTCAGCCGCTGACGTTTGGCACTGTCTTTCAGTGTCTGCTCAGAACCAGTCAAATAGAAACCACCATCACTTACCTCACAGCAAATGGCATAATTCCACCGCCCCCTCCCTGAAGACTTTGCATACTAACCACGCAGCAGCACAGCCTTCTCCAGCCTGATGCCCTACAGATGTTTTGGGGCTGCAACTCCCAGTAGCCCCAGCAAGTACATGTGCAATACATCTGGAAGGTACCAAGTTGGTGGAGGCTGTGTAAGTGTAGTGTAAGTTGTTTTATGAGATAGTTGCTTCTTCAAGGAAAATGGATGTTAAGCTGTCGTTCTTGCTCATTGGCTTCTACTTCTTCCAGAATCTGCTTCCCGGTTCAAGTGAATCGCCTCCCGCGAGAGACTCTCCTGACAGCCACGCTCTATGCCATTCCAATCCCGCCTCCCGGGAGTTCTTCCGAGACCAACAAGCAGCGCCGTGTCCCAGAGGTTTTGGGCTGGGTCACCACACCGCTCTTCAACTTCCGGCAGTACGTGTGGCTGCTTCTGTGTTGGAGAGAATAAGCAGTGTAGCTTTCCGTGACATCTGTTTGGGATGAATTCCAAAGGGGCAGGCCGTGTCAGCCTGTTAGATCAAATGCAAAAGAAGTGTCTTTTGTCAGCTAGAGGCCACTTCATCAGTTGCATGAAGCGTTGTCCTCAGCTGACAAGGGACATATGCACACATGTCCAGTGGTGCAAGTGGGGGAAATGGCACATGGTGAGGCCAAAATGGCGCAAAAGTCCCCGAACTGCAACAGGCACAGTCTGGCATTACTGAGCAAGGCATGAGATGATCACAGTGGTCATCTAACAACAGCAGTAGCTTCCTAGTCAGTCTTCCTAGTCAGTTTCTGTTCTCTTCCAATTGCACATGTGTAGGCGTAGTGGGAGAGGAAACCCTGGCCTTGATTAAGTCTTCAGTAAATAGAATCAGATTTGCAGACCATAAGTGACCCAGGGGATTGAATAGAGTTGTGGGCTATTACATGTTTGGTGCTTAAGGTCACTCTTCTCCTAATAGCCCCTTTTAAGAAAAAGGCAACTGCTCAGGAAAGCAGGCCAGCAAAAGGGTCTTGAGTGATCATGTGAGCAGGATCATATGGTGGCTAGAGAGAGAGAGAGAAATTCAGGAGCTGACCCTCCCTAATTTGTAGAGAGAGGTCCTAAGAGGAGAAATTCAGGGTTCGTCAGTCCAGCCGTCCTGTTCCAGACAGTGGTAACATTGCTAAGGAATGAAGTGTGGTAACAGTAAACAACCTCAGTGTTCTGTGGGGTGATTTGCTTTGATAATTGGTTTTTTGTTGGCACTGCTTTTGCTAACTGGGTCTTCTTAACTACTACTAGAGCCTGAATCCGGTGCTAATGTCTGTTTTCTTCTGCATGTGCATCCGTGCAGGGTCCTGACCTGTGGACGGAAGCTCCTGGGTTTGTGGCCAGCGACTCAAGACCCGTCTAGTGCCAGGTCAAGTGCTCCCAACTTCAACCAGCCTGACAGTGTTATTCTGCAGGTGAGTCTCTTCCTTGGGCTCTGTCACCACACACAGACAACCCTAATGTACTTTGTTTGTGGCTCTTATTGTTTGCCTCTTGAGATTGGGGATCCAGCACTAGTCTCTGAAAGGTTTAGCCTAAGCTCTTATTCCACTATGTGATGAACTTAGTATCAGGATAGGGCTGTATTGATTTATGCATCTATCCAAGCAATGGCAAAATAACTGGGGCTAGGATTAGTCCCAATTAGTATTAGTCCCAATCCACTGAGAGTGGCACAATATCAAGAGTGGCACATAAAAGATTGAGAAGGGGAATAGACTCAGTACATAGGGGTAGGAGTAGTGCCAGGAATCTCACTGTTTTTTGAAGAGGGGGAGACAGGCACTCCACTATTGGAAAAGGGGGATGCTTAGTTGTTTTTAAGGTGATGGCATTGCAGGAGATTGCTATGGGGAGTCAGTAGCCTTGCTGGTATAAGTTTTTAATGTTTGATATTTTATTGTGATTTTAATATTCTGTTGGGAGCCACCCAGAGTGGCTGGGGAAACCCAGCCAGATGGGTGGGGTATTATTTTTTATTATTATTATTATTATTATTTATTAATTCTCTGTTGAAGGGAGGGTTCATGTACTGAAGCACTACAGCAATGGCAACTCAGCCTTATATATTTAAAACAACATATAATCCTTTGAAAACATTCATAAAACGGTACAAACATGAAGGAAGAAGGCACATCTTATTAGCTGTGGTGTAATGGCCACTTCAAGTCACAGTTGTTAGTTGCTGCTAGGGGGATAAATGACACTTTCTCACTAGCCAAGGCTAGTTGGTGGTGGAATAAATGGCATTTTCCTAACAGCTACTGTGAATGACATTGGATTCCTTGCTACAACTACTTATTTGTTGCATATTCATTCATTGTACAAATATTTGAAATAAATTATAAACAGAGCACTTCTGTGATAAGACAATTTTCTGAAAAGGCTTGGATTCCAGCTTTTGGTTGATCTGGTAAAAATTGGGCTAGGGAGAACCTTTCTCCGAATAAGCCTAGTGCTTAGATGTATGAGATTGTCTTCTAGTAAATTCTAACCCAAAAATGATTATGCCAGTCTTTAAGGTGCTACAGGACTTTTTGTTGTAAAGGGAAAAGTGACTGAAAGGTGACTTGTGGAGGCCTGATTTTGCATAGGCTGTAGTCCTAGCAATGTCTACTCAGAAGTAAGTTCAATTGAATTCAGTGGGGCTTAAGGTTGCAACCTGATACTGTCATTTTGGGAAACTCTGTCTCTCTGGGCCTTGGCACCCTGAAAATCCTTGTGCTAAGTTGCAGTAGATTTGTGACCCAAAGCACTTGCCTAGTCCCAACACAAGCGTAGCATTCTCTATTTTTCTTCCTTTCTTGGATTCATCTATTATATCTGTCTCTCCTCCGGCTCCAATGTTTCTCCCCACCCCCCTTTTGCTCATTTCGGTCTTCTTTTCCCCTCCCCTCCCCTGCACTTGCTAATATCCTTTTGGCTTTAAAGCTAGATGGCTGGACCCCAAGCCTGCTGCTTAGGGTGTGGACAGAAGGAATGGAGGGAGAGGCCGGTGCCGATGAAGTGGAGATTTGGCAGTGGGAGGGGGTGGGGAGCTGGATCCAGCTGGGCTGGGTCTGGAGAGGTTCTTCCCTGGGTCATATTGTGTGCACTATCCTCCTTCCCTGCTGATTTTAAGCGAGCAGAAGGATTATTACTAAGCATCCAAACCAGGCCCTGCTGGAGCTTCAATTACTTCCCTTCCCTAGCCTCCCTTCCCTTCTGTTGCAGTTCTCCGACCTGCTTGTACGGGACTGATTTCTTTGGCACGCAACCAAACGACTGGTTTTTCTTTTCCAAAGCCACTTACAAACCCATCGAGTTTTGTTTATTTATTCATTTTAAACTCAAGCTGTTGCCGGTAATCCCCTAAATGCTGCTGCTGCTGCTGCTGCTGCTGCAAAGGACCTGCATTTGAGTAAATGACGCACATTGCCAGTGGCGCCATTGCATCCCATCTCATCGGGGCTTTTCCAGTCCAAAGCTGGGTGTGGTTGCGACTTTCTGAGGCTCAAGAAAGACTGAGCTCATTTTCCATCTTTCCTTTTGAAAGATTTCAAGGAAATGTCCTGTTAAACTCATCCATGGCTCCAAACCTTGATACACTATAGGCTTATATAGGGCTTCCCCAAGCATTTGGAGGTCAGCAAATAGCTGCCACTCTAAAGCATGGACAGTGAGTATTTAATTCAAGAAGGGGTCGGACTGCAACTCCCATCCTCCCTGGCTATGCTGGCTGGGCCTGATGGGAGTTGCAGTCCTGTACTACATGGAGAGTACAGGCTCCTCACTTCCAGTCTAATGCCTGTGCTGTCTGCCTAAAAGAAGCCAAGGATAGTGCATGCCTTGTGGTGGCTGTTGGTGTCTCATGGCATCCAAAAGAAGGAAGGTCAAACAAAAGGACCAGCTCTGTGCATTTGGGTGTTTAATTCAGAGCCAAATCTGATCATTCCACCCAGAGTCCAGATTGGTCTGGGCACACCAGTATTCAGCTGATTTTGGAAGTTTCTGGATGGTGTGGTGAGTCACAACCTGAGCACATGGTGTTTGGTGGAACAGCCAGATGATTCATTATTTGCCACTTCCCCAGTGACCTAGATGTGGCCAGGCTAAAGGGGTGTGTTATTTGGCCTTAAACCCCGGTCAGTTCCACTTCCTGATCTGCTCTTTGGCCTTCTTGCCCAGAAAGTATCCCCATGAAGCTTAGTTTCACAGCACCCTTGCAGCTTTTCTACCATACACATTCGGACCTCTTTGTTGCAAGAACAGTGTTTAGAGTTACGAGGAAAACCTGCTAAAGCATCCAAACGGAAAGGAAAGCATGTGGGAATTGAAACAGCCAACAGGGTGGTCTGGAATTCAATATGGGCAGCAGCTGCCCAAGTGGCAATGCATATCAAGTAGTGCCCCAGAAGAAAAGGGCTCCAGTATTCAGTAGGTGGCAAGGTACGGTCAGTTGTACGGTGTACCCTGTGACTTGGGGGAATGTGCAGGTCTGCATACACATTACACCCTGCAAAAGGGTGAATGCATGGCCCCCCCACAGTAGTTCTGAATGGTGTGGGCAGAAAAATGGAAAGAGAAGACATACTGCTTTCATTACAATAAAATGTCTTCATAATTTCTTGGCTGGTTGGTAGGTCTGTCCATTCCACAGATGTGTGTATGGGATGGAGCTGGGACTGCAGTGTGACTCATTATTGTGTCTGCTTTACCTACTTCTGTGCAATGTGTCATATTCTGTGTGATGAATAATAGGATGCTCAGGTGCAGGACTCCTTTTCAGGCTACTTCCATGTGCTGATAGTGGGATAAGGCATCCCCGGTATCAATCTGCCCTTTCAGGGTGGCAGTAAGTACCGTATTTTTTGCACCATAGGACGCAGTTTTTCCATCTTAAAAACTAAGGGGAAAAGTCTGTGCGTCCTATGGAGCAAATGCAGGGGGGGAGGCAGTCAGGAAAAGCCCCCAAGAGCCACACACAAGCTTTGTGCGGCTCTTGCGGGCTTTTCCCCAGGAGGGAGAAGGAACTGACGCGGTCAGTCAGTCCCTTCTCCCTCCTCTAGAAAAGCCTTGCGCAATCTCTTCAGCCGCGGGGAGCCTGCGCAAGGCTAAAGAGGAAGCCCGGGCAGCGAGCGCAATCCATCCCGCTTGCTGCCCGGGCTTCCTCCTTAGCCTTGCGCGCCTCTCCAGCCGCGGGAGGCTGAGCAAGGCTAAAGAGGAAGCCTGGGCAGCGAGCGCGATCCATCCCCTCGCTGCCCAGGCTTCCTCCTTAGCCTTGCGCGCCTCTCCAGCCTCTTCCTCCTTAGCCTTTCACCTCTCCAGTTGCGGGAGGCTGCGCAAGGCTAAAGAAGCCAACTTTTAAAAAATCTCTCTATCTCTACCTCTTTTTCTTTTTTCGTCCTTTCTCCACCCCCTTCTTTTCCTCTGGATCAGTGTTTTTGTCTAGATTAACGTTTTAGTTTTGGGGGGGGGATATTATAAAAAAGGAAACTTTGCAGCTTTTATTTTAGTATACAATAAAAACAGATTAAACAAAACACAAAAGAAGGAAATTGCACAGAAGAAGAAGAGAAAAGGGAAAGCCATTTACCAGAGGTAGATCTTAACCCTTGCCTCACCTGGGAGCTTCTCTGGGCAGGAATTCCCTCGGCTTAAGTGGGGTGGGGGGAGAGTGGCAGGTAGGGGGGTATCTACCTAGACACTGAAGCCACATGTCTCTCCAATGAAAATTGGGAGTGGGCATTGTGTGAAGTGGCTGTGGATCTCCTGCCGCAGACGTAGGACTGTATAGAGTTGGGAGGGCCACCCGAGGGTCATCTAGCCCAGCCCCCTCACAATGTAGGAATTACAGCTAAAGAACGCCAGGCAGATGGTCCCCCAACTGCTGCTTAAAAGCCTCTTGTGGTGGAGACCCCCAACACCTTCCAAGGTCATAGAATTGCAGGGTTGGGAGGGAACCCCAGGAGTCATCTAGTCCAACCCCGGTGGACAGCGGGCACGATTCATCCCGTTGCGCAAGGCTAAAGATGCTGCTTAAGGCTAAAGAGGAAGCCAAGGCAGTGAGCGGGATGGATCGCGCTCGCTGCCTTGTCTTCTTCTTTAGCTGCGCTGGAGAGGTTTAGCTCCTGGCTGGAGAGGTTGAGCGGCTATGGATCCCGCTCGCTGTCTTGGCTTCTTTGCTCTTTGGGGCTGGAGGGGATAATATTTTTTCCCTTGATTTCCCCCTCTAAAAACTAGGTGCGTCCTGTGGCCCGGTGCGTCCAATAGAGCGAAAAATACGGTATGCGCTTAAAAGGTCGTTCTTGTCTCCCTACCTTTCGCAGATTGACTTCCCCAGTTCAGCATTTGAAGTCAAGTTTACCAGTCCACCGGCAGCCGATTTCAGTCCCCAGTACAACTTCAACAGCCTCTTTGAGGGAGACCAGCGGAAGCTGAAGGAGGTGATGCAGAAGGAATCGCTTTATTGGTGAGAGGATGAAGAGTGTGCCTGGGCGCATTGTTGTATCAGGGGAGAGATTCTTGGTCACTGACACTTTTTGATGGCCCTGAGTTGAACATCTCGGAGGGGTAATAGGCAGGGGTCCCTCCAGATATTTGCTGGACTATGATTCCCATCATCCCTGACCATTGGCCATGCTGGCTGGGGCTGATGGGAGTTGGAGTCCAACAACATCTAGAGGGCCAAAGCTCTTCCCCATCCTTGGTTTAAGGGGTGAAATGGTTCCTACCAGGCTGGTCCCCTCTGCTTCTACTCCCCCCCCCCCATTTAATATAATCGCTTTTGCTGCCACATAGATTATGTGCCCTCCCTCTTTCTGTGGGATCTGCCTCGCATGTTGTCTAGGCTTCTTATCTCCAGCGCTTGCCCCTCTCTCTTTCCATCACTTTCTGAGGCGAGCGCTCAAAGTACTTTGTACATAGTCTGCTCTGTAATCATGCCCAGGCATCCAGTCTTCATCCAAACTTGTTCAGCATATGTTTCTCTGCTAGCAATGTACTTTCATGACTACTGACCGCCCTGCTGGGTACTCAGACTATCATCTAAATAAATCTGTTTCCTCCACAAATAGTCTCCAAGTGGCAGAGGTGGTTTCGATCTAAACACAAATGAGAATAGAAGGGAATCTAACACTAATAGGCAATCATCTCAGAGTCTTCCTTGTTCCTATTAAACTTGATGAAAAGATTGTGGAGAAAGGTCTACGGATTAATGTTCAAGGAAATACTGTAGATAAGGAAGGATTTCAAATACTTCCATTATAGCCTTGAACAAGTTATTTGGTTTTTCAAGTTTATAATCTGCTCAATGAGGGGCAGCCTGCCCCCACAGTTTATTCCATTTTTTAAAAGTTTTGTTTAATTGACCCTGAAAATGGCCCCATGAGACATTTTACCACACTATAAAATGTACAGTTAAAAACCAGGTAGCATTGAAACACAAGTAGAAAACAGCTATATGGAGCAAACAGCACGCAGACCTAGTGGTGGGAGGAAAAAATCCTTAAATAAGAGACACGGGGGAATGATTAATGGACTTCAATGTCTGTACACTAATGCGCAAAGCATGGGAAATAAACAAGATGAGCTTGAGCTCTTGGTACAGCAAACTAAATATGACATAATAGGCATCACTGAAACCTAGTGGGATAAGTCCCACGATTGGAATGTAATAATGGAGGGATACAATCTATTTCAGAGAAACAGACCAGACAAGAAAGGAGGAGGAGTGGCGTTATATGTCAGGGATGTGTATACCTGTGAAGAGATCCAAGATTTAGAACCTCAAAGCCAAAGTGAGAGCATTTGGGTCAAAATTAAGGGAGAGAAGAATAACAGTGACCTCATTGTGGGAGTTTACTATAGATCCCCAAGCCAAACGGAGGACATAGATGATGCCTTCCTGGAACAGATGGCCAAGCATGCAAAAGGAAGGGAGATAGTAGTAATGGGGGACTTCAATTACCCGGATATTTGTTGGATGTCAAACTCAGCCAAGAGCATAAGGTCAAACAGATTCCTCACTGGCCTTGCAGTGAGAAGCAACAAGAGGAACAGCCATTTTAGATCTGGTCCTAACCAATGTTGATGACCTGGTTAGTGGGGTAGAAGTGGAAGGATCATTAGGCGCGAGTGATCATGCTCTTCTGAAGTTTACTATACAGCGGAAAGGAGCAGCCAAGCATACTAGGACTCAGTTTCTTGACTTTAAGAAAGCCGACTTCATAAAACTTAGGGAAGTGCTGGGTGAGATCCCATGGACAGTAATACTAAAAGGAAAGGGAGTTCATGATGGCTGGGAGTTTGTTAAGAGGGAGATACTAAAAGCACAACTTCAGGCAATACCAATGAGACGGAAACATGGAAGGTGCCTAAAGAAGCCAGGGTGGCTATCTAAAGAACTTTTAAATGAGTTAGGATTAAAAAAGGATATGTACAAAAAATGGAAAAGGGGGGAAACCACCAAAGAGGAATTCAAACAAATAGCCAGCACCTGTAGACACAAAGTCAGAAAAGCTAAAGCACAGAATGAACTCAGGCTTGCTAGAGAGGTTAAAAGCAACAAAAAGGCTTTTATGGGTATGTTCGTAGCAAAAGGAAGAACAAAGAAACAGTGGGGTCACTCAGAGGAGAAGATGGAGAAATGCAAACAGGGGACACAGAAAGGGCTGAACTCCTCAATGCCTTCTTTGCCTCAGTCTTCTCCGATAAAGAAAACAATGCCCAACCTGAAGAATTTGGAGCAAATGATTCAGCAAAGGAAACACAGCCCAGAATAACTAAGGAGATAGTACAAGAATACTTGGCTAGTTTAGATGTATTCAAGTCTCCAGGGCCAGATGAACTGCATCCAAGAGTATTAAAAGAACTGGCAGATGTGATCTCAGAACCACTGGCAGTCATCTTTGAGAATTCCTGGAGAACAGGCGAAGTCCCGGCAGACTGGAGGAGGGCAAATGTTGTCCCTATTTTCAAAAAGGGGAAAGAGAGGACCCAAATAATTACCGCCCAGTCAGTCTGACATCAATACCAGGGAAGATTCTGGAGCAGATCATTAAGCAAACAGTCTGTGAGCACCTAGAAAGGAATGCTGTGATCACCAATAGTCAGCATGGATTTCTGAAAAATAAGTCATGTCAGACTAACCTGATCTCGTTTTTGACAGAATTACAAGCCTGGTAGATGAAGGGAACGCAGTGGATGTAGCCTACCTTGATTTCAGCAAGGCATTTGACAAGGTGCCCCATGATATTATTGTAAAGAAGCTGGTAAAATGCGGTCTTGACTATGCTACCACTCAGTGGATTTATAATTGGCTGACTGACCGAACCCAAAGGGTGCTCATCAATGGTTCCTCTTCATCCTGGAGAAGAGTGACTAGTGGGGTGCCACAGGGTTCTGTCTTGGGCCCGGTCTTATTCAACATCTTTATCAACGACTTGGATGATGGACTCAAGGGCATCCTGATCAAATTTGCAGATGACACCAAACTGGGAGGGGTGGCTAACACCCCAGAGGACAGGATCACACTTCAAAACGACCTTGACAGATTAGAGAACAGGGCAAAAACAAACAAGATGAATTTTAACAGGGAGAAATGTAAAGTATTGCACTTGGGCAAAAAAAAAATGAGAGGCACAAATACAAGATGGGTGACACCTGGCTTGAGAGCAGTACATGTGAAAAGGATCTAGGAGTCTTGGTTGACCACAAACTTGACATGAGCCAACAGTGTGATGCGGCAGCTAAAAAAGCCAATGCAATTCTGGGCTGCATCAATAGGAGTATAGTATCTAGATCAAGGGAAGTAATAGTGCCACTGTATTCTGCTCTGGTCAGACCTCACCTGGAGTACTGTGTCCAGTTCTGGGTACCACAGTTCAAGAAGGACACTGACAAACTGGAACGTGGTCAAAGGCCTGCAAACGATGCCTTATGAGGAACGGCTAAGGGAGCTGGGCATGTTTAGCCTGGAGAAGAGGAGGTTAAGGGGTGATATGATAGCCATGTTCAAATATATAAAAGGAGGGGAGGGAGAGGAGGGAGAAAGGTTGTTTTCTGCTGTTCCAGAGAAGCGGACACGGAGCAATGGATCCAAACTACAAGAAAGAAGATTCCACCTAAACATTAGGAAGAACTTCCTGACAGTAAGAGCTGTTCGACAGTGGAATTTGCTGCCAAGGAGTGTGGTGGAGTCTCCTTCTTTGGAGGTCTTTAAGCAGAGGCTTGACAACCATATGTCAGGAGTGCTCTGATGGTGTTTCCTGCTTGGCAGGGGGTTGGACTCGATGGCCCTTGTGGTCTCTTCCAACTCTATGATTCTATGATTCTATAAAATTGGAGGCTGGATCCACAGTAATGCTGTTCTCATCCTGGGAATCTCCATGGTTAAAACCTTAGGTGACTTGGAATATGAGTGGCAAAACTCAAATGCCACAAGAGCCAGTAAGGACTGCTGTCAGACTGTACCTACTTGATATGTTATTAACAACATTAACACTGATTGCTTCCATAATTGATCCCTTTAGTGTTTCTTTCCTGTAATTAGCCTGAAGTAGAATTAAAGCAGAGATTCCATACAAGCACTTAATAAACTAGCACTATATAATCTAGCAATGCTGTTCTGTTTGGCCCAGATTCTCCTATAATGGGCTGAGCCTGCATGCAGGGAGTTCTTAATTAAAGGCAAATGGGCTTTAAGAGCCTCAATAGCACTTCGTCCACCCAGGACAGGCTGCTATGGTAATTGCATTTAAATTAGCCAAAATAGTCATAGGTCAGGTTTGCAAAACACTGAGGGACACTGAAATGCGCAGATGGACAATGACATTGTCAGGTCGTGCCATAAAAAGTGAACCAAGGAGGGCAATTTCAGAAAGAAAGTCTTAATATGAAAGCAGGCGCTGCTCTTAATTCTTAAAGTACAGTGGTACCTTGGTTGTCGAACTTAATCCATTCTGGGAGCCAAAACATCCGAGTACCAAGGCGTTCGACATTAAAATAGGGGGAAGTTTTGATTTTCACCTTCTACCCGGTGCCTTCACTGGCATCATTTGGGTGCCAGGTAAAGACCTACCTCTTTTCCCAGGCCTTTGATGGAGTTAATTGATTTTGTTGTTGGTGTGCGTCTAACGCTTGCTGTTGGAGTGGGAGGGCTGTTTTCTGAATGAGAAATTGTTCATGTTTATATGATTCTTCTTTAAGTATGGTATAGTATATATGAGTGTAAATCTTAAGTACTTGATTAATTTATATACCACTTGGATGCAAAAGTGGCCAATATATTGTAACTTGCTTGGATAACTTTTTGGGTAACGAGCAGCTAATAAGCTCAGATAGAGCTGTAGTGTTTTTCTTTGAAGGTTTTTCTTCTGGGTGGTTGGGGTCATCGCCTTCAATTTATTGGCTACCTCCAATCCTGCTCTTTGTCTTGAACATATTAGTATATAAATAGGTCCAATGTCAGGCTGCCCTCACCCTTTCCCCTCCTTTGGCTGAAAGCAAGAAAGCTTTCTGCAGCATTTTCTCGGTGCTTGGTAGGGGCAGACCATCCCTTCCTGGCATTGTACAGTAGGTTGTGCCACTTCCCTTCCTGTCTGCTCTGGGTCACAGCTGCGGTGGGAAGTTCTCATGTGCTTTTCACTCTCCTTCATTTTTGTTCTGGCCTGAGTGAGTGAATGTATTTCCTGGAGGTGGCTTAAGGAAACCTGTGGGAATGGAGCTAGCCCTATTATGCGAGTGCCTTGGCCATATTGCTTTGCCAGCATCCGGACACTCAGCCCCTCCCTGTTATTCCTCTAGCACTGCGGCTGGGCTGATCTTGATGGCCCTGGATCCTAGCTTTGGCCTCTCACAAAACCAACCCTGGTCTCCCTCCAATTCTTCTGTGTGATTCAGTTTTCCTCTCACTGCCTTGCCAAGACAGCTCAGAGGCACTGTCAGTCCCTGGGAAATGGCTTTCAATGCAAAAGCTCAACACTGGAACACACCAAGTCATTAGTAACTGGCGCAATGGCTGCTCACCACTAAGCAGCTACTCCAACAGATTTGGGATTGGGCATGTGGCTTCCAGGCCCCTTGTTTTACTCTACTCTTGTCTCTCCAAGCTATTCTATTTTCTTTGGCCTTCTGTTCTTTCCCCCCTCCTCCCTATACTGCAACTTCTCCCTGTTCTATTCCAGTTCAGGACACCTCCAGTTGCTCCTCAAATCTTGGCCTTTTACCTTCCCTGAACACAGGCCTCCAAATCTCTCTCCTCTCCACCACTTACCCTTTTGCAGTCCTGAACTGCATGTATGAGTCCTGCTCAGTCCCCACCCCCCGCCTCTCTTTAAGACTGACTGCCTTAAAAGATCTCTTTCATACCCCTCACTTTTGACCTTTTCCCCCTGAGCTGCCCCCATGAGCTGCATTGACCTTCAACATGGAAATACCCCTGAGGCACCGAACAAAATCAGTGCTAGCTAATTTTCTAGCTGGAGCCTGAGCCACAGAGGGGCAAGCATCATTTCCAGGGTTTAGCCGTAGAATCATAGAACTCTACAGTTGGAGGGAATCACAGCTAAAGAATCCCTGACATGCGGCCACCCAACTTCTGTTTCAAAACCTCCAATGAAGTAGAATCCACCATCTTTGGTAGTAGACCATTCCACTGTCAAAACAGCTCTCACCATCAGAAAGTTCTTCCTAAAGTTTTATCATAATCTTCTTCCTTGTAAGTTGAATCCATTAGTTCAAGTCCTACTCTCCAAAGCAGAAAACAAGCTTGCTTCACCATCCATGTGACAGCCCTTCAGATATTTGAAGATGGCTGCTGTATCAACTCTCAGTCTTCTCTTCTCCAGGCTAAGCATACCCAGCTTCCTCAGCCATTCCTCATAATGCTTGCTTTCCAGACCCTTTATCATCCTGGTCACCCTCCTCTGCACACATTCCTGTCCATAATCCCTGTTTTCAGTGTAGGGCTTCACTTTGAAACGTGTAAAGAAATAGTGTCTCATCATTGTCTATTATTAGCTCATTGCCAATCATCTGTGGTTGGCCAGGGTTGGTTGGTAGGCAGAACATCTGGATCAGAGAATGTGCTTTCTGAGTCTCATTACCTCATTTTCTCGAAATTAAGCACTACTAAGTTCATTCTTTCCTTTAGTCATTGCCAGACTGTTGTGCTATCAAGTCTAGGTTGTTTTTTTTAAGATAGCATCAGGAATTTTCAGGAATTTTTAACCCCCTCCTCCCTAAAATTCAGCTTCATGTTGAATCATCAGTGCTTTGGTGGGGAGAAAGGATGCAGGTGGAACCTCAAGCAAGAGCAGAGGTATTTCACTGCGTCTGGATGACACAGTGCTCCTCTTCCTGAGGGCTTTTGCGTTCATCACGGGCCGCAACTTCCTTTCCTCCTTTAGCTCTTGCGGCAGGAGAACCTTTGACCCCATTAGACTGGGGATGGAATTGCTTCAAGTCACCCCATTAGCCACCTGATCCCATCTTCCCCATGGAGAGAGAAATGGATTGACTGGTAATTGAAGCATGCAGCCTTGCTCTGTTTGAGATGAAGCAGTGTGTGGTTCTCTTTCTGCGGTTTTGCTGCTCTCTGGTGGAGTCCCAAAGCAACATCAGTTTGGTGGTGGTGAGGAGACACAGAACAGTCAAGGTTCAGTCTGTGTTCCTGTGAACAAACAGTATATGATCAAATGGCACGAGGCTCTTCTCTGGCAGTCCTACACGAGAATGGGCTGTTCTCTCCCTCTCTCATGCAAACAAACTGCACAGAAATATATTTCCAATGGCCTCCCCATTCTTTTTGTGCCTTTATTCTGCGTCAAATGTGCATAAGGTTCCCTTAAAAGCACAAGTGCCTTTCTAGATCAGGTCAAAGAAAGGCTCATAGTGTCTGTTCCAGCATCGGGTTTCCAGAATCAGCCAGTTTGGGTGCTTCTGGAAATTTTGCAAGTGCCATAACTAATAGCCCTTGTGTCCCCAGACTGATCTTAAGAATTCTCTTGTCCCAGGCTAACAGATGCCGACCGGAAGCGGCTGTGGGAGAAGCGTTATTACTGCCACTCTCAGCCGGGCTCCCTCCCTCTGCTGCTGGCCAGCGCCCCAAGCTGGGAGTGGGCCTGCTTGCCTGACATCTATGCCCTGCTGAAGCAATGGACTCACATGAATCACCAAGATGCTCTTGGGCTGCTGCATGCAGCGTAAGTCCTCTTCCTAGTCTGGGGGTTTTTTATTGTATTTTGTGAAGGTGGTTTTATGCATTTGGGGGAGGTTCGTTTTATTGTCCATGTGTCTTATTGTTGTCTGTTGCTTTTGAAGGTTCTTTTTGGGTAGAGAAAGAGGGGAACTGTTAAGTTTTATGCATAATGAAAGGTGGCTATCAACATGGAGGTGGAGTCGTCCCCTAGTGAAAATCTCCTGATATGTCGCTGCAGGTTCCCAGATCAGGAGGTGAGGAGGACAGCTGTGCAGTGGATTGATTCCATATCTGATGCTGAGCTACTGGATTATTTGCCCCAGCTGGTACAGGTAAGTCACATGTGCTGACCAGGCGAGCAGCCATAGCATTGTCATGTTACCTGAAAAATATTTGCATTCCATTTGCGAGCACACATGCCAGTAGCTTGTGTGCTTAGACAACATTGTATCTCGGGAGGCAGCTGCCGTGGCAGAGGGCTTAGTTCTTTGGAAGCTCAGAACCTGAGCAGCAAAACCCTAAAGCAGTTTTTCTCCAAATGGTTGGAGTTTCAGAAGCCTTTGTAAAATGGCCAGTTTATGATACCCTAAGGATAGGTTGCTAGGCTTCACTTCACCTGTACTAAAGATAGTGGAGCATTCAGAATTAAAGCAGGATGATACTGAGGAAGAACTCTTAAAGGGCAAATCCTTCCAGCAGGATTTCTGACTGCTGTCATAAGTCACGTTCTTCAGTTCGTTCTCTTGTATTCTACAGTTAATTAGAAATAGTTTTTGTTCTCACAATGAGCAGCGTTTAGATTTGTCTTAGGAGGACTGTTTCAAAATCTTAACATTTTGCCTTGATGAATTCCTACTAAAAAACAAAACAAAACTCCAGTGTAATAATTATGTTTCTCGTCTTTGCTGCCTGCAATGTAGAGAAATATTTTTTTTCTGTCTTTTGGTGAATGCTTGTACTGAGATTGTCAAGGTTTGCCTATATTTTCTAGGCTAATTTACCTCAGGTATTCTCACAATTGCAGTGCTGAGCGGAACTATCACTACTATTCTTGTTTTTGTTTCTTTTTAAGGCAGGGGCAACATTTTACTCTTCTACCATACTTTAAACGTCCCAATTTGTGTTCTCATAAAAATGGTTCCGTTTTCAACACCCTGTGTGAGAAAACAAACAAACAAACAAACAAATAAGTCTCACAATGTAAGAGGTAACATAGTAATAGTACTACATTAATTGATTTTTGGATGATTTCTCGGGTGCTTTCCAAGCTGTAGAGCCAAAAGGAAAAAAGCACATGTTTTTCCTCAAACAGGATACACAAAAGGGATGGTGGTGGAAGCTGTTTCTCCACCCTGGGACAGGGCCTTTTCTGTGGTAGTGCATTGGTAGGGGGTCCTCCTTCCTACAGAACAAAAGGCCAACAAAATTCTGAAATCTTTACTTTTTTTATGACTCACGTGCATCCTGATTGAGTCTCCCTTAGTTGTATACCAGCTTGCGAGAGCTATGCTCCCAAAGGCAGACTATTAAAGAATAACCAATCTTTTCTTTTCTCTCCCAGGCTCTGAAATATGAATGCTACCTGGACAGTCCCTTGGTGCGGTTTCTTATGAAGCGAGCCGTCTGTGACCTGAGGATAACTCACTATTTTTTCTGGTAATGTTGGTGGATGTGCTGTTGGCATAGTGAATGATTTAGAAACAAGGGTGTGTGTGTGTTTTAAAAAAGAAAAAGAGAGAATCTGAAGAAGTTATGATCATCAAGTTTGAATCTTTCTAGCAGATGCTAGAAAATGTTCAGAACATTATGCTTCCATTCACTGTTACCAGCCTTTGAATAAATGATTTCTTTCCTAAGAATTGCTTAGCATTACACCCATAAATACCTTTGTTCAGAACTGGATTTCTATGCTTTCATTTCTCTCTCTCTCTCTCTCTCTCTCTCTCTCTCTCTCTTTCTTTCTATTAAATCAAGCCCTTTTTAAAATTAAATCAAGTTTCTAGTCCTCATGAGGAGCAGTTTCAGGAGTCCGAGAACCTTAGCCCCCTCTGTTTTATGTTGCATTATTCTGGCTATCTTTAACTTATATTTTCAATTTTTGTAGATCAGGGGGGGATCCCCCTTTTTAAAAAACAAGAAATTTGGTTTTAATCAGGAAAACTTGGTCTGTCTCCTAAGTTGACTTGGTCTGTCTAGGAGACAGGAAAAAGACTTTGCTTAGCTGTGCTTGTGTTGGTGTGGATGGATGGGCCCTTCACATGAACCCCACTGCTTCTGGTGACAGTGTCTCCATGTCTCTAGGCTGTTGAAAGATGGTCTTAAGGATTCTCAATTCAGCATCCGCTACCAGTATCTGTTGGCAGCTCTGCTGTGCTGCTGTGGCAAGGGCCTGAGAGAGGAGTTTGACCGCCAGTGCTGGCTGGTGAACACCCTGGCTAAGCTGGCTCAGCAGGTTCGTGAAGCTGCTCCTTCATCGCGACAGGTATGTGTGCTTGCAAGCACCTCATGTCTCCCATGAATGTGTGATGGGGAAGTAAGAATGAAGCAGCAAAGCTCTAGGAGACTATTCACCAACCTGGTTCCCTCCCAAATGTTCTGGACTACAGCTCCCATCAGCCAGTGCGGACTGGAACTGATGAGCTTTGGGCCACAATACGTTTGGAGGGCGCCTGGTTGGTGAGGCCTGCTGTAGGAACCGTCTGAAGTCTGTTTTGTTTGGGAATGCAAAGGCTGATGTGAGAACTAAATAAATAATTGCCAGCCTCTCTTAGCAAGAAGCAAGGGCCTGGGCTAAATTCAGCCATTACAGTTTTCAGCTTCTTCCATAAGTGGCTTTTGAGGTTCACCTTAAGACTGCCCTGTTCTGTAGCCTGACTCTATGGCACGTGAACTAACACCTAAGGTTGTGTCAGCAATAATCAAACTCAAAGTAGACCCACTGAATTTAATGGACATGGTTAATTTAGGTCCACTAATCTCAATGAATGGGACGCGGGTGGCGCTGTGGTCTAAACCACAGAGCCTCTGGCTTGCCGATCAGAAGGTCGGCGGTTCAAATCCCCGCGACGGAGTGAGCTCCCGTTGTTCGGTCTCAGCTCCTGTCCACCTAGCAGTTCAAAAGCATGTCAAAGTGCAAGTAGATAAATAGGTACCGCTCTGGTGGGAAGGTAAACGGCATTTCCGTGTGCTGCTCTGGTTCACCAGAAGTGGCTTAGTCATGCTGGCCACATGACCTGGAAGCTGCCTGCAGACAAACGCCGGCTTCCTCGGCCTATAGAGCGAGATGAGCGCACAACCCCAGAGTCATCCACAACTGGACCTAACAGTCAGGGGTACCTTTACCTTTTTTAAATCTCAATGAGTCTACTCTGAGTTGGATACAACCTTTAGCTCCCAAGCTCTTCCCCTCCCACCTCCAATGTCATGCTTCGTGCCAGATTAAGCTGCAAATTCTTCTATTATTATTATTATTATTATTATTATTATTATTATTATTATTATTTTATTTATACCCTGCCCACCTGGCTGGGTTTCTCCAGCCACTCTGGACAGCTTACAGAAAATATAGAACATAATAAGGTATCAAACATTAAAAACTTCCCAATACAGATGTCTTCTAAAAGTTGTATAGTTCTTCATCTCCTTGACATCTGAAGGGAGGGTGTTCCACAGGGTGGGCGCCACTACCAAGAAGGCCGTCTGCCTGGTTCACTGTAACTTCGCTTCTCGAAGTGAGGGAGCCAGCAGAAGGCCCTCGGTGCTGGACCTCAGTGTCCGGGCTTAACAATGGGGGTGGAGATGCTCCTTCAGGTATACTCGGCCAAGGCCATTAGGGCTTTAAAGGTCAGCACCAACACTTTGCATTGTGCTTGGAAATGCTCTGGGAGTGTTTACAAACCTAAATCCTGGAAGCAGAAGGTACTCCTTGAACCTGGAAAAAGTAGTTGCGTATTTGAAGATGGCACCTCATTTGCAAACTTTTAGGCAAAATTTGCTTTACCTGCCCAATTGAATGTGGAATTTGGGTGGCTCTTGGTTCAGCATTGGCGGAGGGGAGTTGGAACAGCATATAAACGTTATGTCAAGAATGGGCTCGTGCAGCAACCTGTTTTGGGATAGGTTCCAAACCCAGACCTGCTTCATAAGATGTTGGACAGGTGCCTGGGGCAGACAGCAGATCAAATAGCCTGATACTCTCTGCTGAACAACTTTGTGCTTGTGTTTTTTCCTTCAGGCCATCCTTCGTGAGGGGCTGGAGGATGTAAAGCAGTTCTTCAACGTTAATGGCTCCTGTCGCCTCCCGCTCAGCCCCAGCCTGCTGGTGAAGGGGATTGTGCCCAGGGTATGTCTCTGACTGTGGGTACCACTGTTTCTGGTGTGCTGTAGCTTCCTTCCTCTAAGTTCAGGCATCTTGGATACTTTGAGCTTCCTGAAGATGCCCAGGCTTGGCTGCACTGTTTGCATTGGCAAGATTTGAAAGTAGCTGCTTCCTCTCTGTTGCAAAGCAAGCTGCTCCTAAGAATAGGAATGATTGGCTTCCAGCCATTAGCATCCTTACCACTTAACCTTTCAGTTTCAAATAATTTCTGTCAAATCCTCTTTTAAAGCCATCTAAGTTGGTGTTCATCACCGCCCCTTGTGGGAGTGAGTTCGATAGTTTAACTAATACACTACGTGAATAAGCACTTTCTTTAATCTGTCCTGAGTCTGTACATTAATACTGCACATTAATTAGGGCATCATCAAAAGGCCAAGAGGAAGAAAACCCTGGTACAGTGGTGCCTTGATTTACAACCATAATCCGTTCCAGAGGTCCGTTTGTAAACCAAGGTTGTAAACCAAGGCGCTCTTTCGCCAATGGGGCCTCTAAAAAAAGTTTGCAAACCGGGACACCCATTTCTGGGTTTGACGTGTTTGTAATCCAAAATGTATGCAAACCAGACTGTTTGCAAACCAAGGTACCACTGTATCTGGGATGAGCTGGAATCCTTATCTTGGGGGAGATAAAACATTATATTTCTGGCATGATCTTAGGCTGGGGGTCCCCAAACTAAGGCCCACGGGCCAGATAAGGCCCAAGGGACTCGTTTATCCGGCCCGTGGCGACCTCTGCTGCCACCCCCCGCTCTTACCGGCGCTGTGCTGTGTGGCTGCCCACTTCTGGGTCAGAGGAGCACCGGAAATAGCTTGTGTGCATGCTCAAACATTATTTGCACATGTGCAAGCGTTATTTCCAGTGCACATCCGGGTCGCAGGAGGCCCTTGCACAAGCTATTTCCTGTGCTCCTCCAACCCGGAAGTGCGCTGGAAATAGCGTGTGTGCATGCATATGGGCACACGCTCCCCCGCCCTCCTGCCCACCGCACGATCCGTGCTGGAGACACCGGCCCGAGGCGTGGTAAGTTTGCTGACCCCTGTCCTAGGCCTATGTTCTCTGAGAGTCCGTCTGTTGATGCTAGGGGACACCCACTTCTCATACAGTTAGGGTGAGGAAAGCACTGGCCATTCTGACCACTTGCTCCCCCATCTCACTCTCTTTGACTGCAGGACTGTTCCTATTTCAACTCCAATGCGGTTCCCCTGAAGCTCTCCTTCCTGAATGTTGACCCTCTTGGGGAGAATATCCGTGTCATTTTTAAGGTGAGCCGTGATGTTTCTTACTTGGTTATGGCTACAGTTTTTCTTTGCCCAGATGCTTCTGAACAAATCCCTGATCTAGGGATTCTAGTGTTGCTTGATCTGGTGTTCAAGCAATATATTGTAAGTTCTTCTTGTGCCTTCTAAGATCCATCAGATTTTTTTATTTTTTAAAAACGTGATTAGAGGTTTTTAGTCTGTGGCAAGCAGGCTTGAAAAATAAGCTATGCACCCATGAAATAAAAGCATTAATCCATTGTCACTGGCTAGGAATTTCAGTGTGCGTTTCTGCTTGTGTATTTGCAAGGTTAAGCAGGCTTCAGCTCTAATACCTGCAGCAGGTGGGCAGTAAAGCCATAGCCTCAGGCAAAGGACATTTTATAAGGCCTGCATGCATGTTGCCGACTTTGGGACTTCAAAGTGAATAATCACCTAACATCAGGTGATTGACAGGGGGACCAAATTTGGCCTGCAGGCCTAGCACCTGACCCCAGGAGCCAGAAAGGTTCCCCACGCTTCATCAAGCTGTTCTCTTAACCTCTAGCCTCCTTTCCCCATTCTCCCTGAACCTGCCTGCCAAAGAGTAGTCCTCCAGGGTCTGGAGTATCAGGAACCAACTCTCTTTCCAAATAGCTTCAGAACCTCTGGGAATCCACATCATTGCTTCACCACACTTAAATAAAAGGTTTTGGAAGCAGGGATTTGATTTCCAGTACTGCCTCTTGCCTTGCCCTGTTTCTCTCTCCACAGTGCGGAGATGATCTCCGGCAGGACATGCTAACTTTGCAGATGATCCGCATAATGAACAAGATCTGGGTGCAAGAAGATCTGGACATGCGCATGGTCATATTCCGCTGCTTTTCTACTGGTCGAGGTCGAGGTAAGTTTTCACCCAGGTACAAAATGAAGCTTTTTCAGTTCCTCTTCCTCAGCTGCGCTCATGTTGTTTTTAGGCTGGTGTGAGGTTCTTGGAGAAATCTGTTGGAGCAGTGCTTTTGGGGCTAGGATAGATACCCAAGGTTCTATATCACTTCTCTGGATGAAGGCCAAGAACTTCTTAAAAAATCCTCTAATTTGTCTTCCTACAGTAAATAGCCAGAAAACCTGCTTGCCCTCAGTATCTGGTAATCAAAGTCAAGTGGGTTTGAAACATATGGACCTCCAGTTGTTGGACTACAATTCCCATCACCCTGACTGTTGGCTGTGTGCCCCAGAGCTGATGGGAGTTGCAGTCCGGCAACCCTTTGAGGGACAGAGGTTCCTCTGCCCTGCTCTAAAATATAGCCTATTTTTAGTCATCGCAGCCACTACCATACATTTGTCATGGACATTTCAAAAATCAAGTATGTAAATAGCCCCCCCAACATTCTCTAGTAAAAGAATTCAGTAAGTTTCCGATGACAGAAACATTGTTTATCCATAATTGCATCCTTTGGGGCTTGCTGTGCAAGTGTCTCTAACATTCTAGAGAGATCATGGGTAGGTAGTCCAGCCTGGGCCTTGGAAGAACCGTAGAGTTCCCTTCTTGGCCATTGAAGGTAGTGGTTGCTTCTCTGAGCATCAGAATCCAGGATGGAGAACCAGGAGCCCTCCAGATAATGTTGGACGTCAGCTTTGTCAGCTCCAGTCAGCATTGGTCGGGGTGATGGGAATTTCCCATATGCATTCTAAATGCAGGCTGCATTTTACATGCAAGAGGAAGATGATTCAACATTTTACAGTAAAAAAAAGACCAGTCCAAGTTGGGTTCTTTGTTGGTTATGTGTGTTAAATGGGGGAAGGAAAGAGGCCCTTATTGCCCATCTTGTAGTCATTTGCTGTGTTTCACAGGGATGGTAGAGATGATTCCTAATGCAGAGACTCTACGAAAGATCCAGGTGGAGCATGGGGTGACAGGCTCCTTCAAGGATCGTCCCCTGGCAGACTGGCTGCAGAAGCACAACCCCAAAGAGGATGAATACGAGAAGGTGATGATAGCGAGAATAACATTATTTGGTTTAGGTTAAAAAGCCAGGCAGCTCCAAGTCATGATCAAAGCTTGTGCTAATGTCAAACCCATTGTGCCCTCTTTTGAGTCTAGTGGTTTTAATAATTCCATCGCAGCTTGACCTCACCCCCAAAGGCGCACTCCTCCATTGTCTCCCGAGATAGACAAATGCCAACCCCAATAAGCAGAGTGCGATGTGAACTTGTGGGTGTGCACCTGACTTTTCTTGCAGGCCCACATTTTTCTTTGTTTCCGTAACAAAATGTTGGATTGGAGAGATGCCACCTTGGTTTTATTTATTTAAAATTTGAGCAGTTTTAAACATCTGGACACAAGGGAGATCACAAACACAACACCAGGAAGCTAAACTGCACTGTAAATAAGCAGCAAGCAAGCATTTTAATCTTAAAATCTTGTGTAAACATAAATGTTTTCACTTGTTATTCAGAATTACATGAAATATGGCTTGGGGGCTGGGAGCTTTTCCATTGTACTGAAAAAGCCTGGCTACAAGTTCTGACTTCAAACAAAGACAGCACAGTAGAAGGCTAGCTGTAAATACAACTAAGGGTAGGTTACCTCAAGGTAGATTTAGGTGCCTTTCTGACATCTCAAGTTCCCAGGGTATTCTAGAAAACAGGCTAGTATATATTAAATATATAGGCAGGTGATATAATATTCCCAGATGACCCTAAATGCAGAAACCTTTTTCAAAAAGATTCCCTCCAGCATTTTGCCTGGCCTTACTGCTTTCCTGTGCAGCTCTTCACATTACTGTGTTAATAACATCCATCTTCATCTGCCAGGCAGTGGAGAACTTCATCTACTCATGCGCTGGCTGCTGTGTAGCTACTTATGTGCTGGGAATCTGTGATCGGCACAACGACAACATCATGCTCAAGACCACAGGGCACATGTTCCACATTGACTTTGGCAGATTTCTGGGCCATGCTCAGATGTTTGGCAACATCAAGAGGTGAGCACTCTAAGCAAACTAGAGAGGCTGTGTGTGCGTGGCCGACTGAATTATCTGTGCATGTATGTTATTTTTGGAAACGAAGGTGGAGCTAAACTAGTACATAGATTAGCTTCACCAGGAAACTAATGGTTTCAGTTTTTCACATTAGTTTCGCATAGAAATGTTTTTGCAAATTGATATATTTCTGGAACTCCTGTGTGCAAGGCTGGAAGGAAAGGATGAACTGAGAGATCTGTGAAACTGTGAAAGACATACAAGCTCTGAACAAAGGAAACATTAATTCAGTGGCTGCAACAATCATATGGGGCTTCTTTGTCCAATCTGCCTGAAAACTGGCAGTTCTGATGCCCTGGAATGGTAGTAGAAGCCATGCACTTTCCACAACATTTGCATGGAAAACAGAATTTGTTACAAGGAGGAGAAATGCAGCTGTTTCTCTCATTTAAACCAATGGGAAGCTTTGTAGGATACGTCTTTTTAAAAATTGCTTATAAAATGTAGTTCCTGTTTAGTGCAGCACCTGAAAGTGCCATGCCATTTGGATGGAAAATGTCACGGTTATTAGCAGCAAGCTGGGTCTCCGCTGCACTCAGTGCAAAAACTCAAATGAAACTCAAATGAATGTGAAACAAAATGGATGCAAATGAAAAGAAAGTGAAACTAAATAGAGTAGATTTGAAATACTTAAGACATTTCAAGTGCACGCTTCTGGCCGGTGTTCAGGAATGAGCCCTGGAGTTGCAGGACTCGCAGAAGTGGGCTAAGCTGAGGAAGGCACATGTCTTGATAGTTAACTCTTTGTTGACAAGAAAAGCACGTACAGCAAGCTTCCACAGTGTTCCAGATACACACACAGACACATGCTTCTAGCCTCTAGGCAGCTGCCCACAGGTCTAGGCCGTGTGGAGCAGTTACAGCAACAGGGAGACCCCGCCTGCCCCTGCTGGCTTATATACCCTCTCATGACAGCTTGCATGCCCACAATCTGAGACTTCTCTTGTCTGGAAATTGTCACTGCTCTTCCCTTTTCAAGACACACCTGGGTCTAGGAGGCAGTGGGGCAGGGCAAGGTGGGGAGTCTATTCACCTGTTTGTCAGCTGAACAGCCTCTTCTTCTTTCGCCTCACCCTGCCTATGTTCCTCCGTCGTGGACTGCCCTGACTCTCCCTTCTCCCCTGGCTCCTGCCTTGGGGGCAGCGTGAAACCCCATATATCACTGGTCCCCTCTCCTGGGTCACTCTCCTGGTCCCTTGCCTCCACCCCACAACCTTTGGAGTCTTGCCAGCTTCCTGTTCGCATGGATAAACTAAAGTCTACATTGTAGCAGTAGCTAATTAATAATGATGTGGGTGGGTGTAGATTGTTGGTACCCAATACAAGTTTTTAACTGCCATGCATATTTTGCGGGGCGCCATATTACGTGCTTTACCTGGAAAGGGAATCTGACAATTTGGCTTACAAATGTTGGACTTGAAGTTCCAAACTTTTTACTAAAGATTTTTTTTTTTAATAAAAAAGCTTCAATTTTCCACCCCTTAAGCATCATATTTTCCAGCCTGTTTCAAAATGTTCTTGGTGGAGCAGGTTGCCGGTGGAATGTGGCTTATCGGTTTCCACATTGTGATGCCCTTGTTCAGTGAATGCAAAACCCATTATCTGTCAAATGCGTTCAAGCTTTTTCCTGCTGTTGATACCAAGCATGTGGCTTTTGTTCCAAAGTCCTTCAGAATAATGTGTTGCGTGTGGATCTAATGGGATCTAGCACTCTCTGGGTCAACTAAGGTATGTTTGGAAATGAAAGCATAGTGACTCTTTTGTCCCTGGGATTAGCCACATCACTGTGGCATTTGCACATTTCTTCCGTACAGGGACCGAGCTCCATTTGTCTTCACATCAGACATGGCTTATGTCATCAACGGCGGTGACAAGCCCTCCAGCCGCTTCCATGACTTTGTAGATCTCTGCTGCCAGGCCTACAACCTGATCCGCAAACATACCCATCTCTTCCTCAACCTTTTGGGCCTGGTGAGACACCCAGTTTCTACTTTCCTGCTGCCTCTGCTCTCCACTAGCAGTGCATTTATCCAGACAGTGATCATGGTTATTACTGAAAAGACTTTCAGCTGTTCTTTGCAGGAGCTTGAAAGGTTTGCATAGGGAGACAGAGACAATGGTGACCATCAGACTTGACCTGAGGAGTAAAGAACTGCCTTCTCTCTTCCAAGCCTGTAGTTCCCCCATGACAGAACCTTCTCAGTCTATATCCAGACCTTCTTTATATCCAAACCAGGGAAAGGGTATAAGTGTTTTTTGTTTTTTGTTTTGGATTTGATATCCCGCTTTATCACTACCCTAAGGAGTCTCAAAGCGGCTAACAATCTCCTTTTGCCTTCCTCCCCCACAACAAACACTCTGTGAGGTGAGTGGGGCTGAGAGACTTCAGAGAAGTGTGACTGGCCCAAGGTCACCCAGCAAGTATTTGTCTGTGTAAGAGCAAAAATCACTTGGCAGATGCAGCACACAAACGAGGAGGCTCTCAGATAGGAACTTGTTTCTGCTTTGCTGCTCCTTGGATGAGGAGCCGCATGTTTCTACGGTCAAGCTGAGCTAAGGTTTGACTTAGTATATTGTATGAACCAGACCAATGTCTGGATTCACACATAAAAGTAAACCCATAGTTAAGATCAGCAAGCTAACAACAAACTCCGGGTTACTTTCACTAACAAGTCATTGTTTATTTGCCGCTCTCACTGCCCTGCATGTATGGTTTTGTCAGCTTATAGTGAAATAAATAAGTCCACTTTTTTTACATCAAAAGCAACCAGTTATAGTAAAAAATAAGTAATAATTGTAGTGCTTCCCCCTCCCCTGCAACTGCTGGGATAAGGACACAAGCCAAGACTTGATGAGCATCAACCACGAAAGCCTGTCTCCAACTATTGCATTGCCAAAGGCCCCTTTTTGTTCCTGAGACTGCAGCAGACATTGCTTGCAGATATGCACCATAACTAAAAGGGTTGGGAACTTGCCTTTCCTGTGTTTTGAAAGAAAGCTGAGGGTTTGGGGAAATCCAGTTAGCATGTGGCACGTTCCAGAATCCATGAAATCCCCACAACTCACCTCTGGAGTGTTTGCATTTCTTTCTTTTCTGGTGCTAATCCGTGGCCTCTTTGGTGCCCAGATGCTGTCGTGTGGGATCCCTGAGCTTTCTGACCTTGAAGACCTAAAGTATGTTTATGATGCATTGAGACCACAGGACTCTGAGGCAGATGCCACCACCTATTTCACCAGGTAAGGGGAATCCTGATGGCTGGGAGAGGTGGAAAGGGAAGCCAGGAGCCACCTTGGTGTGCCAAGCTACTCCCACAGAGAAATCTTTGTTCTCAGTGTCCTCTTTGAAAGGTCTGTTGTAGTCTTTGAAAATGCAGGGGGTAGACCAGTCAATTCTATGTCAACCCACAAACCAGATGTTTTATCCTTTTGTGCAGGTTGATAGAGTCCAGCCTTGGCAGTGTTGCCACGAAGCTCAACTTCTTCATTCACAATCTGGCGCAGATGAAGTTTGCGGGCTCCGACTCCCGACCGGTGCTCTCCTTTGCCCCCCGTGTTCACACGATCAAGACGTCCAGCCGGATCCTTGATGTCTTCCTCTGCCGTCACGAAAAAGTCTTCAATCCCAGCAAGGGCTTTGTGAGTCCCTTCCACAGGCATTTTGGTGCAGCAGGTGGTCAGTGTGGTGGAGGCAGTGTTAGGGAAGCTAGCATACGGCTGCGCCAGAGCGCAAGAGCAAGTTGTGCTGCATGCTGGAGCAGCATCTCCAGAAGGTGCTGCTGAACCATAAGGGCTGCTTCCCTCTCTGCCTTGCAGATATACATTGTGAAGGTGAAGCGAGAGAACCCCTCCGAAGTCACCTACATTCAGCGGACCTTTGAAGAGTTCCAGGAACTGCACAATAAGATGCGCCTCATCTTCCCCTCTTCACATCTCCCCAGGTTAGCCCTATTTGGTTTACAAACGCCTTTTTTCTTTTGACACTCTGTGTTTGTGTATGTGTGTGTGTGTAAGAGAGAGAGAGAGACAGACAGACAGACAGAGTCTGGTGACGACAAGGCTGCACACCTTCTGTAAGAATCACAAACCTTTGAAGACTAGTTTTGTATTCCTTTCCCGGAAACTTGCATATGCCCACCTGATTTTGTGCATTGAAATTACATTTTCTCCTTGGGAAGTCTCAGCGCTTGGATTTTGTTCACATTTAGGATCTAACCGAAAGAATCTCTCATCCCTTTCACCAGATTGGCTAGTGATCCAGTGGGTATGGTACAGCAGACTACCCTCTCAAAATGATATGTGTGCTTAATTGAATTGTTTGTGTGTGAATGGTCCTCATCACATGACGTTAACCGAAAGTTTCATTTCTGAAACACTCCAAATGGATCCGTCTGACAGCCGTTATCCGTGTGACATGAAGAAATCCTTTAAAAAATAATTTGTGTGTACTGTTGCAGCCAGGAGCGAAGAAATTTGGCAGACCACCTGCTTCAGTTGAGATTTTGCTTTTCATTGATAGATGGGGCCCAACACCTAACTGTTTCTTTACCCTCCCACCCTCCCCAAATTGTCCAGCTTTCCTAGCAGGTTTGTGATTGGACGCTCACGAGGAGAAGCAGTGGCTGAGAAGAGGAGAGAAGAACTGAATGGCTACATCTGGCATCTGATCCATGCAGCTCCTGAGGTGGCCGAGGTAAATAGGCAGGAGCGAGGTAGTATTAGCCAAGACCTTTAGGATGAACGGCAGGCAGACACAGCAGTGTAGAATAGTTTAATCTAAGTGCTTCTGCAGAAGCCTGACCCTGGAATTATTCCACACTTTTTGCCATTCCTCTTTAGCAAGCTTTGTTAATACATATGGAAGCTTTGGATAGCATTCCCTGTCCTTGCCTACATGTAAATCAAGGGATCTTCTTTAACCACTGCTGGAGAACAGTCAGCACATAGGAGGCAAGAGAACTTGCTTGGTAAGTATAGTATCAAAAACTGAGCTGAGAGTAAGGAATATCAAGGGTGTGTTCTGATGACCTCTGGGTGCCTGGGTGTGCAAACTGGATTGCCTGTTATGTATTCTGGTTCTCCCATCTATATAACTGACGTTGTGTGCTACTGTAGTATTAAGATTCATAACCAGGCATAGGCAAACTCGGCCCTCCAGATGTTTTTTGGCCTACAACTCCCATGATCCCTAGCTAACAGGACCAGTGGCCAGGGATGATGGGAATTGTAGTCCCAAATCATCTGGAGGGCTGAGTTTGCCTATGCCTGCTCATAACCATTCTAAGCAAGTAAGGAACTGCAGGAGTCTTCATAGCTGAAGGCCTAAGAAATAATTAGCTTATTTATGAAAGTAAGTTATTATGTGAATTGAAGCAACATGCCCAACCAAGCTTCTCTTTTCATGTCAGAGGGCATATCAAAAGTAGGTGACTTGCTACTGGAGTAAAACTGTGGCCTGATGGTGTGCTTCTCTTGCAGTGTGACCTGGTGTACACATTTTTCCACCCCCTCCCAAGGGACGAAGTTGCTGCAGGCACCAATCCAGCACCCAAACTGCCTGGTAAATATCTGTAGGACACAAGCAGCAGGACTTACCTGCTTCAACACTCTGGCTCTGCATGCTCTCATGCAGCTGCCTTGGAGTGAAATCGATCATAGCCACAGCTTCATTCTTTGGCACATAAAATGAAAGTGCTGGGCACATGGAAGGGATCTGCCTATTCAATGGAGGCTGGAAGTTTGTGTCAGGACCTGACAGGAGGTTCAGAATGGTGCTGTAAGACTGGTCATTAAACTATGTTATGCTGGTATAGGGTAGTGCAGAGGAGAGATGTTGTATTCGTTAAAACAGGATAAAGCGCAACAGAAGCATAATATAGTACTGATTTTGATTTTATTGTTTTTGTTTGTATTTTTTATTTTAAAAAATAATACTAAAGTTTTCCAGAGGATGGCCTTTATGGAAAGGCGCTTACGCCTGTTTACTGTGGGTGTAATGCCTTTCCTCTCTTTTTTTGCCAGTAGACATGGTAGTTTTCCATGCCAACACTGCTCCCTGTTCCTTATTCTTAGATGCATCATGGTCCCAGCCTGTTGGAAAACTGGGTGGGGAGGTGAAGCTGTCTGTTTCCTACAAGAACAACAAGCTGTTTATCATGGTGATGCATATCCGAGGCCTGGTAAGTGCTGAACTGTAGCTATGTCCCAGTGGCGGCCACTGGCCAAACTTTTCAAATCTCTGCAGCCTGATGTGGCGCAAACAACTGACGACTGGGCTTGACTTTCTCTTTTCCAGCAGCCTATTCAAGACGGCAGTGATCCTGACCCGTATGTTAAGATCTACCTTCTGCCCGATCCCCAGAAAACCACCAAGAGGAAAACGAAAGTCGCTAGAAAAACATGCAACCCTACTTACAACGAAATGGTATGCTGCCGCACACCTTGTCTTTACAGGCTAAAGCAGGGGTGGGTGGGAAACCTCTGACCCACAGTTGCTATCAAACAATTAATTAGCTATGAAAACCAACATTCTTTCGTGAAAGATCCAGCTGCTTTAAAAAAAAAAAAAAAGTCCAGACATATTTTGAGTTAATGTATTGCAGGGTAGGGGACGGTATGAACTGGTTCTCCATTATACATCTCCATTATACATCTCCATTATACACCTCGTTATACATCTATTAATGTTACTATGGAGTGGCAGCATGGACAATTTATTACAATATAGCCTTACAATAGAAGGCGGGCGTGGGGGGGGGTTGGCTTGAGAGCCACCTTCACCCTTGGCCAATCCTCTGAGGGAAGCATGCCAGAGGGGGATGTGGACATCCCATACACACAGTTGTGTAAATTCACACATGCAGGTTAGGGAGGGGGTGGTTTGCTTCCCCATCAGGGCATTGGGGTGGGCAGAGAGATTTAAACCACCTACATTAGCACTGTCTGCTTTTAATTCCACCCTTTGTCATTGCTGTCAAATTTGGGAGTCTTGGGGAGGTCAGAATATACTTGGGGCCAGGCCATGCTCCTGGGCCAGGGGTTAAACACCCCTCCTTTATTTAAAATTCCTATCTAGGCTGCTGTCATAGTCGAATTAGTTCAAGTTTAAAGACTCGGTATTATACATGTGTGCGTGTGTGCATATATCATTTTCCGTTTTCTCTGACAGATTTCTACCCTAGGTCTAAATGCCAGGAAAAAAAATATCCTAGATGGGTGTCTGCATTAAAATGCATAAGTATTACTGAAGAATACGCAGAATTACTATAGTCTGGCCTTCTGCTATAGAGGCCAGAGACTGCTGTTCTAGGCAACTACTTCTTCCACCTTTCTAAGGAGAGTGTGAGTGAGTTTTAGCTCATGTCCGGAAACTTCCTGTATCTTTCAGCTTGTCTATGATGGGATTCCTAAAGGAGACCTCCACCAGCGGGAACTGCATCTGAGTGTCCTGAGTGAAGAGGGCTTTTGGGAGAACATCCTCCTTGGGGAGGTCATTATCCGACTGCGGGACCTGGATCTGACACAAGAGAAGATGGGCTGGTTTGAACTGGGCTCTAGGAGTCACGGGACCATGTGAAGAGGAGCAGCAAGGCAGTCGCTGTGTCTTTGGAACCACTCTGGCCCCATGGGAGTCCCTGGGAATTGGTGCATGTTCCAGGAGTTCTATCCTGGTGTATCTGACAGGATTTAGTTTCCTGCAAATAAGGACGGACGGATGTAAAGTTTCTCTGCAAATGAAGGGTTAATTTCCTGTGGAGAGTGAGCATTTTGGGGTGGAGTCATGATAGGAAATTCATTTATGACTTAAAATGGCTGCCATAGACTTTCCTTTTTATACATTTTCCTTGTGTCAAGGGAGCAATGACTTATGGGGGGCGAAATAATAGGGGGCACCCCCCTCTTTGGGATATTTTAATTTTTTAAGAAAATTAACAAATGATTTCAGTCCAGATGGGACATAGGAGCACATGCTGAGAAGGAGCTTTTCTAGGCAGGATATATCATCAGTGAGATTCTTGCTGGACTTTCTCAAAAGTTGTTGTTGTTGTTTGTTGTTGTTTTAAGTAAATAAAGGAATGTGTGCATAAGAACTTGGGCGGGAGGGGAAATGTTTGGGGTGGATATAAATGGTAGATGAAATCCTTATCTCTGGGACAGGAGCTGGTGTGGTCCAACTCAAGCCATCTTGGAGAATTTGCTTCCAAAGGAGAGCTATGTAATGTATATATGTGAAGAGCTTACAGTTCTCGATTTCCTGCTTGGAGATGTAACCTAAAAGGCATGCTCTCTTGGACTAACATTTAGACTTGTCTTAGGAGGCAAAAGGCAACCATATTCCTCTTGATTCTAAACACCTACTAAGGCCTTGGGCATAGCAGCTATCTGAAGAGCTGTGTGATATTTCCACCTTACTTCCTTGCTTGACTGAACTGAATTGCCTTTTGCACATGTTCATCTGGCCAGTCTAAGGAGCTGGAACTGATTAGATACAGTTATGCTGCATCTTGGAATCAGAGCGATTTTCCTGGTCTCGCTTCTCCCAAGCTCTGACTTTGGAAAATGGGTTCCTTGAATTAGCCAAACCGCCTCTGTGACAGTTTCCTGTGTATGGCCATTTCTTTCCTGTTGCCTAAAACCAGATTACATTAGCAAATACTTAAAGCCTTTTCAGGATTCTCATCTTCAGTGTCACCGCAGGCTCTTCTTCTGAGCTAGTGGGTGGGAGGCAAAGAAAAAGGCAAACTCGCTGGAAACCTGGTTAAAAGGTTACCAGGCATTTTGCCACTGAGCACCCATGACTTACTGAAACCTTTGCATACACCCACTGCCCTGCAATGCCTTTTGTAGGCCAGGTGGCCATGAGCTGTTCCTTTGTAGCCTTTTCTTTGAGAAGTAAACCTGTGTAAAATAAAAAAATAAAAATAGAAAGGTGGGGAGGGGGAATAGCCAGCTTTTAAACCTTTGTCTCTTTGCAATTATATAAAGACCAGAATGTGTGTTGTTGGATCGTTTTTCTCTCTCTTTTAAGAATCATTCTTAAAGGATGTCCTGTTTGCGGGTTGCCATTTGCCTCCTTGAATGAAAAAGAGAGCACTTCAAAATGGAGGGGGAGAAGTTTCCCATCTCAGACAGGAGCCTTGCACCATTGGGCCTAGCCCTCTCCCTCAGAGCTTGCCATCTTCTAGCTAGCCTGAGCTGTTTGTTTACAGCAGGGACTCCTGTACAGATGAAACGTTTCTCAGGTTCAAGAACAAAAAAATAAAATATTGTATCTGAGAGGTATAAGCCAAGTTTTTTTAACCGTTCCTTAGATCAAGGTTTGCCTGAAACTTGGATTTTTTAAAATCTGCATAAGAGGTGCAGGTGGATTTCAGAGTCAGATAAGCAGCTACGTGAGACAACCTTGGCCTGGTCATGTCACCTGTTCTGTAGGAAATGAGGGAGAGACAGCGTCTCGCAGATCCCTGGATCCTTCCTCTGTTGTAAAATGGTGGCATTATTCGAAGTAAATAAATAAAAGGAAATGGAATTCAGTAGAAACTGTGTCGTCTCATCCTTTGCAGCGTTAGGGTTATAAAGCAAGCATGGACTTTTTCAAAGAGATGCAGCATCATTAACCCCAAATAGATTTTGGTAAGATGATGCCTGGCCAAAGCGGACACAGGATGCTGCATTTGAACTGGCTAGAAAAGTAATGACTGAGCAGCTCAGAGAAGTCATTTGACTTTTAGTTTCCCATACTCAGTGTTTGAAAACAAGTTACCATTAGCCACAGCCAGTATGGCCACTGGTCAAGGGCAATGGGAGTTGCAGTCCTATAATCTGGAAGGCACCAGGTCGATCAGTCCTTCCCACTTGGTCTGCCTTTGTCCATAAGCCTGTTCACAGTGCATTTTGGGGGAGAGGAGATAATATGCAGGATCTGCAAGAACAGGTTGGCTTCTGCATCTTTGCTCTCTTAATTCAACCATATGTTTGGATTCAAAACATTTGCAGGCTTTAACACCAACCTGAAATGTGGTGCCATTGTCCGGCTTACCCGGGAAACAGTATCTCTGTGTGCCTAAATATTGACAGGATGACCAATGACTCTTCTTCCCCTGGACAGTGAGAAGCCTGTCAAAAGAGGGCCAAACTACAGTGGTGCCTCGCAAGCCGAAATTAATCCGTTCAGCGAGTGTCTTCGTCTAGCGGTTTTTTTGTCTTGCGAAGCAACCCTATTAGCGGATTAGCGCTATTAGTGGTTTAGCGGCTATTAAAGGCTTAGCGGATTAGCTGCTAAAAGGCTATTAAAGGTTTAGCGGCTTAGAAAAGGGGGGGGGAGCGAAAAAAAATCTCAAGACTCGCAAGACATTTTCGTCTTGCGAAGCAAGCCCATAGGGAAATTTGTCCTGCGAAGCAACTCAAAAACGGAAAACCCTTTCGTCTAGCGGGTTTTCCGCCTTGCGAGGCATTCGTCTTGTGGGGCACCACTGTATCTGTATTTGTACATGTTGCAGTATCAAATCAAATTATGTAGGAGGCTTAAAGAGAAGGGAGACTATAAAGACTAACAGGAATAGATAGCTTTTCAGGCTGATTGCATCCTATGTAATATAGTGCAGAGGAAAGACACTGGAAGCATCCATAGTTACCACTGCTTGCACATTCATGCCACGAGGCTGTTGCAATAGCCGTGCAATCTGTTACCGATGCTATGTTACTAGGTAGTTAAGATAATACATACTTTAATAGGCTTGGGTATTGAATCAGTCATAATCACCGCAGCACATTCCTACAATGCCTAATTAGCAAAAGTGCATACATTTAAAGTACTGTGGAGTGTGTATGATGCCACAGTGACACGTCAGCCATAGGTACAAAGGGCAGGTGCTGAGAAGTGACTGAGCTTGATGGAATCTGGAGAAACATAGCCATAGACAGTGGCTGTTAGAAACCATGCCACTTGGATGTAGTTAGAAAATAATACACAGAGATTTCATGCTGGGAAGAGGGGGCCAGAATCACTTGAGTTTCCAGATTCCAAATGGAAGGAAACCTGTGCCGAGAGTGGTTGTGTAGTGAGGATGCAGTTTCATCTATTCCCCCTTCTGTGCAGTTATAAAAGGCACAAGAACAGGCAGGCCACAACAAAATGCCCCTCAACGCAATTTTTATTTACGCATTTATCCAAATGTTCATGCTGTCTTTTTGTAGCCTGGGCAGCTTATGAAGAAAAGGTTAATGGAAAAGCCCCAGAATCGCATCTCCAAAAGCAAAAAATCATGGGTAAGCAGAAAATAAAAAGATTGCCCAGCATTATTCAAAAGCCAATTGCTCTCCGCAATAAAAATAAATTGCATTCTTTTTTGAATTAGATAAGAATTAGATTGGAAGAGCTCTGCATCTTCTATTGCGAGGATATTCCAGAGTTTGAGGGAAACTGCTAAAGGTCCTATAATCTATATGTTCTTTTGATGAAAGTACTTGAGGTAGGACCTCACCCAGTGACTGCAATTGTCATAGGAATGTAGGCAGCTGTCTTACACCAAGTCAGACCTTGGGTGCATCTCGTTCAATATTGTCTATGCTGACTGAAATAGGGAGGGTCCTAAAAACAGACATCTCATTGCTCACGGCCAGGTTTAAAAGAGTACATCTTCTACATTTGTCAGAAACTTAGGTTGCCAGGCACACTTCTGTGGGGAGAGAGTTCCACAATCTAGAGGCTACCGCAGAGAATACCCTCTCCTGGGCCACCCCTCCTCTACTGAGGGCAGCAGAACTACCAATAGGGCAAGGGTCTGTAAGTGAGGAGGTGGTCTTTCAAATATCAAGGAACCTAAGTCCTTTAGGGCTTTAAACACTAATGTGAACACCTTGAACTGGGCCCAGAAACAAACTGGCAACCAATGCAGCTGTTTTAAAACAGGTTATGTGAGATCTAAACAGAACCCCAGCCTGTAATACGGCTGCTGCATTTCGGAGCAATTTAAGTTTCCGAGTCATCTTCAGGGGCAACCCTACTTAGAGTCCATTGATACAATGCAGTTTGGAAGTTAACAGAGCATGACATACAGTGACCATATCTGTCCAGAGGGATCTGTAGCTAGAAAAAGTAGCCACTGAGGAAACCTGAGTCTTCAGTGACAGTGCTTGACTACAGAACATTCCCAAGCCATTGATCATTTGTACATAGGTACTAAATTGGTTCACATTAAGAAGAGTGAGATTATCATTGCCTAACATTAAAGATTGGGGCTGAAAGTAACTTACTTTCTTTTTTAAAAAATAATATTTATTACTTTTCCAACAATTTAAACACTACAAAAAACAATACAATATAATACAAAAACACTACATAACACTAACACATTAAACACATTAAACTAACAAAACAAAAACAGTTTAAAATAAATCAAACAATTTCAATATCTTATCTTTCATTCACTTATTTCCACGACCTCCTCACACTTCCCTTTTTGTATTCCACTTCTGTTAATTGTTTCAGCAATTCCTTTCCATCTTCCTCTGTTTTCTATCCTATAATTATCTTAACACATTCTAACCTTATTTTTTCCTTTAATACTCTATTAATCTATTTATACTTAATTCCTTATAACATTTCTACTAAAGCCATATAACTTCATTCCAACATTTTTCTAACATTCATTGATTTTACAGTATTTCTGTAAATAGTCTTTAAACTTTTTCCAGTCTTCTTCCACCAACTCTTCTCCCTGGTCTCGGATTCTGCCAGTCATTCCATATAGTTCCATATAGTCCATCAACTTCATCTGCCATTCTTCCTGGGTGGGTAAATCTTGTGTCTTCCAATACTTCGCGATGAGTATTCTTGCTGCTGTTGTTGCATACATAAAAAAAGTTCTATCCTTCTTTGGCACCAATTGGCCGACCATGCCCAGGAGAAAGGCCTCTGGTTTCTTCGGGAAGGTATATTTAAATACCTTTTTCATTTCATTATAAATCATCTCCCAGTATGTCTTAATCCTTGGGCACGTCCACCAAAGGTGAAAGAATGTACCTTCAGTCTCATCATATTTCCAACATTTATTGTCGGGCAAATGGTAAATTTTTGCAAGCTTGACTGGTGTCATGTACCACCTAAAATCATTTTCATTAAATTTTAGAAAGTAACTTTCCAATAGCTATGTGGCAATGGAAACTCAGGCTGCTTCAGAATAGCCCAGGTGCTAATTCAGTGTCATAAGTACGTGAGAAAAATTCTCCTGGATTGGACTGAAGTTCTATCTAATGCAGCATTCTGTCTCCCACAGTGGCTAACCAGATGCCAATAGGAAGTCCGCACATCAGACACATGCTTACAGTTCTTAATACCCTCCTTTGTGGTAGGTTGAGTAGCAACTAAATCATAGAACTGTAAAGTTGGAAAGGACCCAAAGGGCCATCCAGTCCGACCCCTTGCAATGCAGGAATCAAAATACAGATAAATTTGGCACAATTTAGATGTCACTTTATTTCTGAGTGAACTGGAGGCAGCCATCCAGTGTGAGAATAAGCAGAACTTGAACCCACGGCCTTCAGAAATGCTGCCAAGCTCCTTAACCATTGGACCACTTTGCCACAGAGAAATTTTTTTTCTTATCTAAATCCTAGATTGTAAAAACAACAATCCTGGATTATCTCCGAGCCTCTCCAGAAGCATCCTTTTTTTGGGAAAGGCCTCTGTTCGTTTCGTGGTTGGGTGCATGTTAGGCAGAAAATCAACTGGTGTAACATTTATTGGCATGAAGATGGAATAATTGGAAATGTTGCACCTGTTGAATTTTTGCCTGTTGTAGATTCCCTGGCAGAAAATAAAGAACAGAGGCAACTGTAATGTAGTTTCATGTAAATTAGCTCCCTAAAGAAGACGTGTGTGTTAAAACCATGTAAATAACAGAATCAAATTTTCTCATTCTGTTCCTTCAAATACTTCAGATCACAGTCACAAGTTAGTAGGCAACGGCTATGTGTTTTTACCATATGATCTGTATAAGCAGGATGCCTGTAACATTAAAGTAATTGGATTACTAATGACCTACGTGAGTTTCAAGCATGCACACATGCCACAACTTTTTAAAATTTGTTAATCATGTCATATGACAATATGACATGCTTAAAAGAAAACAGTCGGCTGATCACTTCATCTGGGATAACTCAGTATAGTGTGGTTAACAAAATGTTTTCTACACACAAACCTCCATCGAAGCAAGGAAGGGACACAATGTATGGCAGTGGGCTGGATTGCACATGGTGTGATTTACGGTGTCTGGGCTTGCACAGGCACGATTTTTGGTATCTGCGATTTCTGGCACCGCGGAAGTGAGTCCCCGTGCCGCACCGGTTTAGCGCAGCGCACGGGGACTTGGCAAGCAGGTGGCTTGGTTCGGGGGCGGCTCGTGGGCTGGTTAAACTGCCCCCGTGGGCCGCAGGTTGCCAACCCCTGATGTATGGTTATGTGGAAGTGTAGCTGATTTGCACAGGATGACAGCCTTAAAAGGCTTGTACCCTTCTTAAACGAGTGACCTGCTGCAGATGACCTCAACACACCTCCCGAGAACTAGTTACAGTGGTACCTCGGGTTACATACGCTTCAGGTTACATATGTTTCAGGTTACAGACTCCGCTAACCCAGAAATAGTACCTCGGGTTAAGGACTTTGTTTCAGGATGAGAACAGAAATTATGCTCCGGCGGCAGCGGGAGGCTTCAGGTTAAGAACAGTTTCAGGTTAAGAACAGACCTCCAGAACGAATTAAGTACGTAACCAGAGGTACCACTATATTAGCAATAGGCACCAAGGGAAGGCTGTTTCCTTCACCTCCTGCTTGTGAGCTTCTCAAATGCAAACTAGCGGAAACAGAATGCTGTATTGGAAGGACCTTTAGTCTGATGCATCATGGTAGTTTTTATGCTCCTTAGCGCTGCGACAAGGTCATCTTATCTCTATTAGCTCCTCTTGCGTAACTGACCTTTGGTGGGGTAGCTACCCGTATGTTATCATTGTTTGCAGAGCAGCCTTATCTTTGTGCTGCCCTTAAGTGTACTTTTCTACATTTTTTTTGTTTCGCTTTGACTTCTTTCTGCTGTTCATACAAAGATGGGGAAAGCCTGGCTAGACACAGGCAGTTCACCACCAGTTATTAGCAGACAGTGCTTCCTAAGTAAGATGTTTTGAAATCTGGGGAACAAGTTGGACATAAACCAAACATTGCAGTTAGCAGGACCAAATGCAAAAGAGGACAGAGGCTTTGCAGCTGTGACAACTGTGTAGAAGGAATTTTAGCAGGGGCAGCTTGTCTTCTGTATCTGGCCACACTTGCAGTGTGGGGTGCTCCTATTACCCACCAGCCAAGATACTCTACATCATCCCACCTCATATTTTCTATCCCAGTCCCAGCATTGCATTGGGCTGGTTTTATGTACTTCTGAAAACCTTGGGGTTTTGAGGTCTGCTGTTACCTTGGACCTTGTGCGTGGATGGTACCGTTTTTGGCTACAGAAGGCACCATCCCTGGAGAATAAGTTTGCTATGAACATATGAGGGAGCCTCCCACGAGCTGTTGCCCTCCACTTCCATCAGCCCCGGCCAGCATGGCTGACGTTTAGGGAATGACATGGTCTGTAGTGCAGAAACATCTGGAGGGCTCCGGGTTGGAGAAGGCTGCTAAATAGTATGATTTCTGAGGTAAGTAACTGGGAGGTGTTTCCTCTTCCTCCTTGATCTTCATTTCTTTTGAATGGAACTTTGCTAATAAGCTGCACCTCAACAGGTATGAAGCGCCTTTAAAAAACAAAACGTTGCTGAATGTTTCTATAACCCTCTAATAATTTAGAAGAGCAACCAGCTGATGCAATCGCCCGCCTGCGCCAGTGTTCAGTCACCAAAGTGCGCTCTCTCGCTCTCCCTCGAGGGAGGCGGGGCCGCGAGTGTGCAGGGAACCAATCGCGAGCAGCCGACTGCTATCTAGCTTCCCCGGATGTTACTCGAAGCGCCACCCGGCCTTTAATCTTCCGTTTTCAGGTGACAAGAAGAGACGCTTCTTTCGCTTCCGCGCTTGCTGAGGGGGGCTGCGTGTGCGCCTGCGCTCGGTAAAGGAGGGGTCTTCCCGCCCAGCGGCCTAACTGCTGCGCCCTTCTCTCGCCGCCATCTTGTTCCTCTCGCTTCAAACCAGCGACTCCCATCCAGCCCCGAAGCGGCCGCCGGTCTCCGCCGGGACGGAACATGGCGTGGCCCAAGCCGGGGAGAAGCCACCGCCGCGTCCTCAGCCATCCCCGAAAGGCATCCGGAGCGGCCGGGCGACGCGGGGCTGAAGCGCTGAGGTGAGCAGCCCTGGGCGCACCCGTCACCATGGAGCCGAGCAGGGAGCGGGAGCAGGCGGCCCCTCGCCTCGGCGCTCGCCCGACCGCCTTGCCGCCGCCGCAACCGGAGGCCGACGCCCCGTTCTCGCTGCTGCGGCTCTTCTCGCAGCTGCTGCAGCGCCTCGTGCCGGGCCAGGCCGCTCCGCTCTTCTGGCTCCAGTCCGAGGCCCACGCCACAGGGCTGCCGCCGCTGATCGCAGTCCAGCACCAGCTGCGCCTGGTCGCCGCCTCCTCCTCCTCCACCTACGTGCTCGGCGCTGCAGACAAGGGCTCGCTGCCGGGCCCTCTCAGCGCTGCTTGGGAAGAGCTGCCCGAGCCCCGCTCCGCGCTCTCCAAGCTCCCCGAGATCCTCCAGCAGGTGCATCTGCGTGGGAGCAAGGCCGGGCTCGGCGCGCAGGACCCCGACGGCGGCTACTATAGCTTGGAGGTAGAGGAGCAGCAGCAGCAGCAGCGGGACTCCTGGGCCCCGAAAGACTCGTTGCCTGCGGATGGCCGTGAGGAGGAAGCTCAGGAGCACCCAGGCTCCGGGGATGCCTGCGGGCGTCCTGGTGCGGGGGATCCGTGCGGGGAGGAGGGTCTTTCCGAGGCCCCCTCGGACTCGGACATAGAGCAAGATATCCCTGCGGTGACTAGGCCTGCGTGTCCTAACAAATTGATCGATTACATTCTAGGGGGTGCTTGCAGTGGGGAGGAGAGCGATGGGGAGGAAGAAGGCTCGGGCGGTGAAGAGGATGAAGACGACGACGACGACGGGTTTGACAGCGAAGGCTCCCTTTCCGAATCCGATGCCGCCAGCCAGGATGGGGAAAACATTCACTTGTGGAACTCCTTTTGTAGCCTGGATCCTTACGATCCTCGGAATTTCACAGCAGCTGTTCGAACTGCTGGGAACACACCCGAGGAAGCGCCTCCTGTTGAGTCAGAGGAGGTGGAGGATACTTCCTCGTGGACTGAAAGTTCCTGGGAGGAAGATGAGTGGGAGTCCAGCAGCGTGGATGAATCGGAAAACTTGAAATTGTGGAACTCTTTCTGTAACGCTGAGGATCCTTACAACCCTTTCAACTTCAAGGCACAGTTTCAGACTGCAGAAAAGAAAGGGAAAAGTGGCTTGAAAGGACCGACAGGGACAGGCCTTGGACCCTCTCAATGTAGCATCTTACTTAGCTGTCAAGTGCACCTGATCGATAACAGAGACACTGAGGTTACGGAAAATGTGAAGCATGGTGTCCTTTCTAGAGGAAAGTGTAAGAAGAAGAAAAAGGTATGTATTACATTAGTTTATTATGCAAGCAGGAGGTGCCATTTAAATATATATGTGTATCCTTCCCGATTGACCTGTAGAGTGGCTTACCACAGAGCTAAACATATGGCTGTAGGGGGTTGTACTAGATAACCCTCAGGGTCCCTTCCAGCTCTACAATACTATGATTCTATACCAAAGTAAGTTCTGGGAGGCCTACAACGGTAATAGAGAAACTGGCCTTCCATATCTTTTGGACTACAACTCTCATCAGCCCCAACCAGCTTGGCTAGAAGTCAGGGATGATGGAGTGGTAGTTGAATGATATCTGTAGAGGTGCAAGTTCCCCATTACTGAACTATGACCTAAATTACTAAAGTTATGGTGTCACACTGTGGTAATTCCTGGCATAGCTGACTTGTTCTTTCTACTTTTTTGAAATTACTGTTCCTAAAATAGTACACTCTTTTTTTGCCCAGGACTGAGCTTAAAATAGAGTATCAAGTTGGGTATCACAAATTGGCTATCATGGGGCCAGGATAAATTTCCATAGAACTGCTTTGTAGATTGATTAATCCTGTGGCTGGAATAAGAATGTAAGATGCCTTGCAAGAATTTGTCTTTCTCTTCCACTTGCAAGCACACATTGTGAAATCACATTTGGGAGCACTGTATGTATTGGGGCATGGGATACACGTTATACCATGTTTCTTAGAAGAATGGAGATTTCCTCCAAAGCTAGCATTACACCAACAATGCAAGTTAGTACTAAAATTACAAAGCTGCACATGAAGGCGTTAAATTTGTTTCAAAGTGATTTATGCTTACTTGTCTTACTATTTCCACTTCTGTACTTGCCTTGCATTTCAGAACTTCCCTTCCCTTCATTGCATTGTATCATATTGTAGATTCTGTAAGAATGGGGAGTTGACTCATGGGTGACAGGCTCCATGTGACTGGCAGGAGTTGTGCACCCTCTACTTTCAGTCACAATTCAGCCACTCTGTTTTATCCTAGACTCCATTCTCTCCCCGCCTTCCCTTGATAAATCCCATTGATTTATGTGAAACAAAGCTAGAAATGCTTTGAAGTAGTGCAAGTGTGGGCCTCCTTGTGCACCAATCTGTTCTTTCAAGCCTCCAGTCTGTTTGGGCTAACAATGATTAGCTGCCATGGCTTTCTGAGGAATTTAATACAATTACTTGACTCATGCTTTGTTTGCTTAATGTTGTTCTGTCACACCTAGCTTTCCTAGGAGAATGCTGTAGTGCAAAATTATTGTTAATCCTCGTGGATACTTAAACTTAGCACTGTTCAATGTAGAAACCTCAGAAAGGAGAACTCTTCCTTGACACATTAGAATGCAGTATCAATCTGTGTAGTCATGTTTGAAACAGTCTGTTTTGCTGTAGTTATTTGTGCTGCTCAGCAAAATAACTAGCAGGTGCATGTAATTGCAGCAGAATAAACACTTTCAGGGTCTTCAGAACTGACAAATACATTGTGTGTTTTTAAATCAGGAAACTTACTCTATTTAGGAATAGGGCAAGTGGCCTTAAGCTAGGACAAGCTGGAACTTTCCATTCATTTAGTTGTGTTGCTATTTGTTTATGCATTCCCCATGATGTTTTACCTTAAAATTCATTGTACAGTTACAACAAAATCAAGATAATTATCACAAAACTTCTGTTGTTTTCTTTATTTAAAAGGGAGTATTTATAATTAGATCAAAATTCTATTCTAGGCAATGGCTATAACTTTTAGTTTTTAATCCTTCTTTTTCTCCAAAAAATGCATGGTTCCTCCTAATTTATATTATATTTCATTTATATTATCCTGTATGATAGGTTACACACAGAGAGAGTGATCAACCCAGTCTTCCCAGGCCTAGTTTTGCAGCCTACACTTGTTTTTTCTGACTCCTGTTATAAAGCGAGGGGGTTGGACTAGATGACCTCCTGGTCCCTTCCAACTTTACAAGTCTACGATTCTATGAAAATATAGGTAGACTGCAATAACATGAGAATGATAAAGTGGTTAATAAGCCATTTCTAAAATCTGCACAATTTAAGTAAAACTCTATGACCCTGATGTGCTACTTGAGCTTTGGTTTGCATTAATGTCAGTGTTCTCCTGAGAGATTTATGTTGTGGGTGTCATAGGCTGCAATCCAAGCCCCCTTTGTGGCTGGCTTGGGTGGGTAGAGGATGTTGGACTGGGTGGAGACATCTCTTCAGCTAACCCTCCTGGCATGGCGCTCCTTGTTTCACCCACCTTCAGCATCTCTGCCAGTGGTGGCATTCAGAAAGCCCCAAAATGGCATTCTAGCTACAGAAAGGGCTGAAGGGCTGTCACATGACAGCATTTGACTGATTTAGGTATGAATGCAACACCAGCTTGTCATAACAGCTTGTCTGTCCCTTCCACTTCTGTTCTGAGCCAAGGTTGGGATTGCCTTGTCCAGCTGAACTTTGATATTAAGGATTGCAATACAGTTAGGAACTAAGGGATGTTTAACAAAAAATATGCATAATAATTCATGATGCCTAGATATACATGGATTACCTTTCTGTTAACCAAACATAGAATTTCAGAAATCCCTGGAGTGGTGAAATTACACATTTTAACTCAACCTTCCCTGTAAATCGCTCACAGTGACTTCTCTCAAAACAAATTCAACCCCCTTGTGTATTTCTTTCTAGTGATTCAGTAAACGAACAAGGATCTGTGTGCAATATATACCTTAATGTTACATGACCTGGTAATGGTGCCCTGGAGGATACCTTGGAATGATGTAAATGGCAAGAAAGCATAAAGCAGAGGCAGAAGCTGATGTAACTATCTAGGATTCTTGTGTCTCACTTTTTGAATGAAGATTATTATAAACTTTAAGGGACCTGATATTATAAAATATGTATGGGTGTGTATTACATGCTCTAATCTTGACAGATTAAGGAATTCAAGTATTAAATTCATAATTTCTAGCTGTAAAATTGCCTAAGTAATAGTTGATTAAGACTGCTTAACAAGCAGTGTTTGCAGTGCTGTTTAAAGAGAAGGGGGAAAGGGCAAGCAGCCATGTTAGTCCTTAGAGAGAAATCCACAAATAACACTAGGGTAATAATGTTATTAGGTCTAGTTAAATGATCACAGTAAAGTAAAAATCTTTCAGATTAATAAAAAATATTTATCAGAATGGGAAGAAAAAGAGATTGCTTAGCAAGATGAAAAAGCCCTAGTCTGCACAGCAGTTCATAATAATAGACTGATCCCTTTGATGTATCTTGGACAGCCATACACAGTAGTACCTCTGTTTAAGAACAGCCCTGTTTACAAACTATTTGGTATACAAACTACACAAAACTGGAAGTAGTGTTCCCGTTAGTGCACTTTACCTCGGTTTACGAACAGAAGCCGAACAGTGGAAGGGCACCAGCGACGGGAGGCCTCGCTAGGGAAAGCGTGCCTTGGTTTAAGAATGGACTTCTGAAACGGATTAAGTTCATAAACCAAGGTACCACTGTAGTCGTAAACGTTTTAAATAAATGGTCTCTTCTGACACAGTTGATTCATACTGGCCTTGGAAGGAGACCGACATTCGAGATTGCTTCTGTGTGTTCGTCTATAGTGCTGTGAGTGCATTTTTGTCAAGCTGGGGAAAGATTTCATAACACATCAGAATTTAAATGTGAGCTTTGCTGACTTCCATCATATGACGTCTGGAAACTTCCTTCATAACTATCTGCAAGTTGGGTAGGTGTGGCTTGGCCAAAATGGCCTTGTGGATCAAATGGAAAGGCCCGGCAAGCCTAATTAAAACAGCAGGCCAGCGGTTCAGTATTGTTCATGGCTGCTATCCATTGTGCCCCTTAACCCACAAGCACTGATCTCTTTAATACACATGAAAATGAATAAAATGTATTGCACAAATGTCACAGTTTAGTCCTCTCACCTAGGTGATAAATACTTGGTAACTGCGTATTTATGTTTTTCCTTTACTGTGCTTTAAAAACAAATGTAGAATTAAAATAGATGCTATTTAAATGCAAGTTGATTATTTGATCTAACTTTGTCTCATGTAGGTGACCTTCCTTGAAGAAGTTACTGAGTATTATGTGAGCAATGAGGAAGATCGGAAAGGACCCTGGGAAGAATTTGCACGTGATGGGTGCCGGTTCCATAAACGAATTCAAGAAACTGAGGCTGCTATTGGATATTGCTTAACAATGGAGCACAGGCAGCGAATATTTAATAGACTCCAGGAAATGTTGTGAAATTATGTTTTCTAGCACCTTAATAAAGTATAAAAATAAAAGGGTAATGCATTTTAATGACACATGAGCTTCTTATTAAAATGGCGGCTGCCTACATGATGTAAAAGTTGGGGGGCAGTAGTAATTTAATGCTGCATCTCAGTACTCTGCAACAGATAATGCTGTATGTGTATGGATGCAGGCTCCATTTGGTATCATCAGGCATGATTAGTGCATAACTCTTCCCTTCTAAAGCCAAGTGTATCTGCTTTGGCAGAAGCCAATCCAGAGATGCTTCTCTCTGCATGTGCAAAGAGTGCTCTCTCACATATAAGACAGACAAATGTATGAGTGTGGATTTTTTGCACTTTTTAAAAGGGAAAATATTTTGAAGTATATTTATTGGGTTTGGAACCCATCAATGCAGTTCTGATTTAAAGTTTGCATATTGCAGTCTATTCTTTTTTATTTAGAGCTTGTGTATAATAGAAATTGCAAATCTTATAATAGTACAGTGGTACCTCGGGTTGCAGACGCTTCAGGTTACGTGAATTCGGGTTGCGCACCGCGCCGAACCCAGAAGTACCGGAACGGGTTACTTCCGGGTTTCGGCACTCACGAATGCACAAAAGCACTGAATCGGAACCCATGTGTGCGCAGACGCGGCGTTGTGGGTTGCGAACGTGCCTCCCACACGGATCACGTTCGCAACCCGAGGTTCCACTGTATATCATTCTTGAATCAAACATTACCCATCCTATATGTATGTATTTCTCATACAGTCTCTAATGTTCAAAAAGACAAGAATGATACATGTTTGTTACATCTTTAGTTTTAAAGTATTTGCTTGTTCCAAGTCATTTGCAATAATCTGCCTCTCAAACTGTACCATACTTGTCTCTTATGATCAACAACCTGAATTTAGGCTGCTGAAAGAAGGTAACTGTAGTATCACTCTTAAGAATGGATTGCTTAAATTCTAAGACAGTTCTGCTTATACTTCTTGGACCGTGCCCAGCTAACACATCCTGTTACTGCAAGGAATTCTGCTTATATAATAGGATTTCCCCCCCTCCTCCCCCACCTGCACCTAATGCCATCCCCAAGGGTTGGAAGAACCCCTACAACAGATTTAGGGGGCAGTATCATTGGCACAAGTGGAAATTCTTACACTGATGGGACTGTGACATAGCATTCCTTTGGCTACAACCCCAATTCATACAGGCACCTATAATCAGCTGAGCACTGTGAAAAGAATAAAGCAAGATGTTAATTTGATTAGTCTCTGCTCTAGTACACAGATATATCTACACTCATAGTAAATAGGATTTAGTCGTTAACAATTTGTAATTCCCATCAGCTATGATGTTTACAAAAAATCAGTATTAATGCAATTGTTCACAATAGCATCATAACTGGTTGTAAGTCTAATTCAGCAGCTAATTCTTAATGCATTCATGTGATTTGGGATGCATCCCGTCATGTAGCTATTGGTCAAAAATTCTGTTTGTGTTACCAAGAGTTGGATGCATGTTTGTATTACAAACAATGACTTCATGGCCTAGATAAAATAGCTCAGAGTCCAGAGATTTTGGAGTAAAGCTCGGTATGCTACTCTTAATAGTACAACTAAAAATAGTGCTCTCTTCCTTCTGATTTAAAGCCACACAAACATTAATTGGAACCATTTTGCCCTATTTATACCCTGAACTTTTTCAGTTGTAAATTCTAATTGGATAAGCAGTTCTCTTTACAAAAATAAATCAATACAATACACATGGAGGGAGGTGTTTATGATACAGAGGTGTTTCTGATTTTTGATAGCTTTCATTCACAGTATGCTTTATTTTAGACAATGCTTATTTTGAAGTGGTATTTTTTAAGCAGGTTGAGTTGTCAGCAATGGCCTGCTGTAGAATTTCATTAATCGATCTGGATCTGTGCTATGACTGCAATCCTGTATACATTTCCCTGGGACTAAGTAAAATCTGAACTCTGGATTAGGCTAAATAAGGAGGGGCAAGGGAATCTTTCTCTTTTAAGGGCTGCATTCATTTGGAGGTAATATGAGAATAGATGCTAGAAATATGTGTAGCCTCCCCCTTTTCTCTAGCAAAGTGCATCTCCCATCTCCCTGTGTTCAGCTCATTACAAAGTGGCAGGATCATCTTTCTATAGATTAATGATTACACTGAAAATAGAAAATCTTCCCACTTTGATACTATTTTAATTACTGTTTTTACTAGTCATCTGCAGAATACTGGGTAGAAAGGAGATTCTAGTTCTCAATTTGAAGCCATAAAAACAGGACAGCAGACTTCCTGAAATAGAATTAGTCCATTCTCTTTCTTTAGAAACATTTAATGGTGCTAAATGTGGCAATGAAGTATGTCTTTCAGCTCGTTTTTTTCATGAAAACCCACTGCTTCTAAAACTTTAAATCAAAACCGTAATTGATCAGAATTTTATTTTTATATTGTTTTAGGAAGGCAAAGTTAAGAGCCAGATAACCTTTCACTTTATACAGATTTAAGTGAATTTGATTGTATCTCATTGGGATTTTATATTTAAAGTTATATTTCTGTATATAATAAAACAATTTCCAACTAATCTGTAAAAGTAATAAATACTTTGCAAGGTACCTTCCTGTTGTCTGGACTATTGATATATATATAGTGCCTGTAATGGAAGAATGGGGGCAACTGGTGGTTTCAGAGCTGTGCAGTGTTACTGTGCATTGCCTGTGGAAAAACACTTAAATACTATACAATATACTATATAAAAACTAGTATTTGGGAATCGGCGCAACAGCTTATTTAGTATTAAAGGCTGGTTGATAATGAGTGTGTTATTAAGATTGGTTCCATTCGTTCCTTCCCTCCCAACAATTGATTGGTTGTGTAGGACCTTCAGCTAGGCCTTGCTTTCCCTGTGCATATATCCCAACTGCCCAGATGGCTTTAACATGGATAAGTGGGATAAAAATGTGTCCTGTCCTCTATGACTCTCTTCCTAGGCATGCCACTTCCAATACCATGTTGTTCACTTTTCTCCTCTCCACTAACCTGCCCATCTCTGATCATATCAAAGAAGAAGCAGTTCAGTCTCCTTGTGGCAGTCATGTTGTGAGCACTGCCTCTGAAGAGGTGGGGAAAACAATGAATCTGCTAGTTAAGCCAAAAGAAATGCTACAAAATGTGCCAATAACTCTTAGGTCCTCTTGAAGACATGTTAAACTTAGAACCAGTTTGGTACAGTGGTCCAAGTGTCAAGACTAGGAGCTGGGAGAGCAGGGTTCTAATCTCCACTCGGTCAGGAAGCTCACTGGGCGACCTGGAGCTAGTCACTGCCTCTCCGCCTAACCTACCTCACTGGGATTGTTGTGAGGATAAAAGGAGAGGGTGGGTGGGAGATGCATGTATGCCTTCTTGAGCTACTTAGAGGAAAGGTTGAGACAAGATGACCCTTAGGATCCCTTCCAACTGGACAGTTCTATGATTCTATGATATAGAAGGAGCTTTAAATTGACCAAAGTAGCAGAACTGAGATCAGCAAAAAGTCTGAGGTTTAGGAAATTGTTTCTATGTAGGAATGGGCTGATTTAGGAGTTCCTTCACACTGTGTGTGTGCATGTGTGTGTAATGTGTGACTTACACACTTGGATTTGTAGGAGCATATTTGTCATGATATCCAGAATAGGTTGGCGCTTCCTGCTGAGTGTACACTGATGGCAGACTTAGGTTTGCTACGATGTAATAATAATAATAGTAATAATAATTTATACCCAGCCACTCTGAGCAGCTTCCAACAAAATATTAAAATACAATAGTGCATCAAACATTAAAAGCTCCCCTAAGCAGAACTGCCTTCAGATGTCTTATAATGGTAGTTGTTTTTCTCTTTGACATCTGGTGGGAGGGCGTTCTACAGGGCAGGTGCCACTACTGAGAAGGCCCTCTGCTTGGTTCCCTGTAACTTGGCTTCTCTCAGTGAGAGAACCGCTAGAAGGCCCTCGACGCTGGACCTTAGTGTCCGGGCAGAACGATGGGAATGGAGACGCTCCTTCAGGTGTACTGGGCCAAGGCCTTTTAAGGCTTTAAAGGTCAGCACCAACACTTTGAATTGTGCTCGGAAACATACTGGGAGCCAATGTAGGTCTTTCAAGACTGGTGTTATGCGGTCTCGGCGGCCGCTCCCAGTCACCAGTCTAGCTGCTGCATTCTGGATTAGTTGTAGTTGTAATGTGTGATTAGTTGTAGTTGTAATGTGTGAAATGGCCCAAGATACTGAAAAACTGGAATGGCAGGATATGGGGACCAAGGAAGGGAAAGGGTTAATCCAATCTATGTTCATCACAAGCATTCATAAAGCATGATCTCAAGGGAATAAAAACACCATGCGCACACAGAGCATTGCAAGGCTGAAAGCTAGATTCGGTGAGGTTTGTGTATCTAAGGGTGAAAATGACTATGTCCACAAGGTGGCAATAGCCACCTTTTAGTTACAAAATCCAATGCTGATGCTCTCCCTAGAGAGGTTCACCTGGCGCCTTTAGGCGTCAGGTGAAAATGTTCCTCTTCAAGAAGGCCTTTAGCTGATTACCATCCAATACCCTTTTAAATGTGTTGTGGGAGTGGGGAATTCTTGATTTGTTTTTGTTCTTATTTTTATTATTTATTCCATGTTTTTTATATTGTATTTTTTTATGTTGTGAGCCACCCTGAAATCTACAGATGAAGAACAGTATGCAAATTTAATAAAAAAATAAATAAATCTTAAAAGCAACCAATTAGGTTTGAGATCCTAGGAGGGTATTGTCGAACACTAAATATATATGAAAATACGAGTGCTCTAAAACTATCATCTTGCAATTCCTATGATGTTGCTGAGAAAGCAGAAGCCAAAATATTTAACTAAACAATTGCAAATCTGTCTCCGTGTGGTCATTCACATATAAATATTCATGCCTTTTTAAAAACAAGTTGATTTTTATTGTTTTCCAATAAACATTAACATCAAATTTAGTTAACAACAGCAACATCAGACACTAAGAAGAGGAATGTTAAGTTCATTCATGAGCTGCAGAAATATTCCGACAACCATGGACATAGCTTTGTGCATCAACATTTCCATACAGTGGTGGACTTTAAGTCATTAGGAACCATAATTCTGATGATGCCACAACATGTCTTGCTGGAAGCAGTGACTAAGTACTATGTATACCTTACCTACCAGCCAGAACACACAACATTAACCCATTGTCTCCTATGCTAACTTGGAGGTGGACTTTTTCACTGGTAGTACCAGGGTGGTGGAATGGTCTCACTGCTGAAATATGAGAAGTCCCATCAGAATTGGCATTCTGCTGGCTCTGGAAGACACACCTGTTTAGACAAGCATTCCTCTGATTGCGACTTGAACCTCCTGTTTTAATTGCTGTTTTAACCTTTTTAATTGTTGTGTTCTTTAAACGGGTTGTTATATTGCATATTTTAGTCATGCATGGCTATTTTTATGTTTTGATGAAATTGCTTCATTTGGCATTTTAAATTTTGTGTGCTCATATTTTTTTGTAACTGGCTTTATGCTTGTAAACTGCTTAGAAGCCTCCTTGACAGTTAAGTGATATATTAATTAACAAATAGCAACAGCACAGTTGGGCCCTGCAATATGACTGCATTTGCTCCAGTCCTTCAGAAGAATTGCCTTGTACAGAACTGGTGCAGCAGAGAAAGTAACAGAATCAATAGGTAACGCTTGTCACCTACCTCTCCAGCTGCTGCATCAAAGCCCTACAGCTGTACTCTTAAACGACCCTTCCTTTCACAGATTTTGCTTAAAGACAAGCCCCTCCCTCCCCCATTTACTTGCACATGGGTCACTAACTGGAAATGCAAAACCAGGAACAAGCCCTGCAAATAACTACACTCCCTGCCTTTACTTGAAAAATACTACCACGGGACCTGCAGCATCAATGGCTCCTTAACTTGAACATCTTCTAGCATGTAAATTATGGTCTGTCTGCTCTGTACTTAAAAAAAAAAAAAAAGTTTCATAAGGAGACTCTTGCTTGAAGCTACTGAGTTGGAAATCATCTGCTAATTTGACACTGAGGAACTTGGAATCCAAGAGATGTCCTATGCATTGTTGTACCACTACAGAAAATGATCCTCTTTCTTCAACTTGCTATGTCTGTTCATCACCAGCAGAGGGTGAGTCATACCTATGTTGAATGGCTCTTCTCTCCATTCATTCTCTGTTTAGTAACATGGAATGCTTCTTGCCATCACAAATGAATGGTTAAGTCCAGTTAGCAAATTTTCCTCCTTCTCTTGGCATGGTGTGTGTGTATATGCATAAGATTAGAGCTTTCGGTTTATTCTCTTTGTCACCTATTCCGGAAGCACCCATTCAGTGGTTGACAGTGGTTGACAAACGAGTCCAGTTAGCCACTTGCTGTCGTCATCTTCCAATTCAATCTGGTCCAGTCTCTTCTTCCTTCTAAGTGCTGGGCAGCACCAATCTTACTGTTAAGAGAAACCTCACCCTGACACTTGCTCATTCTTGAGAACTCACTCATTCTTCCTCACACCCTTGCCACAACCTAACCCTTTAAATAATGAAGAGCTTGCTCCACAACCCACATGCCATGAAAGTGAATAGGCCAGATATGAAAATGCCTTGTGCTCATGAGGAGCTGAGCAACATTTTAAGAAGGCCTTGCCTTGCATTGAGTCAGATAGGCTTGCCATATTTCAAAAAAGTAAAATTCCTGACGCCCACAAAGTTGTTGAGCTTCTTTAAGGAAATTGGTGATTTTAAGCATTTTGAGCTGTTTCCAATACCGTATTTTTCGCTCTATAAGACGCACCAGACCATAAGACGCAACTAGTTTTTGGAGGAGGAGAACAAGAAAAAAAATATTCTGAATCTCAGAAGCCAGAACAGCAAGAGGGATCGCTGCGCAGCGAAAGCAGCAATCCCTCTTGCTGTTCTGGCTTCTGGGATAGCTGCGCAGCCTGCATTCGCTCCATAAGACGCACACACATTTCCCCTTACTTTTTAGGAGGGAAAAGTGAGTCTTATAGAGCAAAAAATACGGTACTTTTTCCATTGTGGTGCCATACATCCAGGTTTTCCCTGGCATTTTGCCAATTCGGCAAAATTCCCCTTGATGCCATTTTTACACCTCAAAATCAGGACATGTCAGGAATTTTCCTGACATATGGGAAGCCAGAGTCACAGCTGATGTCAAATTACTAGAATAGGGCTCACTGATTTGGCATTCCACAGCACTGGTACAAGCAATGAAAAAGTCCACCTCCATGTTAGCATAGGAGCAGCGGTGGATTTGGAGCTTTCAAATTTCAGCAGTGCCCTGTAGAATGCCAAAATTCGGTGCCCCAGCCTCTTGCCTTCCATTTTAAGTCATTGTTGCAGCCCCTCCCCCCGTGGCGCCCTCTCCTTTCAGTGCCCAGTGCAGGCGAACCAGTTGTGCTCCCGTAAATCCACTTCTGATAGGAGACAATGGATTATGCTATATATTGTGGATAGGTGTAACCGCCACTGATATGAGAAGGTGGACTGATATGAACCACATAGTTGCACAGTTCTCCTGCTCCGTGAAGTGGTCCAGATTCAGGTTGATAGTGAGCTTTCCAGGTATTGCATTTAGGTTACTATTAATTACATTGATATCCAATCTGTTCTCTGAGTTACTCAAGATAATGTACATTTTTATCTCCCCCCTGTTTTACACTCACAGCAACCCTGTTAGGTAGGTCAAGCGGAGGGCTTGTAACAGGCCCAAGGATACCCAGTGAGCTTCATGACTGGGTCAGGGTTTGAACCTGGATCTCCCCAGTCCTAGTCTAACAGTCTAACCACTTTGCCTCATGGCCTCTCTGGACCTCTCCACATCAGTGCGACTAAACTGCTCAAACAAGTGAAATGAGATTTTTTAAAACCAAAAGCAACAAAATAGGTATGTTTTTGTCCTTGCATTTCTATATGAGTTGAAATATAACAGCACACACACAAAGAATGTGTCAAAGTCCTTCACCATCCAATGTGTTGTTTACTCAGTACCGCCTCTTTAGTGTTGATATTGGATTAGATTAGGACACAGCTTCAGGGTGCATAATAAACATTAACCATCCCCACTGATTCATCCTTGCTAATGCCCCTCTAGTTCCCCCCACTTTCAGCCAGGTTTCAGTGGTAAACTCAAGAGGACTTGGGGGCAGAAGTCCAAGACCCCACTCAATAGAGGGTACTTAACCACACAGCAGGGCTGGTTTGTCATATTTTGGAGTATGTGAAGTATTATGTGTTACAATTTAAAGAGCCCACCTGCAAGACCGCAAAGTTCAGTGGCTACCTACTGCACCACTACTATGGCTCGCCTGGTTTATAAGCTTATCTGTTGGAAACCTCCTTCCTTAGAGGTTTTTAAGCAGAGGTTGGATGGCCATCTGCCATGGATACTTTAGCTGAGATTCCTGCATCACAGGGGGTTGGACTACATGATCCTTTGGTCCCTTCCAACTCTAAGATTCTATGATCCTATGAAAACAGTAACAAAATAAATGAATAGAGGAGCATGGTGGGATTTATCAGAGAGATGCATTAATCCCACAGTTCCATGCACTACTTCTCTTCTGCAATTTCCCTCAGGTCCCCACTATTATGTTACAAGGAAAACATGGTGTTGTGATCCTTAGGTTTGCTTCAGAACAGGTAGTTCCACCATCAGGGCTTAAGGGCTACAATTGGGACACATCATGGCAGTTATCTCGTGCCTTTTAAACACACATTTGTTGCATGCATGCTGTATTTTTACATATGCTTATTATAAATTCAACGTAAAGCATGAAGCATCTTAGGGGTCTTGAAAATGCCTTGTATCACTCAGCACTGGCCTGTCTTTGCCAGGGTGGAGTGGGAAGAAGCAGCTCTTTTGGTACAGACACACCATGACGGCCAAGCCTCAAGATCCCCGTGGTTCTGACTGGTGTATTCTTACCGATAAAATTCTGCCTGTGCAAAGCATTAGCCCTCCAGATGGCCAGTAAGAATTCAGAGTGCTTTCCATTGTTTTGTTGTTGTTGTTTAGTTGTTTAGTCGTGTCCGACTCTTCGTGACCCCATGGACCAGAGCACACCAGGCACTCCTGTCTTCCACTGCCTCCCGCAGCTTGGTCAAACTTTCCATTGGACAATTGCAATTGACAGCCTTGCTGTGGTCTAAACCACTGAGCCTCTTGGGCTTGCTGATCAGAAGGATGGCAGTTCGAATTCCCACAACAGGGTGAGCTCCCGTTGCTCGGTCCCAGCTCCTGCCAACCTAGCAGTTCGAAAGCACGCCAAAAAGTGCAAGTAGATAAATAGGTACCACTCTGGCGGGAAGGTAAACGGCGTTTCCGTGCGCTGCTCTGGTTTCGGTGTTCCGTTGCGCCAGAAGCGGCTTAGTCATGCTGACCACATGACCTGGAAAAACTGTCTGCAGACAAACGCCGGCTCCCTCGGCCTGTAAAGTGAGATAAGCGCTGCAACCCCAGAGTCATCTGTGACTGGACTTAACTGTCAGGGGTCTTTTACCTTTACCCCTTATTGCTGGCATAGTGGTGTAGGCAAAATGGGCATTGTGTTCATGCAGCACCATAGAGTCGTCACTCTGGGGCACGGTGCCATTCTGAAGATTTCATTCCCCTGCCACCTTTCTGTGCTGTTACTCACTCTCTCGTTGCAAATAACCTCAACTAGTTAAGGAAGTTACTCAAAGGAGCAAAACTCATCTGAAAGCATTTGCATAGCCAGCCACATAGAAAATGAAGCTTTGCTTTGGAAAATGTGTTTTTTGTTTTGTTTTAAAGAGGTTGCTTTAAAAAAAGAAAGAAGCAGAATAGGATCAGGATGGATTATGAGATGATCCCTTGTCTGCTGATGTTGCAGAACCACTTATAATTGCAACTAAGCTAAAACAAAAAGGGGGGAATCTGTTCCAAAGGCAGCGTAGCTGCAATATTACTGGGTTTTGTTCTCTGTTTCTTGTATCTTTAAAAACATCACAGCAATTTAATTTGGCAAATGTCGTCATGAAAATTCATTCTTAAACCAGAATCACAAACCAACAGTTTTGCTCTTATGGAGAAATGGTGCTAATATTGCCCCCCCCCCCGCAACCTGGTATGCTAGGCTGAGAGTGTGGGGTGATTGTGTTCTGATTTATAGTTATTCTAGAAGCAACAGTTGGACATCCAGATTTTGACAGCAGTCATTAGCTGCTAATGATCTAGAATGTGTAATGTGTGCGTGTTAGTTAATTGTATGTCTAGCATGTCTTAAGCAGAAATATCCATAAGGCAGTTTAGAAAGAAAAAAACCCCATACACAACCTTGTTAGAGTTAGTAATTAAAGAGAATTGTAGAGCAGATCAAATTGCAAAAACTGGTTTGTGAACAGGCATCTAGCCAATTTTAAACAAACCCATCCAAAAGTGACAGTGCATGCCCAGTGTTAGAGGGATATTGGGGAGTTCTGAAATTTAAAGTCTACCACTCATACAGGAAGGGACATGTTTCCCCTCTGATTAAAATTAAGAATGTGCTAAAGAGGGGGAAGGGTTATCATATAATAGAACTGGAAGTGACCACAAGGGTCAGCTAGTCCAACCCCCTGTAATGCAGGAATCTTTTGCCCAATATGGGGTTCAAACCCGGGACCCTGAGATTAAGAGTCTCATGTTTTACCAACTGAGCTATCCCAGCTAAAGGAATCCATGAACCTAATATCCTGTTTCAAAATATGATACTTAAAAAAATAATAGAGCTATTATGTACTCATCCATTAATCCTGACAATCACTCAGAACCTGTAGCAACTGGACATTTGAGTTCCCATTGGACAGGGGTTGAACCTAAAGCTCCACTGGTACAAGCTAAGCCTTGTTAATGCACTAAATACCTGTGGGCACTTGGGGTAGTTCCTATGGAGCTTGCCATAGGGCTTAGTCACATCCATGATACTACGTCAGTAACACTGTATGTAGACAGATGTTGGCAGGACTGGTTTATAGTTTGGGTTATACGTCATCATGACTCATCAGCTTTCTTTATTATCCTCGATAATACCGTTTTGAATGTGGGAATTTGTAAACCATCAGTTAATGGACTCATGCAAAAAAGTGGTGTCCAAGATTTGGTACCCAAGTGGTGTCTTTATTTCCACTGGGAAATGGGGCAACTGAGGTTTGATATGTATTCCTGGCCAGAAGCATCCAATATGATGGGGTGTTGCTGCTGGTGTGTTAACTGCTCCTTAGCTGGATCTTGCAGGGGCAGGGCAGTGGTGAGGTCACAGTTGTAGAGGTACACTGGTAGAGACACTCCAGTGCTTCTGCTGGTGTGCCCACACATCGCCCACCCTGCCACCCCATCCCAATAAACAGCAGCAATGTTTTGTTTTTTTATTGGGTTTTATAAACAAGGATAATGTTATACAAATAAGCATACCAAGTTTTCTCATGTCATTTGTATATCACAAAAATAGCATAATAAATGTGGAAAATATCTACAACATATGTTTCATTATTAGTGGTCAATGTATAAGTTCTTGGTTTATGAATTGGAAGAAGAAGAAGAAGAAGAAGAAGAAGAAGAAGAAGAAGAAGAAGAGAGGAGGAGTGGGATGGGGGTGGTTATGCTTCTATTAGTCTACTTAGTGTGTGCGAGGGGTTGTGTCAGTGTTACTTGTATGGGTTCTCTCACTATTCACTAGATGTATTTCCTTGGTGGGGAGATAGGTTGGGTGTGGCTTAGGGTGTGGTTCAGGGGTAGGCAGCCTAAGGCCCGTGGGCCGGATGCAGCCCAATTACCTTCTCAATCCAGCCTGTGGACGGTCTGGGAATCAGCGTGTTTTCACATGAGTAGAATGCGTCCTTTTATTTAAAATGCATCTCTGGGTTATTTGTGGGGCATCGGAATTTGTTCACCCCCCAAAATATAGTCCGGCCCATCACATGATCTGAAGGACGGTGGACCGGCCCATGGCTGAAAAAGGTTGCTGACCCCTGGTGTGGTTGCTTGTCTTTGTTTGGCTGTAGTGTGAATTGTTTTTGTGTGTGAGCTGGGTGTGAGTATGTATTTTTGAATCAGCTTAGCCAGATTGATTTGTATGCTGTCGGGGGATTGAACAGCAGCAATGTTGATGTCAGGAGGATGGGTCTTAAGCCATGCTCCCTCCCCAACTCTAAGTACTACTGCTCATGGCCATTGGGCATAAGCATCTAGAGCGGGGTAGTCAACCTTTTTATACCTTCTGCCCACTAATGCATCTTCCTTGATGGTAAAATTTCCTTACCGCCCACCTGTGCTCAATGGAAGGAGGATTCAGCTTGTGCCATAGAACCCCCTACCGCCCACCTAGAATCCTGAAATGCCCACAAGTGGGCGTTAGGGACCAGGTTGACAACTGAGCTAGAGTAACTCATTTATTCTTCTAGAAGCCTGCAACAGCAGCAGTACAGGCAGAAATTGAACTATTGATGTTCTTACCCCATTGCTACACCTCCATACTGGAAAAAATGCCCCTTGCTAGTCTGTTCTGTCTGTTGCGCAGCTATTAAATGGAAAGAAACCATGTTGCGCGCGGGGGGGAGTGTTCTTTTCTGAATTCTGGTAACTCTGGTAAAACATGCTTTAAAAATGTTTAAAGTTCTGTGGTAATCTGTAATGGTACTTAATTGCAAACGTAATTTAGCACACATTTCTAAATGCATTTTTAAAATGACGTGTTCAGGTGAGCTGAGGGTGCTTCCACACTGTTACCAGTGTGCTAAACCTCCCTGCAAATGTTGTGCAAACAGCAATGAAGGGTTGTGTTGGGTGCCACCAGTCTGGAAGCACATACCATATATTTAAAGCATGTTTCAAGCACATGGCTTTCCCCTAAAGAATCCTGGAAACTATGGTTTGCTAAGAGTGCTGGAAATTATACCTCTGTGAGGAGTAGACTACAGTTTCCAATATTCCTTGGGGGAAGGCCACATGCTTTAAATGGATGGTGTGAATTTGACCTTAACCACATGGCTGTCTGTTGAAAGAGCTATAATCTTACAATTAAGCATCATTTTGAAACAAAAACAAACACCACCATGCTGTGTGTTTACTGGACATCTTCCCCCACACCCAGCAGCTGGGCCATATTCCAGTAGCTCTGGGCAAACTGGTTTGTGCCAGTCTAAGTAGGGGAGCAGACACCTGTGATCTGTGAGGATGCTTCAGCAAAGCAGCCTGGCCACTTGGTTATGCCTTGCTCCACTAGTGGCCAGGTTTCTTCTTCTCCTGGATTAAGTGTACTAGTGAGGCTGTCATTCTCCCTTCCCGGTTGTGGTAAGAGAGCTTGGAACACATGCCCCTGGTGATAAGCAGGCACTTATGACCTCTTCCTCCTCCCTCCCTCCCTCCCTCCATGGAGGGGAAGTTCTCAAACCCCACCTTTCCTGGTGAATAAGCTCTAATTGATGACTACGGTGAGACAGAAGATGCCTCCCGCTTTTGAAAGCGAGAACCACAGACACGGGGCTCAGTTTGCAGAACTCCCTCACTCCTCACCCAGAGTTAATTTGTGGTAATTAGATTGAGTAGGCAGTGGAGGAAAGAAACTGCCTTCTCAAACAGTCAGGCAGTTTTAGCATGTCTGCCCTTGCTGCTGCTGCTGCTGCTGGAGAGGACCCTGTGGTGCTCCAGGTTTTTGGTGGAAGATCAACAAGCGGACCTTGGAAGGGTTAACCAGCCAGCTGTGTTTTTCCTCCCTCCTGGGCTATTTGCAGCAAAAACAAGAGTTTCTGTGGAAGGGCTGGGCAGCCTGCATCCTGGTGGGACTGGCTCAGGTGGGCTGGGTATCTGTGCTCTCTTGACTAGACACCCCCAGCCACTGTCCCTTCCTGCTGAAAGCAGGGGTGCAGGGGTAAGGAGGGGAGCAATTCTGGCTCTTTTTCTTCCCTGTTCTTGGTGGATTTTGCAGTGAGTGGCTTTATGGCCACCGAGGACATTGACTGGCTCGACCTGCCTGGCAGGTGGACTTATGGAGTTTGCAGAGACGGGAGAATCTTCTTTATCAAGTACGTTCAGTTCTTGCTCTGTTGTTGTTTGTGGTTTTCCTGCAGCTGTGGATGGTTGGAGGAGTCCCCGTTTGTGCCAGGTGCAGGTGCATAGACTTCTGGGCCAACTCTTTGGTGGGAATGGCATGTGTGTTTGTGGAGAGACAATCCGAAAGAATGCTAACAGTTCGCACAAGAGAAGGACAGGATTGGGTTTTAAGTCACTGCACAGAGCAAGGGGTCATAGGCCACTTTGGCAAATGACACTTTATTTGTTTACTTTCATTTCATAAAACGTATACACCACTTGTTGGTAGAAATCCTCAAAAAGTTTGCAAAAAAGAAGGAACAATAAAATTATCAAAAAGAAACATGAATACTTGCAGCCTGATCCTCAGCACAATCACTTGGAAGCAAGTTCCATCAATTCTAAGCATGTGATTGTAAATGTCTTTTAGGATTACAACTGCATTTTGAATTTCTGTTTATATGATCTGACTACAAAACTTTCATTGGGGAGAACCTGCTGGCTCTTCCCTGTTTTGTGTACTGCATCACTGATGTTCATCAGCATTTCATAGTAAAATAAAATTTAAAAATGTCCTTAGCCTAGCTTGTGAAATGTTCCTTACCTACTGCTGCAGGATTCTCAGACTGCTGTTTCTCGTCTCCCAGACGGCGTCCCATGAACTAAGCTTTGAACCAGGAAGTCCCCAGTTCAAATCTGGTTTCTGTCACAAGATCACTAGGTGGCGTTGGGCAAACAACTTTTTCTCCACTTCTGCCCTGATGTCTGCAACACAGGGATGACAAAGCTGACCTACCTTGCAAGCTTGTTGTCAGGATTACAGTGGTACCTCGGGTTAAGTACTTAATTCATTCCGGAGGTCTATTCTTAACCTGAAACTGTTCTTAACCTGAAGCACCACTTTAGCTAATGGGGCCTCCCGCTGCCGCTGCGCCGCTGGAGCACGATTTCTGTTCTCATCCTGAAGCAAAGTTCTTAACCCGAGGTACTATTTTTGGGTTAGTGGAGTCTGTAACCTGAAGCGTCTTTAACCTGAAGCATATGTAACCTGAGGTACCACTGTACTGAGAATACAGAATATGTAAAAAATTAAACATTATAAAGCTGTATCTAACTTAAATATTACTATTGCAAGTGGAAACTTCACCAAAATGTTGCAGTATGGAGTGGTCTGTTCGGTTCTTTTCCAGGATATTCCATTCTACCATCACACAATTTTTTCATCTTTTTTTCATCAGCCAAATCAGCATCCTGTGCCCACTAAGCATGCTCAACCCCCATTGCTCTCCCTGTGGTAGTTCCCTCTTGTGTGTAGATTATGCCATTTTTGCTATGTAAGGTTCCACACTTCCATAATGAATTCACTCTTTGTATATGGGATACCTTTTCTCTTGCCCTTCAGGCATTTCAAGGTGACTTGGGTGATGTTCTCCTCCTCCCTGCCACACAGCAGACTGCCAGTCTATGGCTTAACCTTTGGCAAACATGACAGAGTTTAAAGTCAGGGAGCCCACACGTGGCACATTTTATTGAGCTGTACAGCTGTATTTCTCCTTCTGGTGGCCACTGGAAAGTCAGCCTTAAGTCTACCCTACTATGAATGCTCTCCTGTATACCAAAGTGTAGCAATCTGGATTAATC